TGACTACGGAAAGGGTCGCCACGACAAGGACGACTACAGCTACGGCAAGGCCTACTACGGCAAAGACTACTACGGCAAGGACGACTACAGCTACGGCAAGGACGTCTATGGATACGACGGATACAAGTACGGCTCCAGCTACTACCCGGACTACTACTCGTCGTACGGATACAGCTACTACCCGGACTACTACTCGTCCTACGGCGGCGGCGGTGACTTTGGCTACGGCTATGGTTACAACTACCCCGGCAACTTCGGCTATGCTAGCTACGGCTATGGCTACCCTGGTTACCCTGGTTACCCTGGCTACCCTGGCTACGGCTACGGCTATGAGTCCGCGACGACGGACGGTGCTGAGGCTGGCCAGAAGGAGTCCGCCACGGCGCCTGCTACCGCTACGGACGTTGCGTCCAACAAGTCGGCGGAGAAGGAGGACAAGACGCCGCCCAAGGAGAAGGAGACCACCAAGTCCGGCGCCACGGACAAGGCCAAGGGCAAGTAAGTGGAGTGAAGTGAAGTGAAGTGAAGTGAAGTGAAGTGAAGTGAAGTGCAGTGAAGTGAAGTGAAGTGGAGAAGGCCGCTCGCTGGCGATGATGAGAAGTGGACGAGGGGCGTTCGTTGGTCATGGAGCAGCTAGCCCACGGAACCTGTAGTTCTGTAGAGTAACATGCGTGTAGTAGCGTCGATAAAAAAACTGGCGGTGGTAGCAATACGACGTCAATGGTTGTCAACTTTCTCGCTGTACTCAGTTTGCTCGTCCGATGCGCTAAACCGTTTCGAACTCGAATGGTGACTTAGTAGAACATGTGGAGACGTTTGGCGTTTGGCACGCCCGATTTGGATGACCCTTACTTAAGTATACCGAACACGCTTCGCTTTGCTACCGGTAGTCTCATTTGACACTCGATAGCCTTTGCAGCCGTACCAAAACGCAGCTTGGATTTTTGTTTTTGTTTTTTGTTTTTGTTTTTCGGGTTGTCGGTGCATGGCCGACCGATGGCGCTGCCTGCTGAGAAGCAGCTATCAACACTCTCAACAATGAAACGACCACTAACTTTGGCCTGGATGGACATGATGCTGGCCATATTGGAGAAGCGCTACGGCCCAGACGCCTCGCCGGCAGTGTACTGGCATTGCTTGTTGGTCGGATAGTGACAGCTTCAGCTAGATTGATGGTACGTCTGCATCGTAGGCGCGAGAGACTAGACTAGTTGACTAGTTACGGAGTGGGCGACGGCTGTGGATGCGGCCTCAAACCCGAGTGCCCCAAGCTCTCTCATCTTCCAATTCGCCTTCTCCGCCACACTCGGCCACCAACCAACCCCAAATCAACCCACCGAATCGCACGTTCATCTCTGACATGCACTCCAAGATCGTTGCCCTGTTCAGCCTGTGTGCCGCTGCCTCCATCCTGCAGGCGGCTGACGCTGGCGCTTCTCCTGTGGGCGTCTCGCCGCGCCGCCACCTCGGCTCCAGGGAGGACTACGGACACCACCCGCGCCACCACGACCATGACCATGACCACGACCACGACCACGGGAAGAATCACCGCCACCACGATGACAAGCACCCGTCGCACTACTATTACCGTCGCCGTCTCGAAGACGCCAAGGCCACCGAGTCCAAGGACTACAAGGACGACCATGGCAAGGACGACTACGACTACGACTACGGCAAGGACCGCAAGGATCGCAAGGACGGCTACGAGCACAAGCGGTACGGCGGTCACGACGACTATGACGATGACTACAAGGGATACGGCTACAAGAGCTACGGCGGAGACTGCGATGACTACGGAAAGGGTCGCCACGACAAGGACGACTACAGCTACGGCAAGGCCTACTACGGCAAGGATGACTACAGCTACGGCAAGGCCTACTACGGCAAAGACTACTACGGCAAGGACGACTACAGCTACGGCAAGGACGTCTATGGATACGACGGATACAAGTACGGCTCCAGCTACTACCCGGACTACTACTCGTCGTACGGATACAGCTACTACCCGGACTACTACTCGTCCTACGGCGGCGGCGGTGACTTTGGCTACGGCTATGGTTACAACTACCCCGGCAACTTCGGCTATGCTAGCTACGGCTATGGCTACCCTGGTTACCCTGGTTACCCTGGCTACCCTGGCTACGGCTACGGCTATGAGTCCGCGACGACGGACGGTGCTGAGGCTGGCCAGAAGGAGTCCGCCACGGCGCCTGCTACCGCTACGGACGTTGCGTCCAACAAGTCGGCGGAGAAGGAGGACAAGACGCCGCCCAAGGAGAAGGAGACCACCAAGTCCGGCGCCACGGACAAGGCCAAGGGCAAGTAAGTGGAGTGAAGTGAAGTGAAGTGGAGAAGGCCGCTCGCTGGCGATGATGAAAAGTAGACGAGGGGCGTTCGTTGGTCATGGAGCAGCTAGCCCACGGAACCTGTAGTTCTGTAGAGTAACATGCGTGTAGTAGCGTCGATAAAAAAACTGGCGGTGGTAGCAATACGACGTCAATGGTTGTCAACTTTCTCGCTGTACTCAGTTTGCTCGTCCGATGCGCTAAACCGTTTCGAACTCGAATGGTGACTTAGTAGAACATGTGGAGACGTTTGGCGTTTGGCACGCCCGATTTGGATGACCCTTACTTAAGTATACCGAACACGCTTCGCTTTGCTACCGGTAGTCTCATTTGACACTCGATAGCCTTTGCAGCCGTACCAAAACGCAGCTTGGATTTTTGTTTTTGTTTTTTGTTTTTGTTTTTCGGGTTGTCGGTGCATGGCCGACCGATGGCGCTGCCTACTGAGAAGCAGCTATCAACACTCTCAACAATGAAACGACCACTAACTTTGGCCTGGATGGACATGATGCTGGCCCTATTGGAGAAGCGCTACGGCCCAGACGCCTCGCCGGCAGTGTACTGGCATTGCTTGTTGGCCGGATAGTGACAGCTTCAGCTAGATTGATGGTACGTCTGCATCGTAGGCGCAAGAGACTAGACTAGTTGACTAGTTACGGAGTGGGCGACGGCTGTGGATGCGGCCTCAAACCCGAGTGCCCCAAGCTCTCTCATCTTCCAATTCGCCTTCTCCGCCACACTCGGCCACCAACCAACCCCAAATCAACCCACCGAATCGCACGTTCATCTCTGACATGCACTCCAAGATCGTTGCCCTGTTCAGCCTGTGTGCCGCTGCCTCCATCCTGCAGGCGGCTGACGCTGGCGCTTCTCCTGTGGGCGTCTCGCCGCGCCGCCACCTCGGCTCCAGGGAGGACTACGGACACCACCCGCGCCACCACGACCATGACCATGACCACGACCACGACCACGGGAAGAATCACCGCCACCACGATGACAAGCACCCGTCGCACTACTATTACCGTCGCCGTCTCGAAGACGCCAAGGCCACCGAGTCCAAGGACTACAAGGACGACCATGGCAAGGACGACTACGACTACGGCAAGGACCGCAAGGATCGCAAGGACGGCTACGAGCACAAGCGGTACGGCGGTCACGACGACTATGACGATGACTACAAGGGATACGGCTACAAGAGCTACGGCGGAGACTGCGATGACTACGGAAAGGGTCGCCACGACAAGGACGACTACAGCTACGGCAAGGCCTACTACGGCAAGGATGACTACAGCTACGGCAAGGCCTACTACGGCAAAGACTACTACGGCAAGGACGACTACAGCTACGGCAAGGACGTCTATGGATACGACGGATACAAGTACGGCTCCAGCTACTACCCGGACTACTACTCGTCGTACGGATACAGCTACTACCCGGACTACTACTCGTCCTACGGCGGCGGCGGTGACTTTGGCTACGGCTATGGTTACAACTACCCCGGCAACTTCGGCTATGCTAGCTACGGCTATGGCTACCCTGGTTACCCTGGTTACCCTGGCTACCCTGGCTACGGCTACGGCTATGAGTCCGCGACGACGGACGGTGCTGAGGCTGGCCAGAAGGAGTCCGCCACGGCGCCTGCTACCGCTACGGACGTTGCGTCCAACAAGTCGGCGGAGAAGGAGGACAAGACGCCGCCCAAGGAGAAGGAGACCACCAAGTCCGGCGCCACGGACAAGGCCAAGGGCAAGTAAGTGGAGTGAAGTGAAGTGAAGTGGAGAAGGCCGCTCGCTGGCGATGATGAAAAGTAGACGAGGGGCGTTCGTTGGTCATGGAGCAGCTAGCCCACGGAACCTGTAGTTCTGTAGAGTAACATGCGTGTAGTAGCGTCGATAAAAAAACTGGCGGTGGTAGCAATACGACGTCAATGGTTGTCAACTTTCTCGCTGTACTCAGTTTGCTCGTCCGATGCGCTAAACCGTTTCGAACTCGAATGGTGACTTAGTAGAACATGTGGAGACGTTTGGCGTTTGGCACGCCCGATTTGGATGACCCTTACTTAAGTATACCGAACACGCTTCGCTTTGCTACCGGTAGTCTCATTTGACACTCGATAGCCTTTGCAGCCGTACCAAAACGCAGCTTGGATTTTTGTTTTTGTTTTTTGTTTTTGTTTTTCGGGTTGTCGGTGCATGGCCGACCGATGGCGCTGCCTACTGAGAAGCAGCTATCAACACTCTCAACAATGAAACGACCACTAACTTTGGCCTGGATGGACATGATGCTGGCCCTATTGGAGAAGCGCTACGGCCCAGACGCCTCGCCGGCAGTGTACTGGCATTGCTTGTTGGCCGGATAGTGACAGCTTCAGCTAGATTGATGGTACGTCTGCATCGTAGGCGCAAGAGACTAGACTAGTTGACTAGTTACGGAGTGGGCGACGGCTGTGGATGCGGCCTCAAACCCGAGTGCCCCAAGCTCTCTCATCTTCCAATTCGCCTTCTCCGCCACACTCGGCCACCAACCAACCCCAAATCAACCCACCGAATCGCACGTTCATCTCTGACATGCACTCCAAGATCGTTGCCCTGTTCAGCCTGTGTGCCGCTGCCTCCATCCTGCAGGCGGCTGACGCTGGCGCTTCTCCTGTGGGCGTCTCGCCGCGTCGTCGATGCCGCCGAGGCTGAACTCTGGCCCGGAGATTACGTGGGACAACCCGTCGCGTTCGTTCAACCCAGCGGTCCTTCAATAGGCCAGTGGGCATATGGAGTCGTGATTCGCTACGAGATGTTGGCGGCCGGCCCATCGCTCAGCGTGCTAGTCGGGCAGGAAGTTACTACGGTACGACTGTGTGAACCCCTTCGCATCATCAAGGCCGACCCGATAACGTACGCCCTTCAAGTTGGGGTGACAGTGACAGACATGGTTCTCAACGCCAAGGAGCTTCTCGTGCAACAGAATGCAGTGATTATGGCCTGCCGCAGGCGTCGAGGAGAGCTACCAGCGTCGGTGCAGTCCATGCTGACAGATCCCTTCATACCCGAGGAAATCGTGCCTCTCATCTGCCCCCACGATCTGGCAACGGTGCAAGTACGACGGCAGCACGTTCTCGATTGCCTCATGGGTCAGCGCAAAAAGAACGCTCTAGCCATTTACAACGACCCGCAACTGCCACGTGCCGATCGATCAGGCGCCGGAGCTGCACCACAGCGACCCATGTCATCTCACATGCCTGATGACCTACTGAGTATCACAAGCAAGGCAACGGATGATGATATCCAGGCGTTGCGCAATCAGAATCGTATGCTTGGTAAGCGATCAAGAGCCCCGGAACGGGATGGTGCATCGGCACACGACGATCTTCTTGACTATGGAGTTGGTTATGGTACCGAGGACGACGAGCCTAGCTCAAACGACGATGACAATGAGCCCAGTCGGGGTGCGTTTTGACCATCAGCAACCCAGCAGCGCGTAAGCCGGACAATTTTACACCCGCGATTTCGAGGTAAGTCGTGCAACTACATTTTCGAACGTATGCAGCAACGAGTCCACGCCCCCTTCCTCGCCGTGCCACCCGTGTGCCGTGGTCTTCTCGACTTTGGATTTGGCGTCCATGGACTCTCACTGATGCACTGCCATCCGGCAGACTTGATGACTCGCGTAAATGCCCATGATTCGACTGTCAGCTTTACGGACTTCTCGGAACGCAACACGCTGCGCCCAGCTCAAACGGCAAGGTCGCGCACCGATGTCAGCAGATCATTGCGGTCCCTTCGCAAATTTGCTGTGCATTTTTACACTCAGACGGTTGTGAACCTTGTTGACGATGCGATCAGCTTTATCGACTCTTACCAAGGCCTGTTCGACTCCGACAGTGTCGGCTGGAAGCTTATGGCGTTCTGGATCACGAGCAAGTTTAGCAAGTTTTGGAGTATGATTGTCTCGCGCGACGTTGACGCGGCCCGGAGTATCGGTAAGTAAGAGATTACTCGAAAGGACGAGGATCTATTGGAACTGGAAGAGCTCCGACGAGCTCAGCGCGAGCTCGAGCATGCCCATCCGCGGGCCCGACACGGTCAGGATGACACCCGACGTGTCTACAGACAGCCACGCACGTCATCGATCCCAGCTGCCGTGCTATCTGCACTACCGCGTCAAGGTGACAAGCGCCTGTGTATGAAGGCAATCTCGGTCGTCGGCTGCCCCGGCGACGGGAATGGGAACTGCTTTGACAGCAAGCGCGCGCACTTTCAACCCAACTCCTTCCTGAAATCGTGAAAGCCTACATCACCGAAAAGTACAAAGGAGTAGCAGAACAGTCGCAACAATGACTATCATCTGCTGTTCCAGTGATTGATGTCCGTGGTGCCCCGTGTTTGCGTGCTGTGCCCGCTTGTGCAGATCAAGCTGCATCAAGTATTGATGTTCGTGAAAAACTGCGCTCGTGTACAAGGACTCGAGATTTTCGAGATCTATCAAGTACTTTGTATCTACTACAACGCCTCGCTGATATTTCCGAGCGGGACAGATCCTCCAACCTGGCCGAATATGCATCCGCACTGGGGTTGACACCCCCTCCTACCAGTCATGTGGACGACAAGATTGATACAGACTCCGTCGAGTTCCTCACCATGTTGGCGTATCGGTCAAATCTGTCGCTGCCCATGTTCGTGCGTCTGATACGCGGGTAGACCAAGGAGGATGGTAGGCCCAACAAAGCCTTGTATGAGTTGTCCAACAAGTCAGCAGCAAACCCAGACCTATTTTGCCAGCGGAATGGCGTTGTCAGGGAAGGAGTACGTCCACGTTGGACGATGACGAAGCCGGATCGGCAAGTAATTCGGCCCTCCAATCACAAGAGCGCCATTGTCCATTCTGCCGAAGTCCTCAAACACATCAGGAAGGGTCAGCGAGATGGCCGCTATCTCGTACTCAACGCGAGTGTGATCGACTCGTGGTCTGACATATTCCTCAGCCCGGTTGGAGTGGTTGACAAGGCCGGCAACGAGACACGGATGATTAACGACTACTCATATCCTGATGGGGCATCGGTGAACGACATTACGGATCGCTCCAATATCCCGCCAGTCTCCTACAACCCTCCCCGCGATATTGCGCGCCGGATCCACGATTTACGCACGGCCCAGCCTGATGCTGACGTGTTATTGATGCTCGGAGACGTCTCCGGTGCCTTTCGTCACGTGCCTGTCCACGAGGATGCCGTGCACATGTTTGCTTTCGCCATCGACGACTACGTAGTCATCGATTTGACCTGTGGCTTTGGCTGGTGTGGGTCGCCGGCCTTTTACTCTCTAGCGGGGTCTGCCATCAATGATATTTATGAGGGTTCGCACTCGTCGGACTCCTCGACCCACAATGCGTCCCCCTTTCGTGGGAATGTATGGTGTGATGATCACACGTGTGTTGAGATTGATGAGGGTCGAAGATGCCACGATGCCAATGTTGCGCTACGAAAAGCAATGGTCACTGTCTTAGGGCCAAACAGCAATCAATGACCGGAAGTTTACCCCGTGGCGCTCCAAGAATGTTGTGCTTGGCTTAATGTGGGACGCCGCCGACGGCACCGTATCCATCCCAGCGGAAAAACTACAAAGGGCTACCACCAAAGTCGACCAAGTTCTCAATGCCGGACGTGCCTCCAAATCCGACCTCCAGAAGCTTCTCGGTGTGTTTCGCCACGTGGCCTCGTGCTTTCCATCCGCTAGGGCCTTTTACCAGAGGGCTCACACGGCAACCGTGGCAATGCTGCCTTACGGAGCCCGCGCCCTTGACACCGATACCATCGAAGATTTGCGGTGGTTCAGAGCGGTCATGCTCAACCAAAACCGGTTTAATGGGATTCCAGTATCACAGTTTGCTGCAACTACGCCCCCGTGCATAATCGTGGAGATGGATGCTTCCAACACAGGTCTGTGTGCTTTGGACACCAGCCGGCGTGAGTATATCCGACTGCAATACAGTGACGAAGAATGCGCAGAGCTCCAGAGTGGGTCGTATCAGAATTCGATCAACGTACGCGAACTTCAGAGTGCTGTGCTCGCCGCACTCTTGTGGGGACCGCACTGGCAGAATGCATCTCCGACACAGCCCACCCACGTCCAGTTTCACATCGACAATATGAGCGCTGTTTCGTGGGCGAGTCGTCGGTACAGCCGCCACCCTACGGCGCAGCTCTACAATCGACTGATCTCTATGGTTGAGCTCAAGTATGGCCTATTCTTCTCTGCCATCCACATTCCTGGCAAGCTTAACACAATGGTGGATGCGGGATCACGGGCGTGGACTGAATCTCATCCATTATGGGCAACGTGGTCTGATCTTTCTTGTGCGTGGACACAGGTGAACGTCGTACCTCCCTTCGACAATCTCTCACGCGTGTGGGAGCGATTCTGTGCAGCCACGCCCTGGCAAGATCGTCAAACATGAAATACAACGCAAACTGGAAGCAATGGCGCCGCTTTGTAAACTGATGGGCTGGCACACCTGGCTACCAGACTCCGGTCGGGCAAGTTCCAACAAGCTGATTTATTTCGCAATTTACCTCTGGAAATATGGTGGAAACAATGCACGCCGCGGCAACCAGCACAACACGATCCAGTCGAAGTTGTTCAGCGTCATCTGGTATCACCGTCGCTATTGTGGCCTGCAGCTTCGTCGGTCGCCCCAAATGACCATCCTGCTCCAAGGCATCAAGAGGATGTCCGACCCAGTCCGCAAGAAACAACCCGTTACGCCCGCATTCCTCCGTCTGCTGCGGCCCTCTCTCAACTTCACGCAGCCGAGGGATCGCCTTTTGTGGGGCAGTGTCCTTATCGGGTATTTCTTTCTGTTGAGGAGATCTGAATATCTCGCCATCGGCAAGCGGCGATCATTCTATTGTCTCCAGACCAAAGATGTTTTCTTCGCTGACTCGAATGGTAACCAAGTCACCGCGTCAAGCGCAAGCGCAATCACAATCGGCCTACGAGGAGCCAAGAACGACCAGTATGGGCGGGGATCATGGTGCACCATGCACCAATCTGGCGATCGATCACTATGCTCGGTCCGAGCCTTAAAACACATTCTCCGAGGGCGTCGTGACCTGAATGCTGTCCAACACAAGTATCTATGCGCGGAGCTCGACACGAAAACAGTAGCAACAGCGATCAAGCGAACGGCACGAAAGGCTGGAGTATCCGAGTCCAACTACTCGACACGCTCCTTGAGAAGCGGAGGTGCCAGCGCTCTGCTCGCTGGAAAAGCGGATGGCCTCGCGATCAAACTACTGGGCCGGTGGATGTCGCGGTGTTTCGAAGCGTATCCAGTGCAATTGGCCAAATCAACGAGGGACCTCGCCAAGCGAATGATCTAGCCTCGCCACCATTCCAGCGCGGACTCGCAAATCAAGGCATTGGGGCCGCTCGCCACGCCCTCAAATTCAAGTCGAGGCAAAATATATTCATTTGCCCCCCTTACGCCGGTGAGACGGACGCATGAGAAAAATGGAGCAGCTAGCCCACGGAACCTGTAGTTCTGTAGAGTAACATGCGTGTAGTAGCGTCGATAAAAAAACTGGCGGTGGTAGCAATACGACGTCAATGGTTGTCAACTTTCTCGCTGTACTCAGTTTGCTCGTCCGATGCGCTAAACCGTTTCGAACTCGAATGGTGACTTAGTAGAACATGTGGAGACGTTTGGCGTTTGGCACGCCCGATTTGGATGACCCTTACTTAAGTATACCGAACACGCTTCGCTTTGCTACCGGTAGTCTCATTTGACACTCAATAGCCTTTGCAGCCGTACCAAAACGCAGCTTGGATTTTTGTTTTTGTTTTTTGTTTTTGTTTTTCGGGTTGTCGGTGCATGGCCGACCGATGGCGCTGCCTACTGAGAAGCAGCTATCAACACTCTCAACAATGAAACGACCACTAACTTTGGCCTGGATGGACATGATGCTGGCCCTATTGGAGAAGCGCTACGGCCCAGACGCCTCGCCGGCAGTGTACTGGCATTGCTTGTTGGCCGGATAGTGACAGCTTCAGCTAGATTGATGGTACGTCTGCATCGTAGGCGCAAGAGACTAGACTAGTTGACTAGTTACGGAGTGGGCGACGGCTGTGGATGCGGCCTCAAACCCGAGTGCCCCAAGCTCTCTCATCTTCCAATTCGCCTTCTCCGCCACACTCGGCCACCAACCAACCCCAAATCAACCCACCGAATCGCACGTTCATCTCTGACATGCACTCCAAGATCGTTGCCCTGTTCAGCCTGTGTGCCGCTGCCTCCATCCTGCAGGCGGCTGACGCTGGCGCTTCTCCTGTGGGCGTCTCGCCGCGCCGCCACCTCGGCTCCAGGGAGGACTACGGACACCACCCGCGCCACCACGACCATGACCATGACCACGACCACGACCACGGGAAGAATCACCGCCACCACGATGACAAGCACCCGTCGCACTACTATTACCGTCGCCGTCTCGAAGACGCCAAGGCCACCGAGTCCAAGGACTACAAGGACGACCATGGCAAGGACGACTACGACTACGGCAAGGACCGCAAGGATCGCAAGGACGGCTACGAGCACAAGCGGTACGGCGGTCACGACGGCTATGACGATGACTACAAGGGATACGGCTACAAGAGCTACGGCGGAGACCGCGATGAGGTCGCCACGACAAAGACGACTACAGCTACGGCAAGGCCTACTACGGCAAGGCCTACTACGGCAAGGACGACTACGGCAAGGACGACTACAGCTACGGCAAGGACGTCTATGGATACGACGGATACAAGTACGGCTCCAGCTACTACCCGGACTACTACTCGTCGTACGGATACAGCTACTACCCGGACTACTACTCGTCCTACGGCGGCGGTGACTTTGGCTACGGCTATGGTGACAACTACCCCGGTAACTTCGGCTATGCTAGCTACGGCTATGGCTACCCTGGTTACCCTGGTTACCCTGGCTACCCTGGCTACGGCTACGGCTATGAGTCCGCGACGACGGACGGTGCTGAGGCTGGCCAGAAGGAGTCCGCCACGGCGCCTGCTACCGCTACGGACGTTGCGTCCAACAAGTCGGCGGAGAAGGAGGACAAGACGCCGCCCAAGGAGAAGGAGACCACCAAGTCCGGCGCCACGGACAAGGCCAAGGGCAAGTAAGTGGAGTGAAGTGAAGTGAAGTGAAGTGAAGTGAAGTGGAGAAGGCCGCTCGCTGGCGATGATGAAAAGTAGACGAGGGGCGTTCGTTGGTCATGGAGCAGCTAGCCCACGGAACCTGTAGTTCTGTAGAGTAACATGCGTGTAGTAGCGTCGATAAAAAAACTGGCGGTGGTAGCAATACGACGTCAATGGTTGTCAACTTTCTCGCTGTACTCAGTTTGCTCGTCCGATGCGCTAAACCGTTTCGAACTCGAATGGTGACTTAGTAGAACCTGTGGAGACGTTTGGCGTTTGGCACGCCCGATTTGGATGACCCTTACTTAAGTATACCGAACACGCTTCGCTTTGCTACCTAGTCGTCCTTGCCGTAGTAGTCCTTGCCGTAGTAGGCCTTGTCGTAGCTGTAGTCGTCTTTGTCGTGGCGACCTCATCGCAGTCTCCGCCGTAGCTCTTGTAGCCGTATCCCTTGTCATCGTCATAGTCGTCGTGACCGCCGTACCGCTTGTGCTCGTAGCCGTCCTTGCGATCCTTGCGGTCCTTGCCGTAGTCGTAGTCGTCCTTGCCATGGTCGTCCTTGTAGTCCTTGGACTCGGTGGCCTTGGCGTCTTCGAGACGGCGACGGTAATAGTAGTGCGACGGGTGCTTGTCATCGTGGTGGCGGTGATTCTTCCCGTGGTCGTGGTCGTGGTCATGGTCATGGTCGTGGTGGCGCGGGTGGTGTCCGTAGTCCTCCCTGGAGCCGAGGTGGCGGCGCGGCGAGACGCCCACAGGAGAAGCGCCAGCGTCAGCCGCCTGCAGGATGGAGGCAGCGGCACACAGGCTGAACAGGGCAACGATCTTGGAGTGCATGTCAGAGATGAACGTGCGATTCGGTGGGTTGATTTGGGGTTGGTTGGTGGCCGAGTGTGGCGGAGAAGGCGAATTGGAAGATGAGAGAGCTTGGGGCACTCGGGTTTGAGGCCGCATCCACAGCCGTCGCCCACTCCGTAACTAGTCAACTAGTCTAGTCTCTCGCGCCTACGATGCAGACGTACCATCAATCTAGCTGAAGCTGTCACTATCCGGCCAACAAGCAATGCCAGTACACTGCCGGCGAGGCGTCTGGGCCGTAGCGCTTCTCCAATATGGCCAGCATCATGTCCATCCAGGCCAAAGTTAGTGGTCGTTTCATTGTTGAGAGTGTTGATAGCTGCTTCTCAGCAGGCAGCGCCATCGGTCGGCCATGCACCGACAACCCGAAAAACAAAAACAAAAAACAAAAACAAAAATCCAAGCTGCGTTTGGTACGGCTGCAAAGGCTATCGAGTGTCAAATGAGACTACCGGTAGCAAAGCGAAGCGTGTTCGGTAAACAAAGCCGTGCTTTGCACGGGGAAGCTCTGGATTTTCGAGTCTTTTTCCATTTTTTATTTACATGTGTTTTGCTTTGCAGACTTTTGGTACTTCGGACTGTAACTTGTACGACTTATCGAGTGATAAATCGTACTCCAGTACGAATTGCTGAAGTCGTGGATGGTCAATCAGCACTAAGTAGTGAGCATACGCCATCTCCTGCATGATTTAGCACATCCAGCACCTTTTGGCAATTTTAGAAAGTCGAACCAAACCGGGTTCGAGACTCGACTTAGCAACTCGCATTCAAGGCCACTATGATTTACCGCTAAGTGCGAACACTAAGTAGTGCACTACATACTGGATGCAAAGCACAATACTTGGGCTGTCTACAGGGCCGCTCGCTTGATATCGGTCGTGATGTTTTGATGAACGTTTACAGATACAGTATTGCCCCACTTGTGTTATTCACTAAACTTCGTCTTCAATATATTTAATAAAGTAAAAGGGATTGTAGGTTTCATCAAGCGCACGTACAGTTGGCGTTTGTAGTAGGTGGCGGCTTTCTTGATCGACGTCTTTGGCAAAGACTCTTTGCTCAATGAAGCCACCCAGTTTCGCCGGTTGTGCCTTGTCGATCGTTTAGATTGCTCGTAGGTGATCCTCTTTCCGCGCAAACTGATTATCATGCGGTGTTTGAGGTGTAAACCACTCACTACCAATAGGAAACCGGAGAGCACGCCAAGCAAGGTATCATTAAACATGGTATTGAGTTGACATGGTGTTCCGCTGAGTTTCGACTCGTCAATCTTAATATTTAAAGGGTTAACGCGAGACTCTGATTTGTTTAACACAATGATATAAAACATGATCATGGTTATTTTTAATCTATTGGAAGGGTGGGGGGCGTCGGCCTGTATAGTACAGGTTGTAATGAAGGCTCCACTGCAGCGTGTTCATTTACAATACAACTCATCAGAGCAACGCGATTGAGATCCTCCAATACTAGTCATTGGGCGAAAGCCCCATGATGGCGAGCTTACTTGCAGTGTTTCCGGCGTCCTTGCCGCTCAAATATTTACATGAGGGCACGCTAGCAAAGTATATATTGGTGTGCTGATGAGGCATTCATCTCACTTATATCACGTTCTGCTATTTGCTTCCACAGTTTAGCAAAGATCCTGCTACGGTTTCCGAATACGGTAGCTTCGTTTCCTTTGGTAAGTATACCTCTAGTATTTAATACTCTGGTATGTGATATTACAGGTACATATGGTTGTTGCTCGAGTGAGTGACCATCATTAGGGGGAGTCGAACTTGGCAAAAAACGTGCTGATTTTTAGGGCGATTTGATGTTGATTATTTCGGCGAAATCTTGTTGATTTTCAAAATCAACTACCTCCGGAGGTGGTTGATTTGAAAATCATCATGATGATTTCGAACTTCAAGAGGTACCGCTTGCTGTTCCCTCCTCGACCTCTGATACAATTTCAGCTGTTTTTGAAGTCCCTCCTCAACTAGAAATTGTTGTGTATGTGTTTAGGCAAGTTTTCACACGAATCCTCTCCAAATAAACATGTTCACTATCACTATAAACAAGTTTTAGATGTTAACTCGCGGTGGTGGAGACGTTGTGAGCTGCTGGACAGTGTTACGTTGGAGTCGGCCATTGCTAGGTATAAAGCTGAATATAAGAAGATGTATATGCACTAAGCAAGAGCCTGCGCGTGCTGGCGAAAAAGGAGGTGGTAATTTGCTGTTTTCACCAACACTGAGAGTGAGTACCCTACATTGATTTGTTGATTTTGGGGGCAGAACGTTGCTGATTATTCGGCCCCGGATGATATTTTTGTCGCCATATTTAAGGTTCGACTCCCCCTATTATGTTCGATGTGTATTGAGGCACAAGCAACATTCCGTTTTGTCGTGAAATGATTGCGTCGGTTTAACGCAAACATAAATCTATTATGGTGCTATCATTTCAAAATTGGTAGCACCCAACAACTCTGGATTAAAATCCAGAGAACTTATTGTGGGAACCGATTAGATTGTCTAATTGGAATATAAATCGGTTGGTTAAGCAGATGAGTAAGCTTAATCGGGTCGGATTTACTAAATCCGACCTCCTAATTAGATCGACAGCCTAAGCTTTGCACTCTGATTTGACAGAGCAGTCTGTTGTGCCTGCAACGCCATGTGGCAAGCTGATTTAGCTGCTCAGTGGCTTACAAAGCTCTGGACGACTGATTTGCATGCTAATCAGCCGAATGTCCGACACCCACTCGGCATTCGGCGGCGGATTTAAGGTAAAACCGACAAACGCTAATGCTGACGAGAAATGACAGCGCAAATATATGGCTTCACAACTTGATAAATAGATAGCAGTACACGTCGACTGCTCACAGAGAAGCTATTGCTCGTTAGTAGGAGCGCGAAACAGTCAGCTCGTGGTGGTAAGTGGTCGTTCCGCGTATTGCTGGCGGGTAATGAGGCAACCCTATTTTACTAACGCTACACTGATTTATACCCTTACCAATGACATATGCAATTATAAGGATCCCCGATTTAGTACCAGTCAAATCTCTCATGAACGCTGCTTTATCAGCTAATCCGCTCGGACAATCTAATCGGTTTCCACAATAAGTAAGGGTCATCCAAATCGGGCGTGCCAAACGCCAAAGGTCAGGCGGAAATCGTAACAGCGATTCTTCCTCAGTGGACGGTGGCGGTTAGACTCCAGGATAGTACGCAGGTAACGATCTCCATGTGTCTCCCGGACTTCCTGACGCTTCTTCCTCATTTCTTCTCGAGCTTCTTTTGGGTCCGCGTCGAACAAGTCGAAGAACTTGCACTGCTCTAGGACGATGGGTTTGCTGGCAGAAGAAGGCGGGGGACACGAGGGATACTGCTCCACTAGGTCCTTCGACGTCAACGTTGTGCCAGTTCGAGCCAAAGCGGTGGTGAATGCCGCTCCAACGTCACCCCCGCCCATCGTTTGGTTTGGTTGCTTCGGCTCAAGCCTGGTACTTGTGCGTTTCAGGGCGAATTGCAAAGTGAGCACGCGGAAAACAAGCTGTTGATTAGCTGAAGTGGACATGGCTCACCAGCAATCACTCTGATCTTGAATCGTCTTCTTTCAATTCATGGTTGAATCGCGATTCTGAATTGCACAAGGAGAAGTTGAAGTTGAAGTGCGCATTTTGCGGATACCGCAGCGGAGCATGGGGCGGCGAGCACGCGAAGAGAGCGGTGCGTTTCCTCTGCTTGTGGCGCTTCCTGGCCCTCTGCACAGTGTACACGGCGACTCAACGACCGTTCTGCAGCAGGAGACAGCGTCGACATCGAGCGCCGTCGCCGCAACAAGCAACTGAAGCTGCTGCGCGACGGTCAGAGCGTGAGAGCCCAACTGCCATCTGGATGGGGAACTAACGTCAACGTCAACGCCGCCTGCCGCCTGCACAGATGAGGGCTGCAGTGGCGTCGACTGGAGCTGGAGGACGTTCCTGCAGAAGCTGCACTTCTTCCTGGACAACGAGACGGAGGGGGATTCGCTCGCGTGGCTTGAGGACGGCGTCCACTTCGTCGTCCACCAGACGAGTGAGGCGCCGCTCGAGACGTGGCTGGGGCTGAGGGTCTGCTCGCTTCACCAGGTGCTGGAGGCGCTCAACTTCCAGTGCAGAGAGGAACTTCGCTGGGAGTACGTCATCTACCACCACGACTGCTTCGTCCGGGGTAATCCACTAAAGATCAAGGAGATGCTGCAGCCAGACACCTCGGCGGTATCTAGTAAGGCAGGGGGTATGACGATGCCCAACGTCACTTACAGCTCGACACTGAAGCCGCTGGAGGTTCGATTGAGTCTGTCGGACTCCCACTCGCAGTCTTGGGAAGTCATGATCGCACCGAGTGTCCTGCCCCACCCCAACTTCGACGTCCCGGAAGCTTTCAAAGTTGAAGAGAGTTTTGGTGCCGGAAACAGCGCCGACGAGACCTCGTGGGACGACGTGTTTGACTACTCCGATGAGTGGAGCGACCACGACCTCAGCTCGCCGATGTGGTGGTCCCAGCGCAGCGACTTCTCCAGCATCTGCACGGATGACCTGTCGGACATGGACACACTCTCTCAGCTCAGCACGTACTTCGGCTGACGTAGGGGGTTATTTCATCGCGATGACTACAGCGATCTAGGAAAAGTGTCGCTATACGGACGATTAGGTTGCGTTCCTGCACCAAGACGAGGTATATTTTGGTCAATTGACCACCAACGCCAAGACACCCTACGCGAGTATTTTTATCAGAGAGCTTCTGCTCTCAGGTGGGATGCACTTAGGCGCAATCGGAAGCCTTTAGCACTCGCGACATTTTCATTTGATTCTCAGGCATTTATTTACTCGCAGGCATTCATAATGATGGAGACGAATTTCCAACGCCGAAGGGTGGGGCATGCTGGAAAGGTTGACGGTGTTGGGGTTACGCAGGGTAGTTTGAGCCCCAAGGGAACTATCAAGAAGATGAAGCAAAATCGCAAGACAAAGGAGCGTCAAGCCCAGGAGATGTGCAATCTGAACGTTCAAATCGGCCGACTCGAAGACCGAGATACTCAGCAACAAGCTTTTGCAACGCTCATGTAAGAAATCTAACAACTTCGCAAGTAGATGAGTGTGATAGTTTTTAACTGCATCAGTTCATGCTCTAGTGAAACTTTTCAGGCACTTGAGTCGAGTTTGGTGAAGGAAGTGTATGCTCTGATCGAGAAGAATAAGGTAGGTCTTCCGTAAGTTGTTGCCTAGTCAGTCGGTAAAAACGTTCAACTAACATTACGGTGGCGTAATGTCCTAGAAACCTGGTCGCTCGTCAACCCGACGTATGCTGGTCTTGCTCATCGCAGCTCTTTGCAGATGCCACCCAGTGCAAACAGCCAAGCTGTTGCCGCGAATTTTATCCTACACATGCCTTCGCCTCCGTGACGGCCACGCCAAGACGACCGATGCCTGCGTGGTACTAGTATCCGCGCTTGCGTTGTACGTTGTGCCATGCCCTGTTGTAACACTCCCTAGTGGCCAGCCCGGCGCATCACCCTGCAAGCAGCGCGGGGATAGCAGCATTCAACAGACGTTCGAAGCGATCGCTGCTGTCTTTGCTAGAGAAGCTAATGCGGTTGGTGAAGCTGCCACGAGATGCCTCTGTGGTCTGCTCCACCCTGTTGCTTTTGACGGAGTATCAGTGCCAGGACCAAGTACAGTTCTAGCTCACGCCACACGCATCCATCCGTTCTTCAAGAATCTCCTAGCTGATACTGTTGACAAGCTAGATGGTAGTACGATGTTTGCCACGTTTTCGCCTCTGTTCCTTGTGCTGCAGTCCGCATGTCAGCTCGCTCGTGAGGCCCACGAGAAAGCCTCTTTCGTTCAATTGGGTGGCTACTTCGCTCCGCATATCGCATCGATATACGAAGCCATCGAGGACTCCTTCCAGTGCGGACCTCGTGAGGATTGGATGCTACGAAAGCGCGGCATGGAACTATTGACGATGCTGCTAGATATATTCGCACTGCAGGACGCTGCTTGGTGTGTGGCAGTTGACGTGGCAAAAGAGTACTTTCAATCGCAGTTGGTACGTTCCCTGCATGACTTGGATGTCCAAATCCTAGACTCGGCTTAACTGTTGGTGGTGTTCTTGTTCAGGAACGACTGAGGATTCTCGTCTTAGCTGGCCGGCATGATTCTGTATCAGTGGTTCGTGAGGCTGCTATCCCTGCAGCTATGGCATTCGAACACTTGGAGAAATTATTCCCACAAGCAACCAGTGGTGGGCGTCCCAACACCGGTGCTTACTATGATTTCGTGCCACCAAATCCTCCGAGCTACGCGTTTAGTGGCAAACGGTGGGCGCGACCTACGGCGGCTAATGCTCCAGATGCTCATAAACCTGCTGTGGATGATAGCGCGGACGAACTTCGTGCTGAATTGGTAGCGGATGAAAGTACACCAAGCTTCGGTGATTCTGTGGCGGGAGACGAAGCCTTGCCATCGCACGAAAACCCTTCCGATACAGATGACCCAGTGCGAGGTCCCAACACCACTGCGCATGGGAGAATTGCCCGCAGTCACGCAGCCCATAAATCAACTAGAGATCCAGGGGCAGATTTCGAAACTGCATTTGAAGCATTGTCACGGCCTGAGGATCGAATTCAAGACGATGAGATCTTTACCGACCAGCTCATGGATCATGCTGCTCCAGAACACGGTGATGAAGCAGAAAACCTAAGCCCAGAAAATGATAAGTACAAGAGTAAGAATGGTGTAGAGCAACCAGCTAAAGTGCAACGCAGAAGCTCGAATCTGCATCGAGTCGCGTTGGCAGCAGCAAAAGTTGACACACCTACGAGGTCAGTCACCTCGGCAGCAGGAGCATTGCAAGCCGTCGCAACTTTGAAACAGTTTGCAGCGAAGCAAAAAGCGCAGATGCGAGCGAGACGCACCCAGCACCAAGACGTCCCTCAGATATCCCTTCCAAAGCGCCGATCGCTCCAAACCATCAAGCCGTCCGTAGATGATGAGGGCGACAGCCAACCACTAACCAGCCACAACAGCACCATGATCCCAAGTGATAGCAAGGGCAACGACGACGACCGTGATAGCAACCTCGAGCTTACTCGCGCTGAGGCCGCATTGGAAGCGGCGCAATGTGATGAGTTCGAGTTGGCATTTCGCCTCTGTATAGTCGAAGACGACTTGGAGTTACTACGACGTACAATGACGATCGTCGGGACTCCTTGCATGGCGACACTATCAAACGTGGCGCGCAATGCGTTGTGCACTGCGTTCTTATCGCTCCTAGATGGCGATACTCGCGAGGGCGCCGAAGACTCATCCGATGTATGGCTGGCATTGCAGTGGCTGCAGCATTGGGCAGCAGACGTCAAACAAAGCGATCGACGGCAGTTCGACCAACTCGATGCTCGGGTAGCGCAGGCGCTACTTGCAAAGCTCCACGAGATGTCTACATTATCGTCGAAGTCGGCGCTCGCAGCAGCGCACGTGCTGTTTCTGCTCGGCGAATGAGCGGCTCTGGTCTGCTTTGTGTGGAGAGCCGTAGTTCCCTGCAGGCGTTTATCATCTTTAAACGTCAAAGAACGATTATGTATTGAGCGGAGATCGAGAGCTATTGTGATTTTGGCAAATCAAGGCCTCATATATCCGATATATCGGGTCCGATTTGTTAAAGTGGTCCGATTTGATGGGATCGCCATTCCGATTTGTTAGCAGCTACCCGAATTGCCGCTTTAATGTTGCAATTCTGAGGGGCAGTGATTATCTCCATGCACCCCCGATTGTAGTGGATTTGCCACAGCTGACCTCGCCTTTTACGGAAGAGTAGTGCCATGGCAACATACACCGCGTCGATTCTTTCAGCTAAGAAAGCAGAACGAACAAGTAAACAACCCGCTCGCTGCGCTGTCACCTAAGCTATCTCTGCACCTACTAGTTAGAGTAGATGGACATTGAACAGTGTAGAGCATGCTTTATTTGACTTCACTATGTATTTCACCTGCTTTGAATGTTCGATCCCTATTTCAGACCCCATACAGCTCCAATTTATATAAACGGGGTCCGATATAAAGTTGTAAATGAGAGGGCAAAATCCCTGCAAGCCACAATACTGATATATTCATCATAGACGGGGATTTGAGTATTGGGGGTCGGGGTATAGAGAATTAGTATGCAACCCTATGAATTGATAGTAGTTATTAGAGGTGATCAGTTATTGCCGTCCCTCTAAGGCGCCACCATCTGTAAATTGTATTGGTTCAACTTCCAGTGTTGATGTTGAGCTGCATTGTAGTCGTAACGAAGTACTGTGCCTTCGTTTCTCCGGTTAAAATCTTTCTCTTGCATCTACTGTAACTTGAATTGCGATCGAAGGCAGCGAGGATCTCGGCAAACAAGCGAACCTGCTGTGTGACGGCAGATGCCAACTTATGCCGAACGAGCAAGTTGGTCAAGCGGCTTGCAGGTAAATTGCGTACTCTGACCGAACCAGGCAGTCGTGTTGATGAGCAAAATATGCAGTAAGTATTCCATCTAACCTTACACAGAGTTCTTGCGCTGGAAGCTCGCGTTCGAGTTGTCAGGGTCCGATCGGTCGCCACTCAGGCTTTCGTCCTCTGTCATGCCCACCTGCACCGAGTTGAGCGGAGCCGCCTGGGCAGGCAGCGCATCGCTCGAGTGGAGCGGCACCGCGCCGTCGTTGGCGTCACTGGAGACGTCAACTCCGTAGAAGTCGTAGATGGTCTTGACCGTGACCTCCGAGTCCTTGCTGTTGATGTCCTTGTGGTAGGCCTCGAGCACGAGCCAGAAGAGCGGCACGATGTACAGCGCCGAGAACACGTCGAGAGTGTAGTGCTTGCGCGAGGCCACAATGAGGAACGCAATGATGATCTGCACGCACACCATGATCGTGATGCCGTACTTGTTGGGCCAGTACTTCCAGATCGTCAGGATGAGCGACACAGTGTAGATGGTGTGCGAGCTGAACATGAGGTCACCGCAGCCGGTGAGCGAGTCGAGACGCGTGAACAGCTCGCCTATCGTCGGCGGGTTGAAGTCCGGGTTGGGGATGACGCAGGGCACCGGGTCGTCCGGGTTCGCGGCCAAGCACGTCTCGTTGAACTTGAGCTCACAGTGGTCGGCGGGGGACGGCAGCGCCGTCACGAGGAACGAGATGCAGCGGAAGACCAGGCAGATGCTCAGCTGCAGCAGGCAGCGCTTGAGCACGATGACGAGGTAGCGCGGGCGGCCGGGCTCCTGGCGGAAGAGCGGGATCGTCAGCACCAGGACGATGGCTGGGCCGAAGACAGCCGCGAACACCAGGATGTCCGAGATGGAGGCGGCGAAGCCCGTGAGCTCCGACATGAGCTCGTAGCCGAGGTCATGCAGCGTGAAGCGCTGCTCCACCGTGAGGTAGTTGCCCTGGATGTAGTAGGCCAGGTTGTGGAAGATGGCGTGGACGTACTGCATGATGACGCAGGGCAGGATAATCTTCCACTCCTGCTTGAGCAGCTGGATCTCGATCTTCACATAGTTAATGAAGCTCTCCTTGTCGCGGAGCTGCCAGACCCTGCCCATGGTGGACCGCCGAGTCGGAAGAGGAGAAGGAAGCGCTGGTGCTGCTTGACTGGGAATGGGGTAGCGTAGCGAGTGCTGCGCTGGGATCAGACGGAACTGTACATAAGAGAGAAGAGGTCGGCGGAAGCGGTGAGTGTCGGAGGCGAGCGTTTTGCTGGGGGCTTTCAGGGGCGAGCAAACACGAACGTACCTCGGCACTGTGCGCTGCGTGCTGGCCGATTATCGAGTGGAGAGCCCCGGGAGTCTCGCAGTCGCGCTTGGCCTCCTCTTCTGTGTGTGGAACGGCGACGTCCGCGGTTGGCCTGCTGTTGTGTTGTGAGTGCTCGGTCAAAGACGGGCACGGTTGATTGCGGCCTAATTACAATGACTTCAAACATTTAATAGTGGGATGAAATGATAGTACCGACGTCCTATTTGTTGCATCTATCTTTGTCCTGTGCTATTTTTATCCCCCAGTGAATCCGATGGGGGCGATATATAGAGGGAAATAGTGATTGCGCACTCGGGCGATCAGTTGGAGCAGATGACAACCAACGTCGCAGTCGTCCTTCGCAGCACGGCAAACCTTCACTTCACTTTGCTCGACTCGAGGTTGCGCCCGGTGGATACCTGCACCTGCGGCCTGCACGAGCGTCGCTCTCGGGGAGCCATGTCGCTGCTTGAGGTTGGTCTCCACCGAGTCCACTCCAGTCGAAACGCTCTCGGCCCTCGGAGCCTAATGATAGCGCTGGGTCGGTTTCGAGCGAGCAGAGCGCTAGCGGCTGGATTTTCCTCCGCCATGGAGCTACTGCAGCGGCCGTGAGACTCCATGAAGCGACTGAGCAGTTCTTCGCCGCAGGGTGTCGCCGAACAGGAGCGGGGCGCGCACCTCCAGCTCGCGCAGCGCCACCGGAAGATCGTCGCCGGCAGCTTCAAGGGCCGCAAGGCGCTCGAGCCCGAGTTCTCCACGCCTGGCGTCGTGGGCAAGCTCGCGCTGAGCTTTACGACCACTGGGCCGCTGGCCAAGCACACCCGGATCACGTGCCAACTGCCCGACCACGGGTGGACGCTGCCCACAGGTTCATCGCCCAATGTCGTGCTACAACTGCCGTCCCCGAATGAGCACGCGACCACTGCGGCGCTGCCCCAAGTTAAGATGACGTGGAGTGCTCCGACCCGGACGATGGAGTTTACGTTGCTGAACGAGAGTGTGATCCCTGCAGATACGCCTCTGGTGTTGGTGGTGTCTGGTGTGGGCACTCCAGAGAAAGCGACGCCGCAAGGCGAAGCCATTGTCACGACTTTCGAGAAGCTGGTGGTCAGGAATACCGTACCGACGTCCACGCGTGGCGGACAGATCATCGATGGACCAGCTGCGTTTACACTACCGAAGATCATGCCTGGGTCGATTGGTGGGGCGAAACGCTGGAGCCCGTTTAATTGTTGCCCTGGGGCAGTCTCTGCTGTCACGCTAGCGTTCACTGTCAATGGCAAGATCCCTCAAGGTGGAAAGTTGCTGGTGGAGCTGCCGCCGAACGGATGGGATATGGACGGACAGCCCAAAGTGCTGCTTCGCACTCCGGTGTATCATAACAAAGCGATCTCGGCGGCGTGGGACTGCAATCAGCACGCGCTGGAGATATATCTGGGTTCTGACGGAACATCAATTCCCACGAAGACGAACGTCATATTGACGATCGCTGACGTGAAGAACCCGAAGAAAGAGACGACGTTATCAACTCTAGCCAACGCAGCCAATGAGATGTCGGCCGCTGCACGTCTTACGACGCTCTCGGCAAGTGGTGGAGTAATCGATGGCCCCAGTCGAGTCGAAGTGGCCCGCATTAGCAAACTCCGAGAGCAAGATTTTGAAGTTCTCACCAAAGTTCTTGACACAGATGCAGCGGAAAACCCAGCCAGCGAGGAGGACATCGCTATTGCCACCGTTCCAGATATTTTGCGTCGGGCAGGTCTTACTCTCTCAAACGAGTTGTACCAGTCTCTCGTGGTGCCGTGCTTTCCCGTGCGCGACGCTCTCCCCAGCATTGACCAAAAGAACAACGAGCCCGCGTCTTCTGACACCGCTCGTTCAACTGCTTCGGATGCCACACCGAATGCACCAGCCGTTGACCGTCTTTCGCGAGAAGAGCTGCTTAATGTGTTTGCTCTAGTGTACGCTCCTGCGTACAAGTGCGGCCAGCAGCTTCGTTTGGCGTGTGGTCGAGGACACGTGGATCTTGTGCGAGAGTGGATAAGTCGCGGCTGCAATCCAAACGCCGGGGATGCTTCTGGCTGGTCCTCCCTGCATTACGCCGCGGACTACGGCCAGCTCGAGGTGCTGAACTTGCTAGTCGAGATGGCATCCCCGCAACCAGAAGCTGACGGCACTGATGCTTCCGAGGCCATGACACTGGAGATCGACGCCCGCGACAGCCACGGCTGGACTCCGCTCATGTGTGCAGCTGCTAACGGCCACGTCGACGTCGTCGAGAGGCTGTTAGCACTCGGCGCAAGTGTCTCATCGACCAGTACCGAGCAACGCTCCGCTCTCCATTGGACTGCTATTCGAGGCATGCCCACCGCAGTCTCTGCGTTGCTAGCCGCTGGAGCAGACGTGAACCTCGTGGACCGCTGCGGCTGGACGCCGCTGCACTGCGCAATGCTGCACGGCAACTCGAGCTGCTCCACCATTCTCATCGAGAAGGGAGCAGACCAAGCGGTGAAGGACAAACTGGACTACACACCCCAGTTCTACGGCGACGCAGCATTCCTACCCCACAATACAGGCACCACGTAAGAGCCCACTTCATGCGTGTCCGTCTTGTCTTTGCTGCCTTTGACATGCTTCTCTCTCATTGGCTGAATATATGTCCATGTTTGCTCAATCAATTGAAACACCGGTAATTACGTATACCCTTTGATATCGCATTTGCCTGGAACATGGTGTGTTGATCAAATCACCTGTGTCATTTAATTCCTCGCTTGAACCGACACTTGTATCCATATCGAATATGCGGTGCGGACACCGTGCAAGCAACTTCACCACTCCACAAGAATCTTAGCAGCCCCAAGCAGCTCCGTCACAGCTCAGGGCCATTCCGCTTCCTGCCGCTGCTGTAGCATAGCAACCATGGCCACGTCCGTCGGAGCCAAAGTGCTGGCCGAGGTGTACCGCCTGCACCACATCCCGCTGCCGCCTATCACGCTGCAGGCGCTGCTGAAGCGCGGCCCGAGCGCCAGCCCCGCCATCGCCGCGTCGCTGCAGAACGACCCGCAGGCGCTGGGGAAGTGGCGCGAGGCGAACGCGCCCGCCATCGTCACGTCCGCGCAGCTGCTGCACCGCGAGGTGCCGATCCGCATCGCGCGCCGCATCGTGGACCTCGAGAACCTACCGGACGAGCTGCCGAGCGCCGAGCCCATCGTGTCGCTGCGCGAGCAGCTCCTCAGCAGCTTCGACCAGCTCGTGAGCTGCCCGCTGCCCGCCAACCTCGCGGGCGAGCGCGAGTTCATCGAGCTGCACCAGAAGATCCGCAAGGAGCACGCCTCCATGCACGGCAACATCGCCGAGGCGGTGCAGGCGCTCGAGTACGAGCCTCAGGGGCTCAGCGAGTCTCTCGACAACTTCTACAACTCGCGCATCAGCAACCGCCTGCTCGTGGACCAGCACCTGGCGGCGCAGACGCCCAAGTCCGGCTTCTCGGGCATCGTCAACGACGAGTGCTCGCCCGTCAAGATCGCGCGGGACATTGTGCAGAAAGTGCGTCCGCTCTGGACCGAAAGCCTCAGCGGCGAGCAGCTCCCCGAGATCATTGTCAGCGGGGACGAAGACGCCACCTACCGCTACGTGCCGCAGCACATCGAGATCATCCTCACGGAGGTGCTCAAGAACGCGGTGATCAACAGCGTCGCGGCGGCCAAGAGGACGGGCAGCGCTCCGCCGCCTGTCAACGTGTTGATCTCCGGCGGACCGCATGGCGTGTGCCTCAAGGTGTCGGACCTCGGAGGCGGCATGACTCGCCAGGAAGCCAACGCGCTGTCGAACTACTACCACACGGCGACGTCCCCTCCTTCGAGCGGATACGACCCCATCGCCGAGATCCTGGAGAGACGTGCCAGCGGCCTGGACTTCTCGGACTCGTTCGGCCTGCGCATCGCTCAGCTCTACGCCAAGTACTTCGGGGGCGAGCTGGCCATCATGCCCATGGAGGGCCACGGCGTGGACACTTATATTTACATGAACTGTCTCACGGGCGCCTCGGAGGTCAAGTAAATCGAGTAAGATAGGCCAATTCACCAGTGACACTGGCTGAGTGATCTGGAGGGTCCTGCAGAATGGAGGAAAATAATGCTGTGTGCACGATCTGACTTGAAAAACACCATTACTATATAAACGCGTTCAAGCGTTTCTTGCCTAATTTACTCTAGTGTAATCCGTTTTCAGCTTGTGAATCGCCGAGATCGTCGCCCATGCACAGTATTCCGTTCCGGTTGTTTGTTGTGAACGAGTTGGATCTGCAAGATCCCCATCGAAGTAAGCAATACATCGGACACCCACTCGGCGTCGTCGATGAATACGAGTGCCAGCCTCTGTGGAAATCTAAAGCGTAAGCGCGTCTACATGACTATGCTCCGGTTCTTGTGATTCACTGACAGATCGATACCCCAGTGGCGCCACGTACCCGCAGGAGCTGGGGTTGATTCTGCTTTCAGGTCCACGCACAGCGATAAAGTCTATTCGGTTGAGTGTGGATTGCACTCGGGCCCCATCCCAAAGTAAGTGAAGAAAATTAGTTTGCAAGCAAAACCTGAGCTAACTGCTCGCCTACGGTAGTTGCCATCTTTACAGAACAGGGAGGCGGAAACGGACGTCGCTCTCTTGACGTGGTGTCTCGCTACTTCAGCACAGAATGGAAACCATGCTGGTAGAGTACTTTGCATGATAGCAATTTGGCGTCCTCACTAAAGTAGTTTGCATATTTCTCTGCAGCAAGCCTCTTGTCTGGGAAGCATGTTCGTCGGCAATGCTAAACACAGTCGAAAAACTTGACAGGATGGCTTCCTTGGATATTCGCGAGTGCTCATTCCTCAAGCTTGTTATTCACGCACCCCACAAAAGCTCTCGCAACCAATCCCACCAGGTATCGCTGCATATTTCACCTCAAACTACATATACAACCCTGATTTTGCTAACTATTTCGCACCCAACAGGTTGCTCTGGAAAACATTGAGCTGCTCGGGTTAGCCGAAGATTTAAATCTTTCACGGGCTGTACCTGGCGGCAACAATGATTCCAATCGTGTCTTTGGTCGCATCCACCGTCCCGAACTGCTTCACCCCGCAGATGGCAACGATGAATTGCAAGACGTATTGCTAGATGCGGGCATCCCTATGGATCTTGTAGCTCGGCTTATAAGCATATCTGAAGCTAAAATGCCGGCTTTACCTCTCGAAGATTGCAAGTCACAAGTCGCTGACAACAGCGAAGCGGTTCCTGAATCGAGTTCTGAAGGCAAAACATCCGTGGCTCTTCCTGGTAGTCCTTCTGCCGGCGTATTGGAAACAAACGACGACGACAGAGAAATTCCTTCACCGTTTGACTGTTTACTACGACAATATGTCGAACAAGCAGCACTGGAAAAAGCTGTGCTCGAGGATATTCTTGCTACAAAACTGTGTGAGCGCAAAGACGACGTATCCACCTGGCAAACTCCAACGATCTCCCCGACTGATCCTGCAAACACTGCCGAGATCACGCTGTATACATTTGGAGTTTTCTTCACGCAGTGCTTGCTTTGCGGTGGATCGGATATCCAAGTGATGTGTGTACAAATGGCGGAACGTTCTGCTCGATTGCTAGTACAGGTTATTGGACCCACCCCCGTGTTTGAGGGCATGGTAGCGCTTATCGTCCTCGCTATTCGGGAAGCGGAATCGCCGCAAGTCTTTCAAGCTGCGGTTCATCTAGCACATAGCGTGTTCCTGACCAAGGTGACCAACACAAAGAACGAAATATTTCAAACGCAGTTACCGACACCTGAAAGTACTGCTGCGTCAACAAACACTGTAGCTCTCGGGCTAATCGACGATATTTCTCGCGCCAATTGGAGCTACGGACTTCGGATTATTCTCGAGTGGAGTCTCGCAAGCCCTTTTTGCTGGCTGATTACTGCTCAGTGTGGAGGAAAAACTTCACAACGTACCAGTTCATGTAGGCACAACCCTTCGTTTCGGTCTGCAAATGCACCACCATCGATAGATAGGGGATTCCTCCAGTTCGTTCGCCTGCTGATCGAACAAGATTTAAGTCGAGTCAGCTTCTTTGACGAGCTTCTTGATCTTGAGCCTGCAGATACTGTGGCTGGGTCGATTATCGCGACAAACCGGTTACGATTGTTCCGCTTAGTGTTGCGAAATGAAATAATTCGCTGTCAGCTCTCGAAGAATGTGAGCAATGGCATCCAAAGTCTTTGCAGCAGATATGTAGACTCTGCAAGCACAACGGGTGATCTATCTCGTGGGGTTAATAATGATGTGTTGCGGCTTGCTACGGAATGCTTGAACGAGATCAACCGGACAAATTCGAGCTCACCCCAAATCAATGCCAGCAAAACCTACACGAAGTCTGTCCGCAAACACATCGAAGACTTAAATAATTCCCACAGCCATCACACTCATTGCCATCGCCATATTCCACTGTTCATTCAAGATCCCCTCACGAATGCCGAGGCTGCCACGTTCGCGACACATTTACAGCGATACTTTGTGTCCCAGCCTCGCCCTAATGCGCTTTATCGACATGCATTTGTTCGTGCGAATGAATTAGTTCCGGTTGTGGATGGAGAGAATTCGGTTGAATCGTTTCGTAAAGGCAACATCACTTTTGAAGGACACGTTATCGCAAGAACGCCATCAAACGAGACTTTTCACGACAAAATCCAGCGAAACGCAGCTCCGTTTGTGTTCGACATTGACACTTCGATTCCCAAGAAGCCACCCACGACGCATTCCTCTCAACCAGCAGACAAGCAACAAGTTGTGTCTAGTTTTGCTACATTTCGAGGAGTAATCGAAAAGCGAAGTGACCCTCCAAAACGACCAAGTAAAGTTTCTTCAGCCGAAACTGCACAAATTACACCGACCGCACCAACTCCAAGAACCACATTCAAGACGACCACTGAGCCATCCGTGAAGATTGAAGAACCTACGACTTCCTCTGCTACCAGAACCCCTTTCACCAATAGTGCTGATGCAGATATGGCAAAGAGCACAGTTCGGGGTATGAATTCCCCACCAAACAGTACACCCGCGCATCAAATGCTTTCACCGTCCTCACCGCTTGACAACCATCCTGCGGCAGTTGCTGCTGCTGTTGAACAAGCCAAAGCGAAACCCGACGACAAAAAACAGTTAAACAATTCTAAGCCGCCTGACCGAACCAAGAAAGACGCAGGCAAAGGGAAAGCAAAAAGCAAAAACCCTGACAACTGCGTGCTACAATAAGTTTTGTCTCAATAGTAACTATTGTTTTACTATGGACGAGAGATTTCCGTTATTCTTTTGACGAAGAGGAAAGTCGTATCGACGCTGATGTTCCGGAGGTAGTTTGCTGACGTAGTGACTAAGTACAAACTCCTCGTCTACATCGTTACAAAGAGCCAATACGAGTTGCTTGGCTGCCTCGCGAACAAGGGGATTTTCGTGCTGATCTGCATCACTTAACGTTAAGAAGCGCAAAATGCGTCGAGGTGCAATGTCAAAACTTGCGCAGCAGTGAAATGACAATAGTAGCGCTGATAATAGCTTCAACAGGGCTAGAAGCTGCTGGTCTGAAGGCTGGGAGTTTTTGTGCTCAACATGCTTAAGAAGAAGGTGTGTCACGAATGTGCCTCGAGTTCGCGTGGAGCCTGCGATCTATAAAATAACGTCTAGCTTTAGCTGAAGCAAAACAGTGAGCAAGTGACAGCCACTTACCTTTAACAGAGCGAATGCTGCGGAATTGCGGACTGATGCCTCGCGAGAGTCAAGCCGCTCCAGCAGACAGTCCACGATTTCTTTCATCTAACCCATGGCAGCAAAAAAAACATTTTTGCGTCAGCTTCAGGCACTTTTGCATGGCCCACTCGCACACTTACATCCAATTTCGAAGCAGATGTGTCTTGGAAGTACGCCAACGAAGCCAGCAACGAACGGAGAAATGCACAACCAGCACCAAACACGTCGGTGTTTGTATCATCCAATGCTGCGATCAATATGAGAAGGGACTCCTCATCCGACAGCGCATGATGGCTGGTTATCAAAGTTCTTCGATTGAAATGGCGTGTCGGAGCCTCTGAGGTCTCTGCAAGTTTCCACAAGAGTGCTTCTTTCTCTCGAGGTTGACTGACCTTAAACCTCCTAAGTATATCGTTCTCCTTGGACTTTAGAAGCACTGCTGATAAATCCTGGTCATCCTTGGTCGACGTAGGTGAAGCTGAAATCCGCTGACAAAGTATACTTTCTTGCTGTTTTCGGCGTCGCTCGAGATCACCGAAACCTTCCCACAGATCCTCTGTGGTGTAACTTCTGGTATCCGATTGCATTTGAGGTAAGTTCGCCAGACGATCTGGTGCTGCAGCTTCCTCAAATACACTGGTCAGTTGATTCGCTTCCCTCTCCAACGAAATCCACGGCAGGACCAGTGTATCATCCCCAGCAAATTGGGCTAACTGCTTTCCAATCTGGATGTCAGCAATAATTTGCTCGGGGGTCTTCTGCTCCTGCGTATCTTTGATATAGATATCTGCTGCGCGCGGCGACTTGGTTCCGAAAGTCTTTACGGGCTTGGACACATTTGTATCGTACGCACTGTAAGCTCGTCGTCGAGGCGACGGTGCATCCATTGTGTTGTTCTTCCGAGGCGACGGTATCATCGGCAACACGACACTTGTCTGCTGAGGACCTAGCGCTACCACCGACGCTAGTCCAACTTGACTGAACAGGTTGCTTCGTGTTTGGTGGCACGAATGCAACACTAAGCGTAAATGGGTGATCTTCGGGCACGGTCGGGGAAGCTGGACTTCTTGGAGCTCGCACGCAGCTACGTCTGTGGAATCATTGCTGAGGACGCACACGAAGCCGAGCCTCTCAAATCGCATACCAGTCTTGCCGTCGTGGATCCCATCGCTCGACGCCGACGACGTGCAAATCTCGACTCGAGTCGCTACTTTAAACGGGTGCGACAGCAGATTCACCTGCTCAATCCGCGTTGGCAGGCCGTGGTTGACTCGGAACACAAGCTCCTGGGGAAACTCGCAGAACTTTTCCGACTCCCAAACAGTTAGCTGACCCCCTCTTGGCCGCGTCACGTTCGTCGCCGGGCAGCGCTCGTCCTCGCTCGAGCAGAAGACGAGCTCCAAGTGAGCGGCAGCCCTCCCCTCGTCGCTCATTTCTGCCGTCCGCCAAGCCAGCCAGAAATACACGGCAACAAAATGACATACACTCCTTGTTGAAGTTGCATGCTGTATGCCGTTTACAAGGTGGTACTTTGTGTTTTGTACATAAGTTCCAGAAGGCCTATCTCAATTGTCACATTTCAATACGTGAGCGCGTGCTAAGTCAAAGCAGGAGCAGGAAGAGATGCCGACGCTGAGCGAGGAGGAGCAGGAGCTGATCCAGAAGGACCGCGAGGCCAACCCTGGCTGCTTCTACTCGACGGCGCTGTCGCAGTCCTGCAGGTCCATCAACGGTGACAGCAAGTGCGAGATCATCAAGAAGATCTTCCGCCAGTGCCCCAACTCGCGCAAGGAGCTCATCTCGAACCGCAAGGAGATCACGGAGGACGAGCACGGGGGCGAGGCGGCGGCCGGCGACTTCTTCAACCGCGAGAGGATGGACCCGCGCAAAGGGTGCGTGTGCTGATGGCTATTAGTTGACAATATCGGGGTTGGTCTGACCTTGTTCGGTGCATTTGAATCGGTGCATTTGGTGCAGAGGTGACCACGAGTTTGGCTCATTCTTTCAGCAACGGTGCGTGATTTGAGGCAGTTTGGCAGGTAAATGGGGATGAACAGCATTGGTGTGCTGATGTTCGGGGTGTTGTGAACGCAGAGGTGACGACTTCGAAGCCCAGATGAGTCCATTCGACTTCCTCAGACAGGAAATGCTGCGTCCTTTTGAAGGTACGAGTTGGGAGGCTTGGGGCTGGTTTATAACAGTTGTAACAATGTTTTAATTTGCTGGTGGTTTGCTGTTACAGACTTTTTTGGTGGAAGTATGCTCGGTCGTGGGGATTTCAACCCGTTTGAAGGACTGGAAGGCGAGTTTGAGCGGATGCCAGTGCGCCCACCGTCGCCGACACCTCATCGACCATCGCGACAAACGCCTTCGAATCCACCGCACTATTCATTTCAGCCGTCTCAGGGCCATGGGTCAAATGGTAGGGAAATTTCGTGTTGCTGGCAACCTGTTGCGTTTTCTAAAAATTTTTGGTGTCGTCGTGCAGAGGCAGAAGCGAAAGCGCGCGCACAAGGCAAGAGCGACATGTTTGCCGACTACTCAGGCCGCGTGGAGGAAGTGTAAGCGAAACCTGGGTCGTATAGCAGGTGTGGGCAGATATCCTCCCCGGGGAAGGTGTGGAACTTGGCAAAGCCATGATGTATTAAGCTGGATTGATCCTTCGCCTTCGACTCACACGTTTGGACGCCCGAGTTGAACTCTTGCATAGGTTAGGAGCCTGTCTTTTGAATAGACTGCCATTTTGTTATCAGTACCGTCGACTAACCTCTTTCGAATGCTATACCCAACGTAACTTTACGGTGGAGCAATGAACGCGATGCATGATGTAAGCGACTATCCTCAAGCTGGAACTTTTCGAATGCATTGGTCTGGATTTCTGACACGCTTTCACAAAGTGGAGAGCAGCACGACGACAAAGCGTTCGGAATCAAACCAATGCACGCAAGACCCACCAGTACTGGTTGAAGAATCCCAGCGTCAGAGCTGGGAACCATTTCCACCGGGCCCAGCAGGGATCTTAGAATGGATATGCCAGAGCATCCGTTTTGGTAATGCTAGAAGTATCAGGGCCGACACTACTTCTGGCGAAAACTAGGTCGTCTTCGACTTGGCTGGGAACACCAGTGGTATAAACGCTGGTGATGGTACCGGTGCTAATTGCCATGATAAGGGAGAACTGTGGCCCGCGTGATTCATGGGTGTGGCCCCTCCTTTTAAACACCCATGAAGATTGCGCGTGCCGCAGTTCACTTTCTGAAGCTGGTGTATGGGTCTGTTGACGTGCATTTCCTGCCTCAGTCTGTAGTTGCCGTTCAACCTGTTCGGTCGACATCCTTCTGGCTGGTGTAGCACGAAGGTTGCGCCAGGTTACGCTTACGCGTCCAATTAATCCGTTGGGAGCTAGCTGTCCACCCCCTCATTCTTCGGGTGTTCCCAGTATAACGCTTCAGTAGATTGCACACCATAGAGAACTAGTGTTGGTAGCGGGTGCAGTGTTGCAGGCGGATGAGTCAAGCGTTGCGACGAACCCCTTCTGGTTGCGCTGTCCGATTGAGTTCAATATTTCTTGCTGTTCGTTCAATGTAAAGGACTTCATGTTCAACATCCAAGATTTTCAACATCCAAGATTTATCTTGCGCTTTGTGGTCATCGTAAGCCGGGATTATCGTTCAGTACAGTACCAAATACTTTTTAACTCATACTGAGGAAGACAGCATACGACATCTAAGCTATTGATCGGGAAAACGATAAACACATTTTTCCTTTGCAGCGTTCTCATTGCCCGATTGTAGTGTGCGTATTAACAAACCATGTATACTGTATTTCACAGCCAAGAGAGTTACAGTAGTGCAAATAGCGTAAACATGGTTATCGGCCACATTTCGACAATGCTGCGACGATGGAAGAAGAATTGAGCCTCCAAAGCTCGCCTCTGCAGCGGAGTCACTTCCGAATATTCCAGGATGAGACTAAGCCCAGTCTCCCAAGCTCTTCTGGTGGCCGCGTTGGCCGTATCGTCATCCTCTGCGTTCGACTTCAGCAGCGTAAATGGTCCTGCGCAGACGGCAGGAAACGTGATGCCAGCTCAAGACCCGACTTCTGGAGCGAAGGGCTTTGGAATGCCCACCCCGACCGGTGGGTCGGCTACAGGGTGGGCACCACCAAGCAAGGAAGGTGGAATGCCGCACCAGGGGTTCCCAGGCAAGGGAGCCCCGGGACAAGGCTGGCCAAAACAACCATCGGGATCAGCTACCGGGTGGGCACCACCAAGCAAGGAAGGTGGAATGCCGCACCAGGGGTTCCCAGGCAAGGGAGCCCCGGGACAAGGCTGGCCAAAACAACCATCGGGATCAGCTACCGGGTGGGCACCACCAAGCAAGGAAGGTGGAATGCCGCACCAGGGGTTCCCAGGCAAGGGAGCCCCGGGACAAGGCTGGCCAAAACAACCATCGGGATCAGCTACCGGGTGGGGGTCCCCAAGCAAGGGAGCCCCGGGACGAGGCTGGCCGCAGCAACCTTCAGGGTCAAGTGCAGACTGGGGCAAGGGAACTCCGGGACAAGGCTGGCCAAAACAACCATCGGGATCAGCTACCGGGTGGGGGTTCCCAAGCAAGGGAGCTCCGGGACAAGGCTGGCCGCAGCAACCGTCGGGATCTGGTGCAGGATGGGCGCCTCCAGCAGGCCAAGGAGGTCACGGCCAAGGTACATTCTGGTCCCCTCCTGGAAAGGGGGGTCAAGGTAAAGGTTGGCCGTCTGGATCTTCATACTGGTCACCTCCCGGAAAAGGAGGTGAAGGTCAAGGCTGGCCCCAGAAGGGATCGGCTGCGGGCTGGGGATTTCCGGGCCAGGGAGGTCAAGGTCAAGGTTGGCCTCAGCCAAGTGGCAGCCAAGGCGCGGAGCCCCTGGGTGTCGACTGCAGCGGATCAAACGCTGGCGGGTGGACGCCGCCAGGTGGTGGTGAAGGTTTTGGAATGCCAAGCGGCATGGGCAGCGGTGGTTCACCCCCAGGAACAGGTTACAGTCTTCGGGGATCGGGCTCCCAAGAAATGCCAGCGACCTCGACGGGGGGATCCGGTAACACCGAGCCTACCACCCCCACTTCAAGTGGAAGTGACACTGCCGAGCAAACGTCATCGTCAACGGGTGATTCTTCCGAGACCGAGGCTTCGGGCATGGAAAGCGGCACTGAAGATGGAGGCTCTCAACCAGTTTCGTCGGGCACCTCGTCGGAGACCGAGGAGACGCAAGAGTCCAGCGGCACCGAAGACCAAGGGGCCGAAGATGTCACCCAGACATCGTCAACTACCGGTACATCGTCTTCCTAGATGCTGCTGCGTCAGCCGAGTCCGGTTTACCTGTAGGTAGTAGTTGCAAATTGAAACTTGAGGTAGAGAACCACAAGGATTAAGTAGCCTACGAACAAATGTGTCGTACAAAATGTGAAGCAGAAAATCATTGTCTGGCACGCCTCCTTTCTGTGGTTAGTAAGTGTAACGGGAGTAGTTGAGTGCTACCTGAAGTCCATGATGGAGATATCGACAATTCACATCGAATGCTAGGCCCTGTTGGAAAGCCCGGCTAGCCTCTGCAAAGCGGCCAAGTCCGCATAGTGCACAACCTTTGCGATAATATCCCTGTAGCATTGAAGTGAATCCGTGAAATTGTGTCAACAACAACAGTCAATATGTTACGTACTATAGTCGACTTTGGGTCCAGGGTGACAACTTGCTCAGCGTCCTGCGATGCCGCCGAATATTCCCCCATTGCTGCCAACAGTGTGGATCGCCGCGTGTACATGATAGCCATATTCTTTTGGGTTTCCGTGTTCACGCGGATAATTGTGTTGTACAACTCAAGCATTTTGTGCGCCTCTTGTAGTGGAAGTGTCGTTGGTGCATCAAGCGTCAACATAGACAATGAGAAAGCATTGCGGCCGTTCGGGTTTTCTGGTGCGCCGCGTTCTGTCTGCCGTGCAGTGATCGTGGGGGATAATGTCGGCAACAACGAAATGCTCGGTTCACTGATGAAGTTGTGCTGCTGTCTCAAAGAGCTGGTGCTCTTAGAAGCTCTCAGTAGGACGGAGTCGAGCTCATCACCCGCTGTAGCAGCCACTGGATGGCGCGATGAAGGCAGAATTCCGTGCGACTTGCACAGAGGTGAGTTCTGTTCTGCAAGCGAAGCAATTTTCTGGGAGAACTCGATCGACTCCAGGTAAGGCCGCGAGTTGCGTAGTGTGAGTCTATGGGCCCCACAAACATTTTCGTTGTATCGGCCTCTCTTGGTAGCAGTCACGCAGTCGCACTCGAGGAAGCCAGGGGTAGCAAAAGTTTTGGTCACTGTGCCGAATTTCGGGAGCTGTCCAGCAAGTCGACTTTCACGGAATTCTTCCAGTAGTGTATCCCGAGATGCCTGCGCGTTTGCTTCCTCAGTGGCATTTTGAATGCCGCCGGATATGTCGTCGATCACGTTCTCAGCCATTACTGGATTGTGAATGTGCAGGCGATGGATAGCTGTGTCTGTAATTAGCCTTAGTTTGCTTTGGACCACGCAGAAACTTTGGTACTAAAATAATGTTCTTCATATAACGGATTTTACCGAATATAAGCCGGTCTTCTAATTCTCATAAGCCCCTGCAAACCGAACGATTCTGACGAGGGGACTTGTATTCGGGTGAGGACTCATATTTCATGGAAGTGTTGCAAAATGGGTTTGAACGAAGTGTTTGGGCCGCACAAGTAAGTTCTAGGCCGTGCAAGACGCTGCAAAAGCGCAAGTAGGCGTTCAATCTCGTCACAAAAAAGATCAACAGTCGTTCAGTTCATCTTCTTTAGCAGTTTATATGTAGATCTTTGTCTAAGACAAAAATGCTGATGGAGTACATGCGAGATTGGTTGACGACCACAATTCATTACTTTTCCAGGTACATCGTATCGTTGTGAAGCAAGACCTATAGGGTTGGAATGAGCTCGAGCTCCAATGCAAACAGAGTTTGGGCGAACACTTAAAGACTAAATGTTCGAGTACATTTGTAAAAAATAGATGTCCGGTCTTGTATTTGATACAGGACTTCTATTTTCAGGCACTCCTGACCGGACTTCTATTTCCTACAGGTCTTGTATTCGGAAAATCCGTTAGTGTTTAAATCTTGATTTACCAGAACTTCCAACTTGGTGAAGTACGGCTCTGTATACGTTGCTGGTGGCGAGTTCTCACTCCAACCTGGGTCGGGGAACTCGGCTCACCGAACATTGTCCAGCGTTGGTGATCATTTTCCTCTGTCCAGCGCAAATCGTAATCTAACGACTCATCCGCTGTAATCGCCTGCAACACCGAAGGCATAACACAATATCCTCGTAATGCTCTTTGAGCTCGGGTCGTTGCACTCTGTAAGACCGACCACACCGGTTTAAGCGATTCTCCGATGCTGGTTGATAGGTATGCAGCAGCCTCAAGTGTTGGAGACGTCCTGGAGCCGACTTGATCGCCATCAAAATTATCGTCATCGGCTCCCAACCCAGCCGCAGCAATGTGCTTCAGAACCGAGTAAACCTTGGCTTGCTCGTTGTCTACAGATGAACCAGAATCGCTTTCGATTTCGCGGCGAGTTGACCGGGGTGGATCTTGTTCAACAGCATCAACGTCGCTGTGTCCTCCATCCGAGGTAGCAGCACTACTATCGTCAGCAAGTTCTCCACACGATAAATCACTTGAACTGTCAACATCAGCAACAGCAACGAAACCTGCAAGTGCCCCGTTGGCCTCGCACGAGCTGCGGTACCGTGCTGATCTTTCCGAGTTTTCTTCCGAAATGACGCCACCAGCACTTTGGTCATGACTGCCAGAGGCAATTTCAGGAGCTACAACGACTTGATGCTTTTTCGACTCCTTCACGCTCAAACGACGTGTTTTTGTCGGTGGACGAACCTCGTCAGTTGTCGACCCCGGAACTAGGTCTGTAGTTTCAACTTCACGGGGTCTCTTCCTCTGCACTCCCTCCGAAGAGATGCCATTAGGTGTAGTAGTTACTGCCGACTGGTTCGACGTGCTGCTCACATCGCTCCCTAGAACCGCCCTCTCAGCTCTCTCAATCTCCGCCAGCACGTCGAGCCTCCTCCTAATCACCACTGGGGTCTTCAGCACCTTCCAGACTTGCAGGTCACCGCGTCTTATCGTCTGAGACTCTCGCAGCAGCCCCATCACACGCACCATCAACCCTCCCTGCTCCATGTCATTCTCAAAGCAGTAGACCTCCTTCATATCTTCACCAGGAGCGAGTCGCAACCCAACCCGAAGCATCTTGTGCCACTCCCGCCTCTTCACCACTTGCAATTCTCCCACGAATCCCTCTGCGGTCGCCGGCCACACCGCCACACACGAGGCTCCTCCATCCGTTCTCTCGAGCGCATCTGCCACCGCCTCAAAGGCCCTCCCCAACGTCGCCGCGCCCTCCATCCCGGCACTCCTCTCTTACACTGACCGTTTTACTTCAACTGACTGACAATCACTCTTGACTCGGAATTAGTCGGATATCTTTCTGGCGGGAAAAAACGGCCAGCCCCAGCAGTATTCGCGCCACAATTCCCCAACGTATCAATCGATCACCTAACTGGCGGGTGTATGGAGCCTCTGCGGCGCGCGTCGGGCGCGTCTGCGCGCTCGGACAAGTCCGCGCTGTCGGACGTGTCCTTCTCGCGGCCGGACAGCCCGCTGCTGCGCCAGAGCGACAGCTTCGCCGAGTCGCAGCAGTGCAGCGCCGACCCCAGCGCCTTCCTCGGGTTTCACGTGCCGCCCAGCGCCGAAGAGATGGACGTGGCGCTGCCCAAGGGCCCGCAGCCGCCGAGCAAGAAGAAGACATTCAAGCTGGTGCTGGACCTGGGTCTGGACTCGACGGCGTCGGGGGTGCGACCCCTCCAGAGTCCAGCCAACCCTTTCAGCGAGCTGTTCGCTGGAGACACGCAGGACGAGGAGAATCTGATGGCGGCTCGCCCTCCAATGGTCGCTGAAAAGAAGGAGACGGAGAGGAAGAAGAATGATAGTAAGAAGGAGAATATGGAGCGGAAGATGGAGCATGTTTCTCCTCCCAAGAGACGGCGGCCGAGTGAGGAGGAAAAAGAAGGCGACAGGTCGCCGAGTCCACCGCCGACAATGTTGTCATCGATTGAGAAAGAATGGAGAGATCATAAGCAGAAAGTGGCGAGTGGGAAAGCGGTCACTGCTAGTGGAGTGAAGGATCGGGAGCAGGAGCAGGAGCAGGAGAGTAAAGTGGAGAGTAACGACGAGACGCGGCTTGACGATTCGTTGCCGGGGGCGAGTGCGTTCTCGGAGTATAGCGAGGACCTTGCGCCACGCGTTTTCCAGAAGTTTACGGCGTCTGCATCGTCGGTGGAGACCCCGGGTGATAATGAAAAAGGTGAAAAGAACGCTTCGGTGGATGGCGACAAGGACCACTTTGACCTGAGTGCGTATATAACGGGAGATAGTGACCGCGAGACAGATTTCGAGGAGGACTTGGATTGCACGCAGAAGCTCGAAGATGATGAGGAGAATGTGGATATGGACAGCAAAGATGTGACGCGAAGTTATGCAGATTCTAGCGGCGGCGATGAAGGGGAGACAGAAGCGTTCCCATACTCCGATACGGGCACACAGCCTTATGGGCCAGATTCCACGTTCATGGATGATGAAAATGACGGACATGCGGAGAACGATGGAAATAAGACTGGAGATATGAGAACGAATGGAGGAGATTCGGATCATGCACCAATGCCGAACCAAAACAGTGATCAGCGGGGAAGTGAGGAGGATGTAACGAGCCGTGAATGCACCCAGCAGGAATATTTGACGCCGCGAGTCAATCCCAGTCGAGCTGAAAAGGTAGACGTGGGCGAGAAGTCTGTCGTTGTTCCTATTGAACAGAGCTCCAAGTCACAAGATGGAGATGATCAAGACGACTGCGTGTCTACTCAACCAAGCAAAGGTCAAACAGAGGGCGAGCCCGCTGTAGAGCCGATTTCACCGATTCAGCAACATACCTCGCAGAAAAGTGGCGTGGTTGTGACGAGCAAGCCTTCGGGGGCCGATTCACAGACAAAAGCAATCCGCACTCTTGAGTTTTCGTTCTCTATGCCCGAGTCACAAGATGGTGAGCCGCACTTCAGTGCAAGTCTTTCGATTGATGGCGTAGTGGTATCGAAGTCGCCAGGAACTCTATCTAGAAATGACAGGCCGACCCCGTTCGAGTCGTCGATCAGTCCAGTATGGCCGCCAACTCCAACTCCCACGCCAACACCAGTAGAGGATCCTGTCGTTCCGGAAGTCACAACGGGGCCAACCCAAGGGGCCCCCAAAAGGAAAGCTGTTCCCGCTGTCCAGTCTGGATTGCCCACAGGGAAAAAGAAACAGAAAACCTTGTCTCAAACCTCCCAATCTTCAAGCCAGACCACTTCCCCTCCGAAAACCATGAAGAGAAAGCGTGGATTTGTTTCCCCTGGCAGCAATGCGTCGTCGACAGAATCTACCACTGGGGACCCGTTGACACCGCGACCTCCAGCAAGACGCAGTACTCGATCCGCCCAATCAACACCTTCTTCTTCAACACCAACTGTTCGAACACGTACTCGAACGCTCACCCCAGTGCCAGCACACCGGACGTACGCTTCAAGGTCTCGAACACTTTTCAAGTACAAATTCGAGTTTTGCCTAACGGGTTTTGTGAAGACGGGCGAAGAGAATTTGAAAGAACTGATCGACGGACACGGTGGCAAAATCCCCGAGCGGTATCAAGACGTCCTGTACAAAAACAATCGCAAGGCAGTCGTGATCGCGACGCCTGTGTCATGGCGCAAGCGCAAGTTCATGCAGGCTATTGCTTGTGGAATTCCTGTCGTTCATACCGATTGGCTTAAGGATTGTATCGAAGCTGGCTATGTGATACCCTTCGATGGGTATCAAGTGCCTGCAGGCTACTCCGTTACCACTCGTAAATTTGAGTGCTTCACCCCCAGAGAGGTAAGCTTCGCCGCAACAGATACGAGCTACTCCCGGCTTGGTTTGTACTGACTGTTGCCATTTGCGTTGATGTGACCAGCTAAACATTTTTGAAGGCTATTCCTTTGGCATCGCTACTGATGTTGAACAAGTGTCGAAGGCTGAAGCAAAGGACAAGGCCAATTTGATGGCGTTTATTTTGAAGGCGTGTGGTGCGGATGCTGTGTATGAGGTTAGTTAATTTACTTTGTGCAAATTGCCGACCACGTGGTGTTTCTTCTAACCGTCTGGCCCGTTGCTTCCAGAATTTATCCGCTAAGAGCGACGTCGACGTGGATATTGTGTTGTGCGGCGAGTACACGCAGGTAAGGCTGGCTGTGTTGTATAATGCTGGAACCCGACCGTCGCTAATCATAATATTGTGCTGTGTAAATGTATAGACATGCCGATACTATAAGAAAAGGCGTCGCATTCCTGTCAAAGACTTTCAATGGGTAACTGAGTGCATGCTCCTTCAGGTACGTAAAAGTTGCATCGAAACAAATAATTCCCCTCACTAATTTCGTTAATGTGCTTGTTTCTCAGCAATTCGTAGACCCTGATGAACCCGTCTTCGAACCCCAGCGAATTGGCTGCGAAGACGTTTTCTCAGCAAGCGCTGAAATCGGCGATAGTGACAGGTACGGCTTACATGTTTGCTTACCTTCCGTATCGATAGACACCCCTGATCTTAATACTCTGCATTTTGTAGGACCACACTGAAACTATACACAGGAGAGCTTGTGATGGCTGACATATCTGGCAGCGCAGCTGACCACTATCTCCTGTTCAATGTGTGCGAGATCCTTAGCATTCATGTGAGTGCTGGCCACAAAGATGAAGCCTCCCAGTCAAAGCGTAAAGACAAAGGAAACCGCGTGATGCTTCATGTTGGCATGCTCAAACGGTACGTCTTCTACGGTTGATGTTTGGACATTTAAGCGTGCATTGACCGAGTTCTTGTTGTACATATATTTTTTTAGGGAGCCTTACAACCCTGAGCTCTCGAAGACCCCTGTCAAAGAGTTAGATATATCGTCGTCCCAAGTGAAGAGAAGAGTCGTGGCCATCTCGAAGGAGGACTACGACAAGCTGAAGTATAAGGACGAGAGCATCTTCTACTTGGAAGATGCGAGTGATCCCGACAAACCCTTTCAGTCGGAGCACAGGTGGCTAACGCAATGAATGCTTCGTTGGTCGGCCGCTGCTACCATGGCGATATTCGATACTCGGGTGTTGGTTGGTTATTGTTGCTGATCCTCTGGCCCACCTTGTTGTTGTGCACTTTGCTCGTCCAGCAGCATTCGGTTTGGAATAAATAGGTGAAGCCATGGCTGTCATATACGAGACACAAACCCAGCTTTAGTGGAGATATACAAGTGCTGGAATCCAAAAAAACCTCGGCTTTGTACCTTCCGCATTGGGTCAACGCCAGTGTCCGAGAAGATCGTCTGCGTCGAAAGCAAGAGTGACATCAGTGTGGATCAATTCCTAGACCTGTATCGTCGTTCGTGGGAGCTGACGCACTTGCCACGAGATGATACCCAAGTGAGCAAGCATCATGCGGTAGTAGTTGGTGAACGTCTCGGCCAGAAAGCTCCATTTGCCGCGTAAGTCCCGAAACCAGATTTGTGGCGCTACTGGTGATACGTTGCGGTGGTATTAGATGGCTATTGGGTTTTGAAAAGTAACGAGAGAATACCATCGAGATACAGGAGCACAACGGTGCCGAATTTTGGAGATGCCTCAAGCGTAAAACCTGTAATCTCCTTATGACTGGCCTGTAGCCATTTTCATCGTCAAAAATAAGTTGCCGGAATCGCTTCCTCCCAGCAAAATACCTTTCTCAAATCCAGTCGATGCTGATCCAAAGCGCAACACTGTGCGGGCAGGTCCTTGATCACGACGCGCTGCAAGTCCTGGACCGGGTTCAATAGGAAATGGCCGACCAAAGTGGAGTGATCTGCATGTAAAAAAAAAAACTTCAGCCCTGGTGCTGAGGAATGCGAATGTCAAGAATGCCATACCGCGAAATGGTGCAAACCACTTGACGGAGAGTCCGTTAGCGATCGAGTAGAACCGCTTCAAGTCGTCTGGGAGCACACACGGAGTGTTTTTCTGGTGTACAGTTAAGATCTGGAATAACGTCTTCCTTTGCCAAATCCACTTACCTGCTCCCATATCCCAAACTCCACCTGGGTAGCCCCAACAAACGGCTTTGACTCGACGCGGGACACACGTTCGTGGGCCTGCAAGTATGAGAACACACCTAGCGATATCGCGTCGAGGTGCTGCATTAGCCTGCGTCTTTACAAATCTGGCTGAACAGGCGCCAGAAGTCCAAGATAGCGATGCAACAGGCAATGGTGTTGCAATTCTCTAGCAATGTTACGACGGAATAGCAGCTACTACTAACGATTTTCTTCCAGCTTCAATATGCGCGATACGGTTTGACTACATCACTGAGCACTGCTCTTGGCCTGGGGCGCCACCAACTGCACCAATGATCAACCATAAATGGTAAGTAAACGAACACACAGTTGTAATGCGAAGTGCACGCATTGCACTCACGGGGCATTCCAGGCATTCCAGCCATACCGGGGAACATACCAGGGCCCTGCGAAGTAGGAACACACAGATCAGTCGTGATCCAGCGGCAAGATTTAATGTCATGCAATGATAGACAAACCATGTTGGGCATGATCGGCATTCCTTCATCATCAAATTGCAAGCCTGTTTAAACACATCGAGCGCAAAGTCAGTGGAAGATGGCCTTAACACATAATGCTTGCGAAACCAAAATGATTACCTGGAGCAAGATCGTTCACAATCTCCGAGGGAGGCTGGCCAGTCTCCTGCACCTCCTGCATAAGTTCTGACAGCCGAGCAAAATTGTCGGGCTCCGACTCGTACACCGCGACGATCTGCTGGAAGTACTGGTACTGCTTGCCATATCTGTGCTCAACATAACATCGTTAGGACGACAGTCGACGCCAGCCAGATGACGAAAAATACGAACCGTTCGTAGTCTTCCTTAGACAGCAAAGACTCCTTTTCAGCCAACCACTCCGGATACTACAACGACAAAAATAAATCCAATCAGTTTTATATCAAGCACCAATCTCGCACCGTTACGTACCCGCTCGCAGATCTGCTTCATGGGGTCGTACATGACGTCCTTGGACAGCAATTGCTGCATCATACCGTCCACCAAGTCCTGGAAATCGTTCTGCAACCGATTCATGCAACAAGAACACCACACACCACACCTTGTCAGCGCCATTCACCCAACTTCACCACCTATCACCTATAAAATAAAACATGACAGCGAACGCACCTTTTCGCCCATCTCCTCGAACTTCTTCATCATCTCGGCCATCATCTCTTCGCCCATAGCTTCCACCTGCGCCGTGCCCACGCCTTCCATATCCTCCGCCGCCTTGGCCATATTCTGCAGCGTCTTGGCCACGCCAGCATTGACATCGTCCGTCTCATCGGACGTCGAGTCCATCTTCAACGAGCCCAGCAGCTGCTCAATATTGTCCCCGTCGGCTAACAACCGCACCAAAGATCAGTATCCCTACAACTCCAACCTCTCCACAGCTTCACTTGACTTCACTATACCGTCCGTGCCCAGCTCCCGGAATGCCTGCTCGAGCACCTTCTGGAACTCGGGATTCTGCGCGTCCTCGAGGAACTTGGCCACGTTCTGCCACCGTCTCACAACCATTAGACCATCACTCTGCTTCTCTCAAGCCCCACAACAGCCTCCCTCACCTCCTGCATCTTGTTGTCTTCGTCGCTCTGCGTGGCGGCGGCAGTGGCGGCCGCTTGTTGCTTCACGCTGGAGATCTCCGAGGCCTGCGCGGCGCTCACCTCGTCCGCAAAGTCGTCCAGCGCATCTGTCGCAGCGCAGAGAGCACGATTAGTGGGTGGGAGTAGAGAGTGGAGATGCAGGCGGGCGCTCACCGTCCAGGAGGTCGTCCAGATCCAGCTCCTCCTCGTGGGGCGCGCTCGCGGTCTCCTCCTTGCTGCTCATCGTATCGTGCGGTGATTGGCTTTTTGACGTGAACTCAACAAAAAATACGTGACCCGAATAGAAGACCCCTCAATACAAGCGTTGACTTGACAAAGTTGAAGTGCAGCACTGTACTGCTTTGACGAAATAGATGTCTGTTGTCCTGGGATCCCTGCGATGCTACCGTGCATTTCTGTATTTGACTCGAAGACCAGACTGGGGGAACGTTGCTGCTGAGCGTTATGTGTATATGTACTGCTGCTTTGGGTTACTGGTATTTGGTGGCGAACTTGGGTCGGTGCTCGTCGACGACGCAGACGCTGGACAAGAGCTACAGAAGGGTGGAGTGAGTGGAGCAAGATACTTGTGGTGTGCAGTGTGGTAAGCAGGTGTATGAGGACGCACCTTGTTTGTGAAGAGGTACTCGCGCAGAGCTATTGTGAGGGTTGATACCACAACGAAAATACAATAATACTGGCGATGGCGATGTGGATGGAATTGGGGCAGAGAGTGAGCGTCGAACGGGGCAGAAACCACGAGAGATTTTGTTTTGCAGGTGCTCTCACCTGTATCCAGACATTCTTGACGATCTCAGGCCATTCAGGCGCGTACCTGGAGGAAGGCACAAGCAGATAGCGTGAGTCTTGTGGATCAGTACTTGTGTGCGCAAGTATGCCCGTACACAACGTTCACCGGGTCGATCCGAATATTCAACTGCACCCTGAAATCCGTTGTCGCCTGAGAAGAATTGGTACTTGATGTCCAAATTGGATTCGGAGCATGCAACTCGGCGGTGTCTACATCATTCATGGCCAACGGCTCGTCAGCTTGGGTATTCTGTTGGCACGAATCACGCATGTTCACTCACAGTTCCGCGCTCGGTACTCGCTGATAATTGACTGCACGAGTAGCTCTTGCGAAATACCATTAGTGGTTAAATTCGCAATAGGAGAATCAGCGTACGGATACTGCACGCTGTATATACAATTGATAGCACATCAGATTCAGCAACATAATTGGAAAATCTCCACCAAACCACACACACCTGTCCGTAATTTCGAGCACGCTTCGCTGATGGAAGTCGAGGTCGCCGTCTACGAACAGTGCATCTCCTGCAAACGGCGACGAGTGCCTGGACACCACAAGAGCGTTCATGCTAAGCTTGGCGTAGCTCTAGTCGCGACATTACCACAAAACACAATGTCAAGATGTGATTTGATCTGTCGGGGCAGGCCCGACGGTAACTGTCCACATAGTACACCTTCAGCGTGTAATTGAGCAGGACTATCACAGTCGCTTGTCGAATAGTCTCGTTAGTCGAAAGCGGTGTGATGATATCAGCTTGAACCAAGTCAGCTACCCCGTCCTGATTCAAATCCGTACGCGTGGTCTGCACCACCACCTCATATTAACCCCTCTAACCCCGTATTCTGTATCCTACAGAATAAGCATTGTCACAGGACATAATATCCAGCAAACTTGTCCTCTCTTTCGAACTTCGCATATGGATGTTTGTATAGCCGGTATTGTGCACATCTTCCTGTTAGATTAGCGATGGGAAGATAAACGGGGTTTATTCCGCGGTAATAGACGGACGAGTATAAACCACCAACTGGTTTGAAAATTCGGGTGGAAGCCTAAAACCGCCGCGTGTCAGCCACTCGTACTTTCCTTCATTCCGAAACTGCGCTGTTCAAGACGTCGCAATGCAAGCTTTGTTGGGGCCCGTCGAGCGCGCCCAAGTGGCCAAGGACCATGACCGAACACGATCATGATGAGCGCCATTGTGATCTACAGGTAAGCGAGAGCGTGTACTTTGCTCTGTAACATTGTATTAGTGGTATATTGATTCTACATTGCGATGTTGATTACCAGACCTGGTGATCCGACCAAGACGACGCTATGAGCTCTCGCGTGTGGCCCGATTGGCAGATCGATTGCGGAGTCAGCGCACAACCTCATCGGTTCCTACGAAGCCGGCTACAGCCGGGTCTACCGCTGTATTGTAGCTGATGCAGTGGCTACTCAAGAGGCTACAGAAGAAGCGCTCCTCATGGTGTGGCTACACCGGAGACTACAGAAGAAGCGGTAGATGCTACGACGGATGCTACAGAAGAAACTGTCCGCGTGATGAGGTTACACCGGAGATTACAGAAGAAGGGACAGAGGCTAGACGGAGGCTACCGATGAAAGCGGCAGGAATGGAGCGGCAGTGCCGGAGGCTACAAAGCAAAGCGGAGGCTGCCAAAATGGCGAAGATGACCCACGGCTGGCGCGAACATTGATGAGCGTGCGCATGTAAAGGAAGAAGTAGACGTTGGCATGAATATCATATATTGTCCTGTTTCGTACAAGAGGAACCGTGTGTAGTGCATGTCATTATGGGCTATTGAGCATGCAAGCTCCCTGGTGTTGTTAGAGAGACAATCGAAACAAGCTTGTTAGGTGGGCAAAAGAAATCTAATGATGCGCTAATGTCAAGCACAAGGAAGAATTCGCCCAGTTCCTCCTCACTACGTAAGTTAGGAACAGGGCGATTTCTTCCTCCGCGTTTATCGCGACGTGCCGAAGAGGGGTGGCTGGAGCCGAAGTATGCTACCTTAGCAGCCTTGCAAGGTATTACCATGTAGCAGGTTTTGAGCGTGCTCTATGCTCGCCACAACCAATAGAAGCTCGCCATTTCGGCATTTGGTGGATACATTGAGCATGTTTTGTTCACTTTCTTAGCTGTTCTGTGCACAATGTACCCAGCGCTTGACCGCAAGATGCGAAAGGGCTTCCAACAGCATATCTTTGACAGGATTTGAAGTATACTTTAATCAAGTCTAATGCTTATTCTGTATCCTACAGAATACGGTCTGGGGCTAGAAGGGTCATCTTAATCAGCTCCACATCACCGACATAGATTTTTACACCAAAGTTAACTTCACCTGGACAACTGAAGTCCGAATGCTCTCGTTCGGGTAGAGCTGCTGTATCCTCTCAGTGCACCAGCGCCAGAGGCTGCGTCACTTCACCATCATCCCATTCCCCCTCCAGAATGCTCAGCACTTGACCTGTGAGCTCAACGATCGGTTGCTCTCTGTAGGAATTTGTCTGCACCACAAAATCTAGCTACAAGCGTTACAACAACCACCCCAAAGCTTGCCACCGCGAAAATTTCCACGCACCTCGCGAGCCCAGTGTGAGCAGCAGCGGCAGAAACGCGGCCACCAGCCAGAGCGCGATCGCTACCACATGCGAGAGCGAGAACACGCCGCTGCAGTAGCGCCGCTGCACGCTCGAGCGGTGGCAAGTGGCGCGCATTGCTGCTCCTAATAGTGTACGACTCTTCAAGATTGAGCCACTATCACATTGGTGTGGCACTGTGTGTCCGTGCATTCCTGCGACATGGTCGCGTCGAACTTGACTTGGCGATTGTATAGGACGGGACCTCGGACGTTCGTACAGTACCAGTTGTGCACAGTCCCTCTGGCGTCTTCACAATCCGCAATTGGTTCTCGAAGTGAGAAGGAGCAACATTCGCGCGTCCTGTAAGCAGGCGACTGGCGTTAATTGGACGGACCATGATCACTGCGTCTGTGGGCGCGGGCTCGAGTCTGCTGCTGGAGCCGGCGCGCGAGCTGCTGTTCCCGCTGCCCGACGCCGCGTCGGAGCGGCGACCCCGCTGCTGCCTCTCGCTGACCAACCTGTCGCCACTCAATGACGTCGTCTTCCGCGTGCGCACACGCAACCCGGACGCGTTCACCGTGAGCCCGACCCACGGGCTGCTGGCGCCCGGCACGAGCCTGCAGGTGGTCGTGAAGGCCACTGCTCGCACCTGCGAGCGGCTGACGGCCATGGACCCGCGGGACTTGATGACCCGCCAGTCGTCCGAGCTCTTCCTCGTGCAGAGCGTGGAGCGAGAGGATACGCTGGAGCCGTTGAACGCCAGCTCCAGCTCGTCGCTGCGGGCGTTCTGGAAGAAGGTGTCGAGAGATTCCATCACGGAGAACAAGATGGTGTGTCGCTTCAAGGCTGCGATTCCGGGGTTTCCTCCTCCTCTTCCTGCGTCGGAGATCACTCAGGATGATAAACTGTTCTCGAGAAGTATGAGCAGTGCGAGTTTGGACTCGATGGAGTATCGTTCAAGTCGCGATGATGGTAGACGCTTGAGTTTGAGTCGGAGGGAGTCCCGCTCGAGTCGAAGTCGAAGTGGAAGCAGCAGCGAGCGGAGCAGACTCAACCGATCGTTTAGCAACCAGTTCACGCCGCCTGAAGAGATGCGGGGAGATAGCGACGGCAGCCGCAGCAGCAACCACTCGTTCGCCAGCGATGCCAGCTTCCACACGACGATCGAGCCTCCCGTAATGGACCGAAGGAGGTCGGCATCCAGAGCCTCTTCGCTGGCATCTAGTCGGCCGACGCCGATGACGAGACTGCGGGACTCAGTGCTCACTAGCATCAGTGTGAACGACGGCTCTGTTAGCGACACGATGCTGACTGCGCTCTCTACTGACACGGCGGCAGGGGAGGCGACCCACGAGCTCGGTCCGCTGCAGTACCACATTCAGCCCAGCAACGTGCTTTCGTTCAAGGTGAAAGCCGCACCGCGTTTTTGGGGAGGCACTTCTCTATTTGTAGTGAATTCGAGCCAAAAGGACTGCCTCACCTTCAAGGTGCGAACGTCGAATCAATCGGGCTATGTTGTGAAACCTAGCAGGGGACTGGTGTCGACGACGAATGCACAGGAAGTCTTCGTGTCCCTGTGCGCTCCACGCGACGAAGACAGTTTCGACCCAGCCAAGCGCGAGGCGAAAGACGGATTCATGATCGAGGTTGCCAACATTTCGCGTGACAAGTACGACGACTTGATGAAGCTAGACGAGCGGAAGCGCTCGCGCGAGATCAGTTCTCTATGGTCGTTTATGCCTCGTCGTGACCGTCAGTCGACGATGCTGTCGGTCTCGTTCAAGATGGATGGAAGCGATAGTGGCAGCATCACCCGCGAGAGTTCTGTCAGCGGAATCTCGGATTCTCACAGCACGGACAGTGCTGCTGTCAAGCAGGCCTCTCCGCCCGCAAGACCTCAAGCGCAAAGCTTGAAGACGGTCGTCCAGGCAATGGGGAAGCTTTCCACTTCGTCCTCAACGGAGTCGCCTGAGAGCACATCTGAGGAAAAGCCTGGGTCACGGTATCAATATTCCGATTCGGACGAGTCAGCGTTCACTATTGGTCCTACCCCCGTGCCCACTGAAGTCGGCGATGATAGTGACAGCGACGCTGGCGGTGTAGCCTACGGTTCAGCATCCAACGCCACGAAAGATCCCGCGGTGATTGTTGTCTCGGCTGACAGAATGGACACTGTCGACTTCTCCAACCCGAAGCTGTCCTTCTTTATTTAGTGAATGCACCGAGCAAGCAAGCACACAAGGGCCTACGGCCCCTCTACTTCACCGTACTACGTCGGAGCAATCCCACTTCATCGGACGCCAAGCTGAGGTAAAGCCGTCGCCTGGTGCTGCTGCGCGCGAGCAAAACACCAACTGCAACTCATGCACGTCCAAAAGAAACCCTTGTGTGCTTCTTGAAAAAGCACACTCCATCACGCACACGATGACGAACAAAGGCAACACTGCTCAACGTATTAAATAAGCTTCTCGAGAACTTGAAGAACCCGACAAGGACCCGGAGACGAACTTCGACGAGTGGAGCTACCCGTATCCTCCGGAATACATGTACACTGCTACCATGGATGCAGCCGCTAACTGAAATATGCATCAATGTACCCAATTCATTGGCACTCCCCACGACACCTTTGACGGATTGGTTTTCATGAAATCGACGTTACGTATACAAGACGCACGCGGCAGACTGTGGCTAAACCACTTTATTACTGAGGCGCTTCTGTTTTGAAAAAAGTGGTCGACAGCAGGGGTGCCTACCAAGCGAGGCACTCCGTCGATCAAACATTTTTTCTTGGGCCCCGCGGTCTTCTCCGAAACGAATAGCGATAGCAAAGACGACCAAGCTGACGAGATAATAGACGTACGGGAATCGCCACACAAATGAGGCTCTACACATAAAAACAAAAATGTGTTACATGTAGTGATAATACAAGCGCCATAACTTGGAAGTGATAGCCATATTAGAGGACCACTCGCATTCAGACCTGCTGGCGTCCGGGCAGCCGCGATATCCGTCGCTGGTATCCCAGGAATCACCACCATCACATGAACTTGTCCACGAACCCTCCATCTCCCCTTCAGCCATCATCCCTCGATCTCCCCTTCTTCCAGCTGCTCAGCGACAGGATCGTCGTCCTTCACCCACGCGTTGCCATCCTTCTTCGCCAGGAAGAGCTGCAGGTCCTTGGCGTCACATTGAACCGAATTAGGGTTGTCCTCCTTGATCGCCGCCTTTATTAAGTCTCCCACGCATTGACTTAGGTCGATGGCCACAGGGAACACAGACCGAATTTCACCATTTTTGTGTTATGTTGTGAGCGAACTTTCCTCGAGTTCTCCGGTGAATAGGCTTTCAAAAATGTATATTCGTGAAGTTATGAAGCAATCGAGGGTGCGCGAGGCGTTTGAGCGCTAGAATGGCTCCCGCCTCTCGCGTGGTCTAACTACTGGTCGGTCTACTTGGCGGTCACGATGGTCTCCAAGTTCTCGAGCACCTTCACCGTAGAGGACGTACCCAGCATGTTGATGATGCTGGGTGGGATGTAGCCAGCCAGGTCGGCGTGTGCAAGGAGGGTCACGATGCAGTAGACCTTGCCGTCGTCCTCCTTGAACTCCTCAATGATGTAGCCGGAGATGTAGTTGTTGGCGCGCACGTAGCCGTCTAGGGGCGCGACGCTGCTAACGTTGATGGAGCGCGTGGCGATGACCACGCGGCCGTCCTCGAGCGTCGTGCCGTACGTGACCACCACGAACTCGCGGCCGTAGATGGGGAACTGGCCCTTGCTGGTGATCTGGCGGAAGGCCAAGTGGTTAGACTCGCCGATGTCGCGCAGCGTCACGACGCCCTCCATCATCTCGTCCAGCTCCAGCGTGCGGTTCGGGTCCAGCAGCACCTGCTCGATGACGCGCTTGTCGGCGTCGACGCGGCCCGCGGCGCGGAACGGGCACCAGTCGCAGTCCTCGACGGCGCCGCGCCAGATCTTGACGTCCTCCGAGTCCTCCACGACCTCCCAGGTCGTGACCTTGTCGGCGCCCGTGTGGCGGTCCAGCAGGATCTGGATGTTCTCCTTGCCGTAGGCCTCGAAGTCCACGTCGTCGGGGGTGGCGTACGCGGGCGCCTCGGGCTTGATTTGCTCCTCCACCGCGGGCGTCTCTCCGTATCCAAACAGGTAGTTCATGCTTATAGGTGCTGCGGGTAAATGTAAGGTGCTGGGTCTCTGCTGCTCCGGCGGAGGGGGTTTCTCTACTGACCGTGAACCGCTCGACTTTGACTGCCTTGGCTGACTATTTTCTGCTGCAGGGTACAGAGCGAAGCGGCATGGATTCATCAGACTCGTTTCTGCACCACTGAAGTTACAGAAACAGATCCTGCCTGATCAGATAAATCTAACACTCCGACTAGTTTTAGCGCGAAGGCATTAGCTGTACTCGACGTACGTTTGTTATCTTACACCTGTAATTACTAATCAATAAGACAACCATTTTAGTATTAAATGCTAAAGGTACCAAATCCCACAGATGTCACTGGGTGAGGTGATGACGCCAACATATCGGTATGGGCGGGATACCATATATTGGGATACTTATCAATAATAAAACTAGGGTTATTGGACCTGCCTTAAACCGGTTTGGGCAGGGTATGCAATGTTGAAGTATGTACCAAAGAAACGGTACCTTAGTCGACTCAGCTGTTACGTGTTGAACTTTTGCGGCGCAAGGTTCTCCGGCTGGTGCAGCGTGGTGGCCATTGCAAACGCTCTCGTGGCTCGCAGCCTCGCTGTGTTGTGCACTGTGACAGCTCTCGCAGCGCTGGCGTGGCTTCGCCTCTCCCGTCGTGCAGGCAGCCCATGCGATGCTTCAGCTCGGTGCGATGCAGTAGCCTGGCCAGTGGCCATGGCAGAGCCGACTTGGGCCCAGGCTCATCGCCGATGAGCCATCGCGGTGCGGATATCAGGTGCATGGCATCACAAGATCGCCGGATACACGCTCAAAAGAGGCAAGTCCAAAGCGGCAAGCATCACATATATCACGAGCGCGTGCTGGCCCTGCCGCAAACTACCGGTATAGCCATAGCGTCCTGGACAACAATAGCATCGGTGGGCTGCGTGCCGGTGCCATTCACCGTACTCGTCGCCTTTTGTAATCGCAGCCTACGATTCGTAGGTGAAACCTTCAGATGCCTCTCCGCAGTGAGTGGGATCGGATGCCATGACGTGACATCCTCGGCTCGGCCTGCGCCAGTCGCGCCCAAGAAGCTCATTACTGCCGAGGCTTGAGAAGTCTCATATTGTAGCGCTCCACGCAAGTAATTGCGTGGTGCCCGTACAAGTCAGATGCACTAGAAAAATAATGGACGATACTAGAAAATGCCGCGTGCAGACCAAACACGCACTGAACTTTGGCGTAAACTAGTTCTGGGCGCTCTGAACACTTTCTGCGTAGAGCAACAACCTACATGTATTACAGCCTACAGCGAGATGCTTGTGTACAGCCTGGTGTAGCCTACAGATCGCCTCGTTCGAATCCTTCCCACGCACGGCAGAGGCTCGCAAAGCGCGACGCAATGGTCGCAGTGCGAGAGTATCCGGGCGGGCGTATCCACACTCCAAGCCAACCTGCCAGAGTGTATTGCCCACGACAGCTCGACCTTGGTCGTGTTCCCTCGCGTGGAGTTTTGACGACCTGTTGGCACAATTTCCATCGTATCCCGCGCTTTAGCGACTTTAGTCGCGCAACGGCGACTTCGCGATACTAACATGTCAACGGATACAACCGACTCGTTGGCCTTTCCTTGCGCGTGTCCTTATTGTGCCCGTCATTACTCGTTAGAGGATGGATACACCCAGCTGGGATGCTTCCACATCACGTAGGGAACAACCACACGTGCAAATGGACTCGCCAGCTGGAGCACTCACTTGTCCATTTGCCGCCAGGCGGAGCAGGCACCAGATAGTGCTGCCCGGTGTGGTCAGCATCCCGCAACCGCCAGCGCGCCTTTCGACCATCGGTTCGCCCGCGCTCATCTGCTTAAGCTGCCGGGCCTGTAACCCATGGCGCTGAGGAAGTCTATTTCGCTGCCGATCGCACCGCCCATCAAGCTGCACCGCCGCAAGTCGGTGCAGGAGGAGCAAATGAGCCGCTCTTTCTCCTTCACCAAGCGCCGCGTGGAGCGGCAGCCGTCGCGCCTCACGCTGACGCAGACCATGGAGCAGACGCTGCTGGACAGCGTGCACGTCGAGTTCATCAAGGCCGTGGTGCCCGGCCAGAACAAGCTCTCGAGTCCGCGCTACGTCATGCGCATCAGCAACACGGCGCTGGACCAGACGTGGGAGATGGCACGGACGTTCAAGGAGTTCTACGAGCTCAAGGAGGCGATCGCCAAGGTGCTGGACTACGGCCACTTCTGTCCGTCCAACTGCCCGTGGCTCTACATGTACGCCGCGCACCACTTCCCACGCCGCCGCATCTTCCGATCGCGCAGCCCTACGGTGATCTCCGGCCGGCTATCCGAGCTGCAGACGTACTTCTCGACGCTGCTGCGCATGGCCAAGCAGAACCGCAACCTCGAGTGCCCCGTGTCGTCCACCAAGCTGCCGCAGCTCATCTACGACTTCCTGTTCGAGGGCATGGTCTTCGATCGCTCCGACTTCACGCGATTGAGCGAACGCCTGTCGGTTGTCGGCCGCGATAGCAGCTTCCTGGACAACGACCCGACACAAGATCCGGACGAGTGCTTCATTTGTCGCAAGGCTCTTGTCGGCGACGACACCGTGTCGATCGTGCCGGCCGCACCAAGCAGCAACAGGGGTGCTTCAAGCTTCAATAGCAAGGTTGACAAGCACGTGATGGCGGGTCTCACCACACTCGAGTGCAGCCATTGCTTCCACGACGAGTGCATCCTCGCCAAGCTCAACGAGTCGCTGCATTGCCCGCTCTGCGTCGCGCAGACCAGCCCTCCTCAATCCGCTGCCTAGTAAGGATATCATGTGCAGTATGTTAACGTCGCTTGGTGCAGCCAGCCACGCGTGCATGTTCATAAAATCAAATGGGAAAGGTGTATTCAACCACCAGTGTTAACTCAACATCGCTGCATGGCTCTTCTTCTGCTGCTTTCTCGTCTACAGCAAGCTCACAAAGAGACGGCAAGTCGTGCGCAGCTTGGGTCCTGCGGCTTGCACTGTAGCCATATCCCTTGAAATGGCTACATATTATGTGCACCACAAATCCAAAGCCCGCAATAATGAAGCGCGGCGGCGTGCGCAACCAGGAGGTTCGTCGTGCCCTGCTGTCCCTCTTAACGCCTTAGACACCTACTCTCCGTGGCCTCCTACCTTACTGACGTGTTGTTCTTCCTGCCACCTCCTTTCTGGCCCAAATCTCGCAGGTGACGGACGCCCAGGGCCGTCGGCGCTTCCACGGAGCCTTCACCGGAGGCTTCTCGGCTGGCTACTACAACTCTGTGGGCAGCGAGGAAGGATGGACGCCGCGGACGTTCTCCTCGTCTCGAGGCAACCGCATGGAGCGGGTCCAGCAACGTGCGGAGGATTTCATGGACGAAGAGGACGACCCGCTGCTCGGCAAGCGACTGGAGACCACGGAGCGCTATGATACGCTACAGACAGGGGCTAAGAGACGCCTACAGCAGCAACAACAAGCCGACCAAGCTGCTTCTGGAGCGGGGGCAATCCCAGGCTTCGCGTTGCCTGATGACTGGGTCTTGCCGGTCAATGATTCGATTGGGGCGAAGCTGCTGAAGCAGATGGGCTGGAAAGAAGGCCACGGCATCGGCCAGCGTGTCCGCAGACGCAAGTTCCTGGAGGAAGAGAAGGAGGCGGTGGAGAACCTAAAGCTGTTGACCCAGTATGCACAGGAAGAGAAGACAGAGATGAAGGCCCGAGATGGTGCTGAAGAGGAAGAGGAGGTGTGTGTGCCGCCGCGGAAGGTCTTCGACGTGCAGAAGGCGTTCCCGAAGCCCAAGTTGGATCGATATGGCGCGGGTTTTGACCCGTACACGAATGCTCCCGAGTTTTCGAGGTATAAACAGCAGCAGGAGGAGAAGCAGAGATCGAAGGAAGGACCTCATCGTCAGGTGGTGTCTTTCTCGGACGCTTTGACAGCTACCAACGGCAGCAATCGTGCGACTACTGGGTACGGACTAAGTGCCTTGGAGGAAGATGACGACGTGGATGTCTACGGTACTGTCTCGATGGCGGAGTTTGATCGAGTAATCGCTCCTCTTGGGGCGAAGAAGGACTTAAAGCGCCTGGATTCCTCAGCTCAAGAGTCTCGTCGACACGAGAAGGCGAATTCCAGAGCTTTGTGCTCGGATGGGCGACCTGTTCTTCCTGGGTTTGAGTTGGCAGCCTCAAAGGAGAAACCCCCAAAGGCTGTAAACTTGCGCCTTGCTGTGCCTGCTGATTTTAAGGCTTATCACCATTTTAATGAAAACGTGGACGGAGATGAGGGTGTGACGGCACTATATCGTAAACACAACTTCTCGATCGACGCAGCCAGCAACGGTGGCATGGTCGTCACGGCAACGCAGCGCAGCGCTTTACTTGGAGAAGATGAACTACTCAACCATGGCCACGTCGAGAAAGGTCGTGCCGATAATGCAGAGGCTTCCACCGGCAGTGTTTTCGACTTACTGGACAAGGAACAAAGAACAAAGCTATTCAGTGCTGCTGCACAGGCAAAACAAGGGCTGCCTCTACCTAGTATAACTCGCACTGATCCAGGGGTAGAAGCACCTGCACCTCGAGCCCGGCAGCCATTGGTCGCTGGTAGCGGTGGTGACCAATTTCGCGCCACGATTTCAGCTTCCATCGCAAAACGGTTCGTGTCCTCGACGTCTACAAATGCTGATGAAAAGAGCGAGCTCGTGGCTACCAAGGAGCCTCAAGACAAGAATTCTCGCCGCTCACAAAGTTCGTGGATTCCTAAGTCGCTGCTTTGCAAACGCTTTCACGTCAAATGCGAAGGGTCCATGGGGTCGAGTGGTAAAGACGGAGATGACGACAAGAAGCGAAACCTGTTTGACGAGGAGCTTGTTCCGCACTTGATGGAATATGCCGCTGGCCGAGCTGTTCGTGGTCAGCCCTCAGACCAGGCAGGTGCCGTCCAAAAGCCTGACGAGGATGCTAATCCTGAAAGAGAGAGCGCACAGACGCCGCCGTTGCCAGCAGTCAAGACAGCCTCGGTCAGTTTGCTCAAATCCATCTTTGAGCCGTCGGATGAATCTGACGTGAGTGACGACGATAGCGAAGGTGATAGTGGCGATGACGTCGATGGCGAAGAACGGAAAGAGGACAGTGTTCAGGCTTCTGTGAGCTCGGGAAGAAAAGTTTTTGAGAATGATCGCCATTCAGCCAGCTCGGCGGAGTCCAGTTCGTCGGAAGATGAGAAGGATGACTTCTCAGTTGTTGCCGCTTCTGGTCGTGATGGTGGTGGCAAGCTGGTTGAGCGGGGTGTGAAGCGATCGCGGAGCATTGACAGTGACGACGACCGCCATGCGAGGGAAGACAAGCGTAGGCACAAGAAACACAAAAAGCACCACCATAGCAAACACCGCTCGTCGCGCGAGCGCAAGGATAAAAAGAGGAAAAAAGACAAGAAGGACCGCAAGGAGCGCAAGTCGCACAAGCATCGCTATTCAAAGCGCTCTGGACGCAGTCGAAGCCCAAGCAGCAGTCGGGAGCGCAGTGCTGATCGCGACCGAAGCAGCAGCAACCGACACCGCTGACATTATTTCGCGTGAAAGAATAGGTGAAAACTGTAGTAGAAGTACTCAATTGTCGAGACGAATCAGGTCCCGAGCACTTCAACATTGGTCTCACTTCAACACCCACCTCGCATCAACGGTAAATTTCGGTCCTAGAGTCTATGTAAACAGAATCGATTGAAGCTCAATGCAATGCAAAAACTAGTCAATACACGACAGAGGGATCCGTCTGCGCTGGTCCCTCCACCGAGTCAAGCACCGTTGCCTGGCACTCTAAGCGCACGTGTCTCCCTGTCCTATGTGGAGACTGCCTCCGTCGAAGCAGCCGCCTTTAAATTAGTCGAAAGTAACCTTGGAGCCCTTGAAGTTCTGGATGGACGACGACTGGCGCTTCGGGGGTCCGTCACCACGGCCGCCACGTCCGCCACGGCCCCCGCCGCGACCACCGAAGCCACGGCCTCCACCGCGGCCGCCACCACGGCCACCGAAGCCACGGCCACCGCCACGGCCACCGCCACGGCCACCGTCGAAGCCGCCACGGCCACCACGGCCACCGCGGCCACCGCCACGGCCGCCACCGCGGCCTCCGTCGAAGCCGTTGTTTTCGCGGCTCTTGGCGTAGTTGACACGGATGGCACGGTTGTTCAAGTACTCGCCAGCGAGCTTGACAGCCTCGTCCACAGCCTCGGTCGTGGCAAAGTCAACGTGGCCGAAACCACGGAACTCGCCGGTCTCACGGTCGGTGGCCAGGCGGCAGCTCGTGATCTCGCCGCACTCGCCGAAGAACTCGCGCACGGTGTTCTCGTCCACGTCCCAGGCGAGGTTGCCGATGAAGATGCTGGTGCAGCCCTCCGGCTTCTCGTCGAACATGTTCTTCTTCTCGGCCGTGCGGATCTTCATCCAACGGCCACCGAAGTCCTGGCCGTCCATGGCAAGAGCAGCCTCAGCGGCCTCGGCGGTAGCGAACGTCACGAAGGCAGTGCCAGACGAGCGGCCGTTCTGCATCGGGATGCGGGCAGCAGTCACCTCACCGCAGCCAGCGAAGTGCTCCTTGACCTCGTCCTCCGTGGCGGACCACGGCAGGCCGGCAATGAAGATCTCCAGCGCCTTCTGCGGGTTGGCCACAGCGGCGGGCTCGCCGTCCTCCTGCTTCTGCACCTTGTTGGACTTCTCGGCAGCGTCCGAGTTTTTACGCTTCTTGGACACAATGGGGGTCTCCTCCTCATCCGAAGACGAGTCCGAGTCGCTGGACGACGACGACGAGTCCTCCTCCTTCTTGTCAGCAACCTTCTTGGCAGCGGGCTTCTCAGCCTCCTCGTCGTCCGAGGAGTCCGAGTCAGACGAAGAGCTGTCGCTCTCCTCCTTCTTGGCGGCAACCTTCTTGGCGGGGGCAGCCTTCTTGGGCTCCTCCTCCTCGTCCGAGGACGAGTCCGACGAGTCCGAGCTCTCCTCCTTCTTAGCAGCCTCCTTCTTCACGGGGGCAGCCTTCTTGGGGGCCTCCTCTTCATCAGAAGAAGAGTCCGAGCTCGAGTCGGAGCTCTCCTCCTTCTTGGCAGGCACCTTCTTGGTGGGGGTGGCCTTCTTCTTAGGGGCCTCTTCCTCGTCCGAGGACGAGTCCGAGCTCGAGTCGGAGCTCTCCTCCTTCTTGGCGGCCGGCTTCTTGGCCACCACCTTCTTGGGGGCCTCCTCCTCGTCCGAACTCGAGTCCGACGACGAGCTGTCGCTGTCCACGGGCTTCTTGGGGGCGGCCTTCTTGGCCACGACCACCTTCTTCTGCGGGGCCTCGTCGCTGCTCGAGTCCGACGAGCTGCTGCTGCTGGACGCAGGCTTCACGGGGGCTTTCACCTTCTTGGCCATCGTTAGTCTATAGAGAGGTAGCGGGGTCTGGAGTTGCTGGGGCGCCGAGGGATTGCCAAATGACCAGCGAAGGGTGCTCCGGTGGCTGGCTGCCAAGCCTTTTGATACCTTCAACTGTCTTGCAGAGGTTTGGTTGGCGTAGGCGCAGCTAGACCTAAAACGCGTGGACCACTCGAAAAAGGTCGACCAAATTGTACCGTAATGGACCATACCGGGTCATGAAAGTCCCATGCGACTTTACTGTACGTCTTCGTCGACGGTGACTGACTGTGTTACCGCTCGGTATTTACGTTTTTCGGGTCTGGACCAATTGAGGGGCCATAGAAATGTGTACACCACACGAAATGTGTGGTGCACCTGATGCCAGCCAGTTTGGCGAGGTTTTTCTGTTCTGCGGAAAGGGGGGCGAGGTTTTATGTATCAGTTGGGTGGATTCGCACACAAGAACCACACAGTCTTTCTTTCGAATCCGCGCGCTAAATCCTGCACTGACCCGGGCGGCAGCATGGTGGCAAGTGGCAGCGACGAGAACTCTCCGGCGGTGGACGCTGTGGCGGCCCAGGTGGTGGTGGTGGACGACGCGACCAAGGTGGTGCACGAGGCGGTGGTCGGAGAGAAGCGCCCGCGTGAAGAGGAGGTGGTGGACCCGCTGGTCGCGAGCGTCGAGACTGTCGTGGCCGAGGCGCCCGGCGCTGTGGACGACACGACGGCCTCGCAGGACTCGCAGGCCACGCAGGACGAGGACATCCACGACGTCATGGCCAAGATGAAGGAGGCGGCCGGCGCGGACGTGGCCTTCGACGCGGCGGCGGCCGCTGCGGCTGTCGTGCCACCGCCTCCCGAGGCGCTGAAGGCCGACTCGGCCACGCCCGTGCAGGACGCGGTGGTCGCAGCTGCGGCAGCGGGCGTCGGCGCGGACCCGAACGCCGTGGCCAACGTCAAGTTCGACAGCAAGCGCATGGCGCGCGTGTCGTTCAACTCGTGGTTCGACTTCGACTCGTACTTTGAGATGTACATGCAGGAGACGTTCCAGCCCTTCCGCATGCGCTCGTCCTGCAGCGTGGAGGCGTACCGCCGCAACCAGCAGAAGGTCATGCTCAACAACAAGAGCTCGCGCGGACGCCGCGCCGAGTTCCCGGACGAGGCCATCCACCACCACCGGATATACATGTGCACGCACGCCATGAAGGCGCGTTGCCGCGGTGCCAACACGCGCCCCGGACAGAAGTACCGCGGTATCGGCTGCATGGCCAAGATCAATGTCAAGATCACTCCGGCCGATAACCCGTCCAAGTACATGGTGATTGTTACCGACCAGGTATGCCTTGTTGACGATCTTCCGAATCTGATTATGGATATTAACTCTTTTCGCTGTTGTTGCTGCAGGTTGTGTCGCACAATCACCCGGTGAGCCGCGAGATCTATGAGGCGTACCCGGACGTGCTGCTCAAGATGATGCGGCGCAGCCAGCTGTCCCAGTCGATGCTGGGCCACCCGCCGCCGCCCAAGTTCGAGACGCCCCAGCAGACCCAGAAATACGAGCGCGCTATGAACACGTTCCAGTCCGTCGCCGAGACCATGGCCCGGTTGAGCGACGAGGACTACGAGGCGCAGCTCGGTCAGCTCCAGCGGCTCTACACGCCCGCCACGGAGCAGGATCAAACGGTCTGAGTGTGTTAAGCCAAAGCTGACACCAAAGGGCGGACAGGGTGGCTATATACCAGTACTCAAAGAGAAGAGGAGCTGCCGGGGGGGGCCTCGAATTCGCCCTCGTCGTGTAGCAACGTTCATGTCCAGCATATCATACACGTTGGATGCATTGTGGTTCATTTTTACTGCGTCGTTCCAACAACATTAATTGACTTCATACTACGAGTACGTTTGATACTACTTCTAGTAATTATTTTGTACGTAGTGTGTCCTACTACTACTGTAGTACCACTTAGTAATATCCAATATCTGTTTGACAATACGAGTATATCAGCACCCCTGTAAAGCCGGGCGACCCGAAACCCTTTTATAAAATGCCCCCCCCCCCCCCTCCCAATACGCGAGCACTAGCATGCAGCTTAGAGTCAGACATGTACATTGCTGTCAAAGACCGGAGGTCCCAACACACAACAACCAGCAAATTGCTATTTTAAACTAATTTCGCAACACTTGTTGCTCGTCGGTAGCGGCTCGTCCTGATGTTCTATTTCTTTCTACGCCACTCCAACAGCAAGTTCCCGTCAAGGTGTTTCGCGCCGCACATCTTGACAAAGATTCACCATACCGCTATACGGCTCTGCAAATTAATATATGTACGCACCAAAGTAGTATATCGAGTGAGACGTCGCAGAAGACCTGCCGTCCGCTGGGTTTTTTTTTATAGCGCGTGCCCTAGCTGACATTTGAAAGTTATTAACAAAATGATAAACGTTTACGGGCTTTTGCGAGGGATCACGTACAAATACTGCAAGTCGTCGACTCGTGAGCCCCTCATTTGCACTGCCAATTTCGCTTCGCTCATGGCGGGCAAGGCATAATCGATAGTAACTACACCGCAGAGCAACTACTGTAACCCATGCACCGATTGCAGACCTTCGCTTCGCTCTGGTTGCACACGGGCTTTTGAGCCTTTTCCAATGCCAGCATCTCGTCGCACCTTTGATCACCCAACCTGATGAATACACAATCCAAATAATAGTCGACGAAAAATTTAACTACAGTAGATAGCAAACGTAACCTAACAGGCCCAGAGCTGTAGGTGCGGCGAAGCTAGCAGTCTCTTCGTCTTCAATATCTCAACGTTTAGAGTGCCGCGCGCCGGGAAGCCACAGCAACGCAATATGCTTCTGTTTATCATTTCAATCGTTTGATGACTGTGCGCACACAAAATACTGACAGTAACGATACTTTTCCCTCTTCGCAACGAAGACGAACAATGCAGAGTGCAACATATTGAACATGAATAGGGATGTAGATTCCGTGTTATATAAAGCTAAACCAGATAATTTCTGTATTAGTTTATGGAACCTGTTTACCCAGCGCTTACAGGAAACACGCGCTGTAAACTTGTATCAAGCAATTGATGGAAATTACTAAGCACTGCTCAATAGTCCATGCCAATGGCGTTTAATGTGTTCAGGGAAACGAGCAGCATAATGGATGCAAAGGCGCGCGATCTATTGCAACTTCATTCGCTTCTTTTCACTCGAGCTAACTCCTGGCTGACACGGGGCTGGGTAGCCTGTAGTGTTCAGTCGCAGCCATTTCACGTGTTCAATAAATTCAACTCCTGTATTGTAAATACCCGGCAAAAAACCTCTGCCAAGTAGGCACGATTCACGAACGCACCCATGATTCGGCTGAGAATTAATGGGCTGGACAGCGTGAATACTGCCTTGAAAGTGCAAACACGAGCATGTCTTCTCTCCCTGGACGACGATGTACTGAACCGAAGCATCATCGGGCAACCTTTGTTTTGGTCACGCCTACAGAGCACTCTTGAGCGCTTTCGCGCCGAATCCGCCTACCACGCTGACCCCAAGTATTGCAGTGGGGGGATCTTGCTTGCCTGTAAACGCCGTGCCAACTGAACCCCCGTCTTGGATTCGGTAGTCAAACTAGGTCCTCTATCGCTCCTTCCGTCTCGGACACCGGCGCTCTGACGCGCGATCCGTGACCTTCCGAAAGTTTCGAGACCGTGGCGGTTCAGCAAGCTCTTCTGAAACTTTGATCTGCTTCTTGTAAAAAGACATGATTATAAGAAGAGCCTTCACCCCGATTAGTAGGAGTATGTATCTCTATGTTATACCACATAGTACTGTTACTGATGTACTAGTAAAGTAAGATCATATAAATGTCATATTTTGATTCCATGCTGTAGTAGAACATACTACTACTGTAGTACTTTTATAGGTGACGCCCGGGGGGGAAGAACAACAACACCACCATCTGCGTTGAATCGCAGTTTCGTAGTCTTCACCGCTGAGCGTCAGCCGAGCAGCGAGCGATGGCGAGCAGCGGCGTGGACGTGGCGCTCGCGCCCAACTCGAGCGTGATCCTGGAGCCGGCGGACTCGCTGTCCTTCCACCTGCAGCCGCAGACGGCGCCCCAGGCCGTGCTGACGATCCGCAACGTGGCGGACGACCGGCAGATCGCCTTCAAGGTCAAGACCACGCGGCCACTGCGCTACCTGGTGCGGCCGAACCAGGGCCTGCTGGGGCCCAACGGCTCGGCCTCCATCATGGTGATCCTGCAGCAGAAGGACTGCGACGAGCTGCTGCGCCTGGACCCGGCGGAGCGCCAGCTGGCCAACGACAAGTTCCTCGTGCAGAGCATCTACGTGGACGACAGCTTCTACGAGCTGGTCAAGACCAAGTCCACCAAGGAGATGGCGGACGAGCTCACCAACATGTGGGCGCGCACGGACAAGCGCGCGCTGTCCAACAAGAAGCTGCGCTGCCGCTTCGTGCAGGACGGCGAGGAGCGCCCGGCCTCCCCGCCCAGCCCGCAGCGCGCGTCGTCGACGAACGTGTCGCCCGCCAAGACGGCGGCCGCGGCCTCGGACGCGAGGTTCCAGAATAGACTCAGCGACGAGGTGAGGGAGGAGGTGGCCACGCCCGCGCAACTGTCCTCGGCGCTGCTGCAGGACGACAAGCCGCAGGCGCCCAAGGTGGCGGAGAACAGGGAAGGAAGCAAGGAGACGGTGCAGGAAGTCGCGGCGCTCCGCAAGAAATACGACGAGGTAAAGTTTTCCCAGAAGGTGGAGAGGAAGTGGTCGAGTTGAACGGGGAGGCTGATGTGTTCTTGTGTGCTTGTGTGCTTGCAGTTGGTGGCGTTTACAGTGCAGCTCACGGCGCAGCGTGACGTGTTGATGAGCGACCTGGACAAGACCCGGCAGCTGCTGCAGAAGGCTAGCACCGACGCACAGCGCGTGAAGAAGCTCTCGGAGGAATCCTCGACCATGCGTCACCGGAAAAACGCCGGTGGCAATGGTGCATCTGGCAACGAAGACTCGCAGGCGATCACGGGCAAGGGCCCGAAGGAGGAGGGGGTATGTCTGACGTATTTCTTCGTTTTCTGATCGTTGGCATGGTGTTATCATAACTCACTGTGATTATGTTGTTGCTACAGGCATTTGGACCCATTCATCTACTGATCTGCGCGATCATTTTCTTTTTAGTTGGACGCTATTACTAGGCGACGTGCTGTACCGTGTGCGATGGAGTTAGGCAGAGACAGAAGGTGTTGCAACTCAAGTTTAAGTGGGGAAGCAACAGTACGCTTGGCGAAAGGAGTGAGAGCATTAGAGCTTTCTGTCGACCTGCATGGCCGACGCGTGCTTGCGCATGTGTATGTGGGCTCGCAGTTGAGGGGAACTTGGCTTGCTGGAGGTAGAAGAAGATCATGGAGCAGCATTAGTAGTAGACCGAATGACCGAATGAGTACAGGAAACCAGGGGGAATGAATGAATATGCCAACCAGCTTTCTCTCGGATTGTTGGATGGAGCAACGATAGATAAGCAAGGACGCTGCGGGTAAGCGCAGCGCATCTGGTGAACTTGGTGGTGCATTGATAAGAAGCATGGGCCACGAAGTCTCTCGCCTGTAACTCTTCTTGTATGGCCAACTCTTGGCAGTGTAGGTTGTGCAACCCTGGATGCAGCGCCACCTTGCTAGTTAAGAATCGCAGTGACGCTCATTTTGCGCTTCCCCTCCATATCCAACGGCGCACATGCTTTACGCTTGGCACTACGCGTGCGGCAGCTTTCCGTGGCGCTGCTGTCTCCGCCATCACTGCTAACTCCAGACGCGCGCAAAGCCGCGCTCTCTTTCATAGAAAGCATGGCCATCGCTGCGGCATCGCTGTCCGACTGGGTACCAGCAGGCGCAACACGCAACGGCAACGGGGGGAGAATCGCCTTTTCTTCTTGGGGACGGCCACCAAAGCGAAGCGGCGGTACTTCTGCTTCATCGTCAGGGAAACTTGTATCGTCCACGTTTTCCTCGTACTCTCCGTCGCCGTCATACGCGCTCTCAATCTTCCGGAGTTGCCTCACATCGTCTCGAAGCGCGTTTACTCGCACCAGCGTTACCGAGTCTTCCGATCTTGGAGACGCTTCATCCACCGCGCTTCTATACCTGCGTCCATCGTGACGACCACCACTTGCGCCTGGAGGGGTGTGGCTCGGCGAAATGCTTGACGAATTGTTGTTGCCCGTAGACGCATCCTTGCCGCTAGCGTCACCACTTGGTGGTCCTGAACTGCCGGGAGCTTCGCCCGAAGGTGAGGACGATGAGCTCCCTCCGCCGCCGCTGCGTCGAGAGGACGACTTTTGCGCGTCGTGCTGCTCAATGCTAGATCCCGTAGCCTGCATGAAGATGTGCTCCAGACGATCGATCATGTGCAGCAGCGGCTCGTACGTCGCGAAAGGCTGCTTCATCAGGATCGTGTGCATGAACTTGTTGCGCGTGGCATATCCCGTCCACTTGTCGTGCTTCTTCAAAATCTGCAATACGCCATAACCCAAGAACAACGTAAGACCACTGCTGCAACAATAAATTGCAGGCGGAAATGCTGTCAGGGGACGAACCGCCTGACTCGACATGTAGTCAAGTGGGTAAGAATCCGACCTTGGAGATGCCGCAAAAGTTCATGACGGCAAAGTTTTCCAGCAGCAGCAGCTCCTTGTACAGAGCCACGCAGCTCTTCATCAGCGCCGTCTTCGCTTCAGCCGAGTCGGGATTCGTCTACGAAGCGCCACAGAACACGTAAGACTTCCCTCCCAACAAAATAATTATCGTCCAGCGATGTCTGATCCGCCCGTACCTTGAGCTGCTGGAAGCTGGCGTCGATGGCCGCCACTTGGCTCGTGTGCCTGGCCTGCTCCTTGATGAAGAAGTCTGCAATCTTCTTGATCTCCATGCGCAGCGTGCGGAAGAAGTTCATCTCATCCTGCGACTGGCCTGCTCCGCCAAAGCACAACGAACAATAAACATCAATACACGTGATAACACCCAAAACGCCGGTGCAGCAATAGCGCAACACGCACGGATGCTGTCGTTGTCCTCCTTGGCGGAGGGTTTGATCTTGATCTTGACGAGTTTGTCGCCCTGCAGCTTCTCCTCCTTCTTGATCTGCGCGCAGTCCTTGATGATCTTCTTGAGCAGCTTGTAGTCGGCCCAGTAGGGCTCCCACGCGCTGGGCGACATCTGCGTCGACTGCTGCAGCACCTTGCCGAACTTCATGGCCCTCTAGCAGCTACTGTAGCTTCCCAGCGAGTCTCCTGTCCTCGGTCTGAAGGAAAAACAACTGATAACCAACCAGTCAGTGTCGAGCCTCGCGCGGTCAGAGAGCAGCCTCCTCTGCTGCACTGCAGAGCGCGGCGGAGCGGGGCACCTGGCGGCGAGATTCGATGCAGAAACGAGGAGAAAACACCTGCTCGAATCTTTTCGCCCGCGCGACACGAGGAAGCGCGGCGAATCTCGCACCGCCGGACTCAGCAAAGCATTGCCGCCCGCGGTCCCTCGCCCGCCCGCAAGCGCGCTTACAGTACGGCATCTTGGTCATTAACAAGGCATTCATTACCTGCTGCGTGCGCGGCAGGCAGTTATTGTGCGAATGTATCGGAGATGCAGCAAAGCCGTCCCGGTCGGCGACACCTATCCCGCCGGCGCGATTTAGAAAAAACGGCACTGTGTCATGATCCTGTGCAAGCGCATGATATGTCTCAAGAGAGGCCCGTCTGTTTCCTACCTTGACGCCAGACTGCTATCTGGCATGTTCAAGTCGCAAATCTAAGACCGCTTCGAGTTTGGCGGTGCGACGGCAACAGCCAGTTCACGCACGCGACTTCGGAGTGCGACTCGCGCAGGTGTGCTTACCCGACGCAGAGCGCTAGCGTTATGCGGTCTGCAGTAGGGGCATGTGTTGCCCAGGCTGCATTGCTGCTGCTGCTGCTGCTGCTGCTGCTGCTGGGTAATAGGAGTAGGATCTGACTCATCTCCGCATTTGACTTTGGTGTGAGGTACCGTCGTCCCCTCGTTTTGTGCTCCCTGCAGCTTCAGATACCCTGCTCTAATAAATGTATGGTCAGTATTCAATCATAAAACAGAACTGGATTTTGTTATTATTTGTCCTATTCCTCCGGCCTCCAGCTTGTTAATTCAATGGTTTATTAACGATATATCAGTACCATTGTACTATAAAAATGCGCAATGTTAATTGCCTCTCAAATCGCTTCATTGAACCGCTTCTGTGCCTTTTCTTGTCGCGTTTGATGAGCGTGTCCGCTTGGATCTCCTCCGGCGGCGGCGTCCAGCCGTTCGATTTGGCCAACGCCAACAGCGAGCTTGCTCGCCGCCGATGCGTGGTGGATACACCTCGAGCATGCAAGTCTGGTGTCATGGTACGCGTACTGTATTAACGTTAAGCAGGCGTGGCACCTCAAGTGCAGGTGCACGGTACCAGCGCACCTTCTGATACGGCCCCACTTCAAGGGCAACGTTGCCGCCGAGGTCAGGTGCCTTCTGGTAATTGCAGGTCTGCAACGTAGATCTACATGTGCATGCATTGGTTGCCCTTTAGTTCTGCTGCAAGTGTGGCTATTGCGATCGCGGGTCCTGCACGCCACGTGCAATGCTGCAAGTCCATTAAACTTCGGCACATCGAGTCGCGCGGTTTTCCTGTCCGTGGGCAGTGGTGCTTCGCACCTGCCATCCTGAAGGATTTGGTACACTGCAGCGCGTGGATCAGCGGGTACCGAGCTGCTGTCAACTCATGCCGCTGCTAACAGCCTTCCGCGGGCCATGACCTCGGCTTGGGAAGGCGGCTCTCGGCTGCAGTATAACAGATCAAGAGAACGCCGACTCAACAGAGACTTGCACGCGACCCCCGGCTCAGTGGCAGCGCTTTCCATGCGCCGCAGCAACAACGCCTCGACGCCATTTCACCAGAGGAATACGGCATATTCGAGGATGTGGAAGATCAACGGCGGCGCCAGGTATCGCCACCGGACGTGATTTTCATCCGCCTTGGTTGCGCGTGACAAGGCTGCAACCACCCGCCAGAGTTGCTGCATTGCCTCGTCCTTCCAGCTCGTGACCAATTGCGATGATGCCCTTGTCGTAAGCGCAGGAGTTTCTTGCTGCCGCATTGCCAACGCGTTCGCGTATATAACCAGCCGGCATTTCTCCCGCTCTCCTGATGAGAAGTGTCGATGCAATGCCGGACTCCACACCACTGCCCAGTCAGGCGACAGCATCTGCCGCACGTCGAGGCGAATCCAAGACGCCACTTGCAATTCCAACCACATTTCATTCGCTGCATCAGCAACGCCAACACAAATAGGTCAGCACATCTATCTACCCCAAGCTTTTACGCTCCTGCACAGCAATCCACTTACAGATCGTTGCGCGGGAAGCTCCGCTGCTCAGCAGCAACGCCACCAACGTGTTATTCTTGCGGGTGATCGCCAGAGTCAATGCTGATGACCCCGTTCTATCCATCAGCCAAAAAAACAAGTTAGTGTGTTCCTCCGCCATAATGCATCCATTCGCGGTTGCTTACATCGTGGTGGCGTTGAGGTTGATGTCCTCCGCCGCCAAAAGCCGCCGCACAACGCTCAAACGACTATGAGCCACAGCGTAGAGCAGCGCCGTCCAGCCTTCCCCAAGCTTCACATTCACGTCACCTCCAGCGTCGCATGAGAGCCACGCATCCACCGCATCCACGTCTCCATTGGCAGCTGCGTCCAGGAACGCACGCTGCTTGAGGCGGCGATCGGAAGTCGCCATTGACCGAGTGGCCAACATGAAAAATGCAAGTTGTCACTAAGTCGAGGTCTCATGTCACTCAAATCCACTTCAACTTGCATGCATCTATTGAGTTGCTTATATTAGCGTGGCCCCTGCGGACGAGTTAACACTTTGGGGCTGCCGGCTCCTTCCTCTTTGTCGCGCAACTCGTCACCGTCTTCTTCTCCGCTCGAGCCGATCGTGAACTTTGGTGATGGGCCCTTCCTAGCGGCTCGGGATCGAGGTGACAAGGGGCTTCCAGGTGGAGACGACGGCGACGGACTCCTCGACTCGCTGATTTCCACGATAGTCTGCATGTGCGCACGCGAGGACTCGGCGGGGATGCGCGACCAAGCGCGCGTACGCCACTTCGTCCAGACCATGACTGCAAGCGCGACGCCTACCAGCGAGATGAGGATAACCTCCGCGATGAAGGCGCCGAATGGGGGACTTGACCGCTTTGTAGTTCCCTCGGTGGATGAAATGCTCGTGGTTGCATCGGGACTGCCTACGGTGTTGGCCAGCGCCGTCGCCGTCGTGTTTGAGTCCATAGACGAGCTGTTGCTGGAGCTTGTTACAGAAGTGTTGGAGGGTGCTGGCTGCTCCGTGGCGTTTGAGTCGACTGATACCGGAGTAGCAGGTGCTGGCTGATTGGTACTATCTGAAGCGATCGGAGCTGCAGTTGTAGCGTTGGAATAGCTTCTTCCTGCAAAGCACCACAACGTAGCACAACGTCAGGTGTAGTTAATTTAGACATCTTCACGAGAGAAGGCGTACCGCAATCTGACTCGGCGAAGCCCACACGCTTGTTCTCCACATCAAAGATTACATCAAAGCCGACCATGGCGCTCGCGCCAAGAACTGCAGCGTTCGAACACGAACCGTTAGAATCCAAAATACAAGACAAACAGTAATGCGTCATACGTACCACCGCCACTACGCTCCGAGAAGTGGAAATTGCCGTAGTAGGACTTGCCGTCGTCAGCCGGGGTAAGATACTGCGAGGCAGGGACGTCTAACTGAACGTCATCGGTGCCGTCGCCTTTCATTCCACTGAGAATGATGGAAATTACTGGGAGGGCTGCCAATTCCTCGCTGGTCAGCTTCATGCGGCTTTCGCTATAGTCTCGGCCTGCTGCCTTGCTGAATGCGCTCATGAATGCTCGCTTTCCTTTCCCGTCGAAGAAGGTGTCGGTTGTGCCGCTGTCCACAATCACACCCCTGCCTGAATTGATCGTGCCAGTATCGATTCCAAGCGAGACGCCATTCAGCAAAATATCTTTCACGTGAACTGGATAGTAGGCGGACTTGTCACTGAGCAGCGGCGTATACCCGACATCGCTCGTGTGGTGGCTGTAGTCCACACCTCCGAACACAAGTTCACCACCGTCCCCGGCAAAGCAAAGGGTGAAAAGGTTTTGCGTCACGCGGCCTGCGTTCAGCATGTATGACATGACAGTGGAGCGATGGCGACCGAGGCCCATGATGCCGTTCTCCTTCTGCGTGATGAACAAACCTGTCTCCTTGGTCTGGCAGCCTACAGGAAACCGAAACCCAAACGTCTTCAGCACTCCTTCCATCTCATCAGCTGGCGACGAGAATCCTCCCACCCACACCAGCTCGTCCACCATGACGGCCTCCCACATACTCCCCTCCATATAGCTCTATCCATCGACGTCAGCAAAGCACACAGTATCAGGACCAATGCCTACGTGACCCTGCAACTCTTGTATCAGTGCCGTACCTGCGAGATATAGCAACGGTCCTGCTCGCATGAGCGGCACGAGTCGAAGTCGTGGCAGGCCAGATACTTGGCCGTCGTCGACTTTGATACGTCGAATAGTGGGTCTGTGTGTTGTCCACAACCCTGGCACGTGCTGCACGGCAGCGCCGTCAAGTGACTTCCCGTATCCACGATCACTGACGCTCTCTGCGCCGGGATTCCCAGGTAGATCTCGGCATAGTGAGTCCTATCCAAGCAGCACGGTCAGCTCAATAAATGTAGCCATATCCCTTCAAGCTCGCCAATCTCTTCACGCACCCGTAGCCTACACCAAGCGGAGCTTCACTCAGTGCGAACGCCCCGACTGGGGAATCTCCATCCGCGTTGCCTGCCTCCTGCGCTCGTCGTTGCACTCGCGCCTGCTGGTGTGCCAATATGTAGGACAGCTCTGCGCTCGGCTGCTGCTGCTTGTGAAGCTGGATTTTCAGCAATCCCTGCTCACTAGCAGTGAGAGAGGTCACTTGGGTGCATATTGCAGCCACCAGCACAGCCACAAACGCTCGCCATCGACCGCCAGACGCTCGCGGAGGAGTCATCGCGGGCAGGTTAATCGCCGAGTGATCGCATTGTTTCGGTGCAGCTATGGCCGGTCTATTTATGGCCAATTAGAAGCTGGATGGGGCTATTTTTAGCAACAAGATGAAGTTGAAGTGCAAGTACACTGGTACCAGTATCATGCCATACAGCTACATGTAGCTCACTACTCTGATGGGAGGCACGAGGCACCTGAGAGCTACCTACATGGCCGCGTAGTCCGCCTCGAACCCGGCGCCCGTGTCGCTGAGGTCTGCAAACAGGCTCTCTTCGTGCTGGCGTGCGAGCATCTTCTGGCGGAAGAGCACTGAGCCCACGACGGCCGCCACGAATGCAACGCACCCGATCACGATTCCAACGATGGCTCCAGTGCCCAAGGCCGCGGACGAAGTGCCAGTTGGTGTGCTGGTGCCGGCGGACGAGTTGGCCACTGTAACACTGGCCTTGTCCTCGGAGGGCGTACCAGCCGTCCCGACCGCGTTGCTCTCGGGATCGAGGGACCCGGTCGTATTGCCTTCGGACGTCGTCGTTCCGCTTCTGACCTCAGAGGTCGATCTCCCAGCGGCATTCTTTTCGGATGTTCCAGCACCACTAGTAGCAGCACCTTCATCAGCATTGGTCGCAGACCCGGCCGTATTGCCAGCATTATTAGTCTTGCTCTCGGACGTAGGAGCTCCGCCGGTGTTGTCGGAATCGGTAGCCCCAGCAGCATTTTGCTGGGGGATAGCGGTCGCAGCTCCGTTTTCTGCGTCCCCTGGCGCGACAGTGTCTGGAGCTTTGGTGTCTGCAGGCGAAGCTGTATCCGGCGCGACAGTGTCTGAAGATTTTGTCTCTGAAATGGTTGATTCTCGTCCTGTTGGTGCTGCAACCGTGTCTGGTGCGCTCGTGTCTGCGGGGGAGGTGTTATCTGCTGGAGCGACGGTGTCTGTTGATGTTGTATTTGGTACCGTCGAGTCTTCTCCTGCTGGTGCGACCGTATCTGGTGCAGTTGAGGCTGTGGGCGAGGAAGAATCTGGTGCAGTTGAGTCTCCAGGTGAAGCTGTATCTGTGGCAACAGTGCCTGGGGACGCTTTTTCCGGTGCCGTTGAGTCTTCTCCTGCTGGTGCGACCGTATCTGGAGCAGTCGTGTCTGGCGATGCAGTATCGGGCGCAGTTGTGTCAGGAGATGCCGTCTCCGGAGCAGTAGAGTCCCCTTCTACTGGCGCGACGGTGTCTGGTGCAGTTGTGGCCTCAGACGACGGCGCAGCAGTGTCGTCCTGATGTGGAGAGGGTGCCTCGGATGGAGCCAAGGTGGCGTCTTCAGGACACTCGTAGCGTTCTCCAAAGCTGCCAATTACCTTGGTACAGTTTTCATGTTTCCCGCGATCATCCGTTCTTACCGGCTCGTGTCGAGTTTGGGTCGGAATACCTGGTGCATCGGTGGAAGTTGGCAGGCTCTCTTTCAAACCGTCCCAGTCTTTAAACTCTTCAGCCACTTGTGGTACATGGCCAACATAGTTATCGTTGGAAGCGGAGATGAGGGCCGATGGTGCTTCGGTGCCTTTGGCAGGGGATTCTGTCGGCAAGTCTGTAGCTGGAGCACTGGTAAGCGTTGGCAAACCATCTGTAACGCCTTCCCAGTATTTGAACACTTCAACCACTCGCGGAAGGTGATCAGCATAGTTCTCGTTTGAAGCGGAGACGACGGCTCCTGCTGGCACATCGGTTGAAGGGGCTTCAGTATTCTTCAGCATATCATGTTGAACGCCTTCCCAATATTTAAATCGTTCAGTCACATCCGGTAGGTGGTTTTCGTAATCGTCTTCTCGCCGAGGGTAGATCGGAGCGAGTATCGGCGGCTGTGTCGGCACCTCACAGGGGTTGCAATCGTCTTGATTCCATCGCACGTACTCATCAAAAACGCTCACGGAGTCACTCTGAGTCTCATCCGGAGATATCTCGGCATCGCTGTCGCTCACTAATCTCGGAGTTCCGCTATTCCAGACGGAACGGGGCCCCACAACGCGGTCATACACTGAAACAGTGTCCGCTGCTTTATCTTCCACGCCTGCATCTTGAGCATTGTTGTGGTGGTCAGACTTTAGCGAAAGCACTGCCGAGTCAGAAGCTGCAGTTCTCCCCGGTATCGTGCCTTGTACTTTGTCGCCAGCAGTCCCGCTCCTCTCGCTGGTTTTCGGAAACTCTGGCCATGCAACAGCTGAGCCTCGAAGCACCTTGACTTCTTCTCCGATCGACTCCTGAAATCCCTGTGCACCACTCGTTTGCTTGGCAATCCCGACTGCTTCAGCATCCGGGATGTTGTCGACTGCTGCAGACGTCGAGACCAGCAGCGCCCAGCCCAGGTACCGCCTCATGCCGAGCCCAGCCCGTTCACGGAACGGCTTCGAGAGTGACGTGTGGTTTCTGGTTTCGGTTCTCTCGAGACGCAATGGGATTCTTCATGGCACTGCAGCAAGCAGACCTTGCCCAACCAACAGTCGACGGATCTTCGAGATGAAAAGTCACGAGACGCCTTCACAAGTCGCATGCTCCGCGATATCCAAAACCACCGCCTCGCTCGAGAGACTCTACAGCTCGCTACCGCCAAGCTAGATATGCTTTCTACTCGAGGGCCACACTCCTTGCATCTTTGAAGCGGCTCCGTGAAGGTACCTTTCACGTTGAAGTGAAGAGGTGTTGGCAAAATCGGGGGTACATGTACTGTGTGGACGTATTGCATGCAGTCTTCAAACTCAGCGTAGTGGCCTTGTCATTATGTATGGATGGGTTACATGCAGCAGCCAGACGAGTATTCACGGGCTCCCACCATCTAGCTAACACAACGTGTAGTGTCTGGTCTCTTTATTTACTAGGCGAAATAGGTGGACGGGCGTCGGGCGTCGGGCGTCCTCAAAGCCGCTCCAGCGTCCGGTTGTCCACCTTGGCCTCCTCCTGCATCGATTTTCTGTCAAAGACCTCGTCTTCTTCATCGCTGCTGCTGTCCTGGCCATGGTGATCCTCGTCCTCCTCCTGGTCTAGTCGCTGGTGGTTCGTAGAGCCACCTTTCTTGTCATTGCGAACCAGGCCGAACTCCTCTTCATCGTCGTCGTCTTCATCCTCCTCGCTTCCCTTCACGCGACTCCAGAGCTGCTCCTTGCCTGTCTTCTCTCTCCGTCGACTGACCGAGATCAGCATCATCAAAAGGAAGCCCACCACTAAAACGGCGCCGACGATCGTGAGCACCATCGGGTGCGTGCCCGAAGACTTCTCCTTTGCCGTTAGGTCTGCGGCGTCAGCTGAAGACGACGCCTGTGTCTTTGTTGTTGCTTCCTCCGAGAGCGGCTGAATGTTCTGGACCGAGTTACTTGAAGCCGAGTCGAGTGCAATAGAAGCCTCATCTACTGCAGTTGCCGGTGTTGCAGCGGCAGTAGCGACTGGCTCCGATGTGGCTGTAGCAGAAGTGGCTTCCGGGATAGACTCCTCCGTCACCTTAGGTGTCGAGGCGGCAGTAGCTGTTGGCGCGGACGTAGCCTCTGCAGAGGTCGGTTCGGGCGTCGTCTCAACTGTAGCCGACGGCGTTGCAACAGGCTTTGGTGCGGTAGTCGTTGCAGTAGCGGGCGCAGCAGTCTGGGCAGCGGTGGGTGCCGCAGTTGGCGCACGACTGGCAAAAGTAGTTCCTGCTACTGCAGACGTGGAGGCCGGCACGGAAGCGTTTGAAGCAGCGGTGGCTGCGGGAACGGCAGTCGTTTCGCTGCTGTTGCTGCTGCTGGTAATGTGATCACCGATCGATGGTGGCGTCGTCTTCGTCGAATTACCACCTTGGTAGGCGCAGTCAGCGTCCACAAAACCCACTCGTTGATTGCCATTGTCGAAGATCACGTCACGGTTCATCATAAGGTTGGCACCAATGACGCCACCGGCGTTTTCCGACAGGTAGATACTACCGCAGTACGAGTTGTCGTTGTGCAGCAAATATTGCTCGGGCGGGATATCGATGATCACTTCACCGTTCTCGTCTCCATACGCTTCCATCACAAGCTGAATTTTCGGCAGCGACGCGAGATCCTCATTCGTGTAGCCATGACACGACGTTCCAACCTGATAGTCACGACCCGCGACTTCCTTAAACACCTGCAAAAACTCGTTCTTCATCGCTCGCGGCAGATAGGAGTCGGTGGTTCCACTATCGACAATGTAGTGGCCGCGAGTGTACGCCTCCTCCTTGGCATTGATGGATTTACCACCGATGCGGATGTCCTTCATGTTCACATTGTAAAAGTGGCTGCAAAACCACACACGCGCATAACGAATTAGCTTACTAGATACACAGAGTTCTGCGAAACATGGCAGCCCATTCTTACCCGGCAGAGCGGTCCTTGATCACTTTAGCATACGAGATTTCTCCGCGGTGCGCCTTCGTGTTAGGTTCACCCACCGACATGGTGCCGCCGTTCTCCGTGAAGCAGAGCGAGAACAAGTTACTCGGAATCTTGTTCTCGCGGTGCAGCTTTGCCACAATGTGGGTGTCCGAGTTGGACAGTCCCATGATACCGTCCGCCACTTGCGTGACGAACAATCCCGTCTCGGAGCTCTGGCAGCCGAACTGGAAGTGGGTTCCGTACCGGTCGCGCATGGCTTCGTCGTGGAAGCTCGACTCGCCTCCGAGGTAGACCACGTCCTCCACCACCGACGCCTTCCAGCTGCTGCCTTCCATGTACGACTGCGAGATCGCGCACGTGTCGGACTTCTCCGTGCACTCCTTGCACTGGAAGTGCGACTGCTGCTGGGAGCACGTCACGTGGATCAACGTGGACGAGTTGTCCGCCTGGAAGGGCTGGTCCGTGTGGCTGCCACAGCCGTCACAGCCCGAGCACGGGAACGCCATCAGTCCACTGCCGGTATCCGCGATCACCGACGCGCGCTGCGGCGGAGTGCCGGCGTACACCCACGTGTAGTGCGTGCTGCATGCAATAACCACATCAGTTCCTTCAATTTCCAGCCCGTCTACTCAGATAATCGACGTACCCGAGGCCCAAGTGCAGCGGGACGATCTCCGGCGCGTCCTCCTCGATGTTCAGGCGCCTCGCGTATCTATCCGGGTGGATGCTGTGCTTGGGCAGTGGGTGCAGCTCCATCGTCATGGCTTCAGCCAGCGCGTGGAGCGACGCGGACGCCGCCGCGAGCGCCGGGAAGCTGGCGATCACGCGCACCATGTCTGAGTCTAGCGCTCGCTTGGATGGAGGTGGCAAGCTGGGAGAAAAGCCTGTGCCGGCCGATGCGCGCGTGTACAGTGAGGAGGAAGAGAGCTGGAGGCGGATGGGGGAGCACCTCGGCACGTGGCGGTTTTCGACGTCCTCGAACCCAAATTAACTAACAAAAGTAAGTTTGGGCGATAGAAACGATTTAACCCTTTCGTGGCCAAAAGGTGCATTTTGACCCCTTAATTTTGGGCGGAATTCAGAGTAAAGAGCCAGAAAAGTATCTTTTCCTGATGGCTACATGAAATACCGCCGCTGACACTAGTCATTGAGCCCCATTTCGCGGCGCAGCAGTGTCGACCATGCGCTGGTGCCGCGGCGCTGGCGCTGAGCAGGAGAGCGCGTCTCGTTGCCGTCTTCGGAGGTTTTCTTGGCGTTCGGCTGCACCGAGAACGCTCGCAACGTGGCCGTGGAGTCTGCCATTCGATTCGCCAGCCCCACCAGCGGAATGCCGAAGCGAGAGTGAGGAGACCCAGCGCCGCGAGGTGATGCTGCAGCGCTAGGGTTCTTTTTGGCGCTGTTTTGGACGAGCATGTCGTGGCGGATCTCGTCCAGCAGCTGCTGGCATTTCGGTGACACGATGCGCCGTGACGCCATCAAGGCGCCTGCGTTTGGATCCGTTGGTAGTGCGGCTTTCATGCTCAGCAAGCGCTTACGCAGCACTTCGTTGTCACCATTGCGTCGATGCTGTGCCAGTAGTGCGGCTGCCTTTAGCTCCACTTGTGACCCGTCGGCGTGGCCGCCCTGATTACCAGCGGCAGCGTTGTCGACCTCAGTAGTAGCAGGGTCAGAGTCGCCAGACGTGTACGAGTGTCGGTGGCGCGGTATCGCCAACTGATCCGCGGTCATGACGCGGAGTTCACCTGTCAGCTGTAGGTCGGCTTTCACTTGTTCCGCGCTGTTATTGGAGCCGTGTGCAAACGGAGGGAAGTCGCGCTGTTCAGCTCGAAGCAGCTTGTGTTGACTCCAGGCAGACAGAAATTCCACTGCAGGTAGAAGTGTTCGATGATCCTCGAGACTTTCGTCCACCCAGTCGATCTGCTGCAGTTGACGCTCGAATTCGAGCGCTTCACCTGAAAGCACGTGCATCTTCACCGAAACTGCGTCGTCCAAGTTCCGCAGAGCGCGCGCACACTGCTCCTTGATCGCAGCCGCGACTTGGGCCTTGTTTTCTTGCACGCTGCGCTGCACCCGCGTCAAAAACTGCAGTTTGTTCTCGATCACGGTCTTGCGCGATGTGATAAGAGGGTCTGGCCTCAAGGACTCGCGTAGGCAGCTCTCGTACGCGTCCGCTACAGTCAGCAGTCGGTGGGATCCCCTCTCTCCGATCGAGTGGTCTCCCAACATTTTGCAGCTGACACACACGGGAACTTGGCATACAGAGCAGTAGAACTCGACTTTCTTGCCGCGGTGAGTACGGCACGTTGGTGTCTGTGTATCGTCGGCTAGCAGACCTTCCTCCATCTGCTTGGCGACGATCTCATTTATCTGCGCTTCTGTTGGGTCTGGAGACAACGGTAGACTCGACAGGTTTTCCACTACGATATCCGCGATGGCAGCGGCAAGAGCAGGTGTCGAACTACGACGACGTCCACGTCTGGCACCACCACTAGCCAACGCCTTGGATTTACTACGCAATGGTATACGCTTGTGGCGCCGCACCAACTTGTTGGCCGAGTGGACCTCTTGATCACAGTGAGCGCAGATCTGAGCCTCGCAGTTGCGGCAGATAACAACAGCGGGGTGCTGTTCACACAGAGCACACGGTCCTACAGCAGGCCCGTGGGCATCCGCTGCCGAAAAGGTGAATTTCACGAGGTACTGCGGCAAAACTTGGAGAGTGTTGTTGAGGATGTACTCGTGATAATAACCCCGGTCCAGCAGCGCGGCTTGGACGTCCTGGTCCTTCTCGCTAGAGCCACCTTCGTCCTCGCGGTGCAGGTAGTAGCTGTGGTAGCCACGCGGAAGGCGTGCTTTAGCTTCTTCCTCGTCTCGAATGACAAGAGATCGCCCCACTGCAATCTTACAGAGCACTAGCTGCCGAGTACTCGACGGCTTCTTTGCTTCGGATGCAGCATCCAGAGGCGCGCTGAGCTGAAGGTTCCCTGTCGTGAACTTCATGCCTGTCTGGTTGGCATCCAGCGACGTAAAGCCATAGCTGTGCACGTCTCCCATGTCGGCGCCGAGATCGTTCACGGCGACCCAAGACTCGAGCTCCAGTAACCCCGCCGTGTGTTGCTCATACTGTGCCACTAGCGACGGGTTCCGCATATCCCAGATCACAACGCCCTCGTGAACTCGGTACCCCGGCAACGAGCACTGCAGTAGGTACTTGACGCGCGCGAACTCCTTTGACGACTGACTCATGGGCGTCACACTGGCCACGGCTCCTGCAGCAGGGATGGTGGCTCGTCGCCCACTTTCTTCTTCTTCATCATCGTCGTCCACGAGAACTTCAGGGCTAGAGCCAACGTCTGCCCCGTCGTTTGCTGGAGCTGTGGATGAAGCATCGTGCCAGCCTTCGCCGTCACCATCTTTGTGAGCGTCTGTTGTTGAGCGCTTGGGGGACGCCGGCCGCGCAGCCTCACCTGGTCCGTTGGGGGCATGCGACGACAGGAACAGCCGCAGCCGAGCCAGGGAAGCGCTAGCCTTCGCATCGTCGGCCTCGTTCACTACCATGGGCACTGGCCTGGAGAGCTTATTCCTCCGTCCAGAAGTGTCGATGCGACTGAGTCGTTTCGCAGTGTCCGTTCACGCCTTGAGCTACAATTGGATCGCATGAACGGGCTGATGCCGTAGCCCTGCACCAGTACATGCACTGGGGCTGCGAACTCATGCCAATTGATCCACACGAGCAGTATCGATATGCGTGGTAGTCATGTCGCCTAAGCGAACAACAATATGGCTACACAATCTTGCTTCAACATCGAGCTTCAACTTCGGTACCCGGTAATTCTCTCCACCGGAATGGGCCTGACAATGCAGGATCCTCCCAACTCAAGCTTCGAGCATTGCCAGGTCGGGTAGGACGAAAGAACTCGTCGTTCAGTTGCCCAGGCGAGCGAGGTATTGACAGCAGAAACTGCAGCCCATGCTCTTCCACCCAGCTGTAGCCGTCGGCAAAGACCGCGCACAAACGTTGCTGCGCCTTGTTGTCGATGCAACGCACACAACAATATATAGGCCTCGCCGCTACAGCAATACCCAGCACCAGCAGCAACAACAATACATGCACATGTAGCAGTCACAGCGCGACCAGAATCCGAGCCTGCAAATCAGCGCGCCAAAACGCGGGTAAACGGGTGCGCGTTCCCGCCAACCAAATTCAAAGCCTACCTGCGAAAACACATAATATATCGATTTCCGCAGGCCTTGAACCGAGGCTCCAAGCCACCAACCAATCCGTCCCTAGTCGAGTGTGACGTCCGTTCCGCCGCCTCCATTCGGGCATTTGTCGCCAGCAGTGGAAGTCGCGTGACTCGTCTCCCCCCGCACCCCCCTCGCTCTCTCCAGCAGCATCAGCACGATGAAGTACCTGGCAGTGACCGGCGGCACCGTGAGCGGCCTGGGCAAGGGCATCACCATCAGCAGCATCGGCGTCGTGCTCAAGTCGCTGGGGCTGCGCGTCACGTCCATCAAGATCGACCCGTACCTCAACTGCGACGCCGGCACCATGTCGCCCTTCGAGCACGGCGAGGTGTTCGTGCTCAACGACGGCGGCGAGGGCGACCTGGACCTGGGCAACTACGAGCGCTTCCTGGGCATCACGCTCACGCGCGACCACAACATCACCACGGGCAAGGTCTACACGCACGTGCTGGAGAAGGAGCGCCGCGGAGACTACCTGGGCAAGACGGTGCAGGTGGTGCCCCACGTCACGGACGCCATCCAGGACTGGATCGAGCGCGTGGCGCAGATCGGCGTGGACGGCAAGCACGCCGGGGAGGCCGGCGCCGTGGACGACGAGGAGGCCGACGTCTGCCTCATCGAGGTCGGCGGCACGGTCGGCGACATTGAGAGCATGGTCTTCCTCGAGGCTCTGCGCCAGTTCCAGTTCCGTGTCGGCCCCGAGAACTTCTGCCTCGTGCACGTGTCGCTGGTGCCCGTGCTCGGATCCGTCGGCGAGCAGAAGACCAAGCCCACGCAGCACGCCATCAAGGAGCTGCGCAGCGCCGGTCTGTCGCCCGACGTCATCATCTGCCGCAGCAGCACCGAGCTGGAGCCGTCCACCAAGTCCAAGATCGGCATGTTCTGCCAGGTGCCCGCCAACCACGTGCTCTCGGTCCACGACGTGAGCAACATCTACCACGTGCCGCTGCTGCTGGCCAAGCAGGGCGCCGCCAGCATCCTCATGTCGAAGCTGCAGCTCATGGACCGCTTCAGCGAGCCCGACCTCGACGCCTGGTCCGCCATGGCCCACCGCGTGGACTCGTTCGAGAAGGTGTGCAAGATCGCGCTAGTCGGCAAGTACACGGGTCTGCAGGACTCGTACCTGAGTGTCATCAAGGCGCTCAAGCACGCCACCATGAAGTGCGACCGCGACCTGGAGATCGAGTGGATCGAGGCCTCCGACCTGGAGGTGGAGATGCGTGAGAGCAACCCTAAGGCCTACGAGGAGGCCTGGCAGAAGCTGCGCAGCGTGGATGGTATCGTGGTGCCCGGCGGTTTCGGTGACCGTGGTGTGGACGGCAAGGTGCTCACGGCTCAGTACGCTCGCGAGAACAAGATCCCGTACCTTGGTGTCTGCCTGGGTATGCAGGTGGTGGTTATCGAGTACGCCCGCAACGTCATCGGCTGGAAGGACGCCAACAGCGAGGAGTTCGACGCCAACGCTGGACACAAGGTGGTCGTATTCATGCCCGAGATCAACCCGGAGGTCATGGGCGGCACCATGCGCTGCGGTGAGCGCCGCACGATTGTGCACGAGAAGGAGGACCCGGCGAAGCGCTCGCTGGTGTCGTACCTGTACGGCAAGGACACGCCCATCCTGGAGCGTCACCGTCACCGTTACGAGGTGAACCCGGAGCTCGTGCCTGTCATTCGCGAGGCCGGCCTCAACTTCGTCGGCACGGACATCAAGGGCGAGCGCATGCAGGTGGTCGAGCTGGACCGCGACGTGCACCCGTTCTACTTCGCCACGCAGTACCACCCGGAGTTCAAGTCGCACCCGAACGACCCGTCGCCGCCGTTCCACGGCCTGATCCTTGCGGCCACCGGCCAGCTCGAGCAGTTCATGAAGAACGTGGAGGCCAAGGAGAAGGAGCAGTAGGCGACTGGATGAAAATACTGCGACGCAGGACAAGCGGAGCCGACGGATGAAACGACGGACGACGACCCCGTTTCAACTCGCGTGGAGCAGCACATTTGCGTGTGAATAGGCTAAAATATTGACTTGGAACCCCCAACCTTGCCTTTGCCTCTGTTTTTCTTCCGTTGAAGGAAAACGGGGCGAAGCTCTCTCGGTGGGGTTCCGTAACCAGTCAGCCTAGCCTAGCACACCACCGCACACAGCCAGCTAGAACCCGGTAGACTCAATCAATCCAACATATTTATTCAGAGCAGGACACCGCTCCATCTTCATTGCTACAGCATCTTCAGTTTCGTATTGAACACGCCTTCCAACATGGCTACATCAGACTTGGCTACATCTGAACTTGCCCCTTTTCGGCGAATCAAATCGTTGATAGTGGCACTCTTCGTCAGCACAACAGCAGCATTATCATCGAGATGGCCGAGGAGCTGCAGGAGGCGCTGGACGGCTTCTTCCTGGCGGCCGAGTACGGCCGCTCGGACGTCATCAAGGCACTGGCGGACCACGGGCGCGGCCGCCTGGCGCTCAGCGACGTCGTGGACCCCGTGACCGGCCGCTCACCGCTGCACGTGGCGGTGGCGAGCGGCAAGAAGGACGCGCTGCGCGTTCTGCTGGCCGCGGGCTTCCCCCCAGCGCACCAGAGCAAGCCGCAGGACGGCGCACAAGGCGGAGATGGCGATGGCAACCGGTCGGCGTACGCGCTGGCGCAGCAGTTGAAGGCGCACGACCTGGTGCTGGTGTTCCACCAGTTCCTGATCCAGCAGGTCGCGGCCGACGACGTGCAGAGCGTCGAGCAGGTGCTGGCGGCCGGCGTGGACGTGGGCGTCACGGACGCAGCTACTGGGGGCTCACTGCTACACTGGGCGGCGTCCTGTCAAGCGACTGCAGTGATGAAGACGCTGCTGGAGAGGGAGGACGTGCAAGCGCTGAAGCTGGTGGACTCCCGCAACGAAGAAGGCGCTACGCCGCTGCACTTGGCGTGCGATGTGAACAGCGTGGAGTGCACGAAGATGCTGCTAGTGCATCATGCGGACGCGTCGCTGCGAGGTGACAAGGGGATCAGTAAGGACAAGACGGCGGCGGAGCTGGCTACAAAGGCCGAGGTGAAGGAACTGTTCTCGCAGAGACTGGAACAGATCGATGCAGCGGAGAAGACCAAGGAGATGGAGATTGAGAGTGGAAAGGAAGGGGAGACTGCTGAAGGAGACAGTGGAGGTGCATCGTGTGGAGAGGTTAATGGAAATGATGAACGACGAGGGTCGGGGGCATGTCCGCATGAAGCGCAGAACGGCAAACTGCTGTTGCAACTTGAAGAGAAGGATCTGCTTGTGAACCAGCTGAAGAAGACGATCGAAGCGCTCGTGCTGGAAACGCAGGAAATGCAGATGCTTGGAGAGGAACGCGTAATGCTAGACTACGTACGCAAGCTGCGTGACGAGAACGCTATTGTCCAGAGGCAGCTTGAAGACGCCAACGACTACATTAAGGATCAACAGCAGCAGCTTGATAGCTTGAAGGAGCAGATTCGACAGATGGCAAGTGCGAGCAAACAGGTACGCAGACCAGAGCTTGCAAGATGATGGTGGGCGTGTTCTTACAGCTACTTCTGTTGTGAAACAGATTGAGACTGACCACGACATTCTCTCTCATACCAGTGATGGCACTGCCAGCAGCGTCGCAGGTGGGCCCCCAGACAGCACCAACAGTAACATGAGCGCACTGGACTTACATCAGCTCGAGACCCAGCTTGAGGAAGAAGAGGAGGAAGAACCGCAGCAGCAACCTCGAGCACAGCCGCTGAAGCTGGATGCGTGGACGTCAAAGGCACAACGTGAGCAAGAAACATTCAATCGTTACGTCGAAAAGCATGGGCCTGACATTTGGAGCACTGTGTGGAATGGCATCTGGGCAGGCAATGAAGAGAAAGAGACGCAGGATGAAGACGGTGAAGTCATCATGACAGTGTAGAATTAAATGGTCAGTGAATTGGATGAATTTTCAACGATGGGAAGCAGGAACTGAGCTAACGGATTGTCGAAGCAGCAGTCGTAGTCGTGTCTTGCTGCTGTTGCTTGTACACACTTGCGAGGAGCTTTTCACGCTTCTTGGGCTGGTTGTACAAAGCGCAGTTGTTGGCACACGGTTGAGACGACGAGCTAGATTTTGAACCAGCTTTTGCACATGAGCACAGGGCGGGAGTTCCTAGTTGTGCTTGCAGAGCTCGAATGAAGCGCTCATGTTCTGTCGCCGCTACCTCTTTTGAGGAACCTTTAGGGGTTTTCTTCCTCCACGGAGTTGACGAGGTGGTGGTTTGGCGGTGCACTCGAGCGTCACATCCCGATGTCATGTCGATCCTGAGCGCCACAACGAAGTGTTAGATTACCCAAAAGACGAGATACGACAGGTTTTTTTCTTCTTCACGCACACTTTGACACCAGTTGCGGTAGCCCAGCCTTCGACAGAGCTGTGGCTACCGGAGTTATCAGCTCGACGAGCTCTACTACCACGCACCGCTGCTGCGATTGAGGTGTTCGACAAGGGGGACTTAGCTTTACTTGTACCAGAGTTGAAAAGCTTAGCCGCTCGCCAAACATTTTTCTGGATTCTGGCTCGATTCATCTCCATGTATTGTCGTCTCACTGTAGCGTATAGGGCCACACGCTGACGCAGATTGAAATCCATTAGCGTGCTGAGCTAGTAAATTATCACCCATGAACGCCCCACTTACCTGCTCTGGAAGCAAGACTGGCGACTCAGGTGGCAAAACCACGTCAGCAGGGTCTTCAAACTCGGATTTGACGTCGATATAGCTTGCTGAGCGTGAGATTTCAGTCGATCGAAGAAGGTCATCCCGCATTTGAGCGTCCTGGCGGATAATCTAACATGACGCACAGAACGTGAGTTTTGTCTAAGCTGAAGGGAAGTAATGCACTCTTACTCAACACCTTATCAATTTGTTGCCCTAGAGGGCAATTCTAGGCAGCAACAAATGAAAATCGTCAGTTTTGGTCACGATACTTAGCCACGGCACCAGGATATAGTACCTTTAGCACGTCGTTTTTACTCTCTCTCAGCTTTTGGAAGTGCAGGCGAGTCGAAATCCGAGCTACTGGGGTACTTTCAGTCTGCAGCGTCGACTCCGTGGTTGAAAAAACTTTAGCACATTTCGCATCCTATCGTGCAGGGAACATAATTTAGTTTCAAGATCTCACACGGGTTCTCGTGCTTCACGCACCAAATATTCCTGTGCGCGTTGGGCTTCAAGGCGATTTCGTCGCTCTTGCTCCATCACGCGCATGCAAATCTTGTCATGGAAGCGCTTTAACTCGTTCGACTGGGTACGTAAGCGAACTTCGGCCTCTTGGCGCTTCGATTCCGTTTCAGCCTGTGCAGATGCGGTGAGATTGACTTCGAGACGAAGCACTGGGAGACCCAAAGCACAGGTGAGCACTGGTTACCTCCACATCCACAATACCGAGATCGAGCCAGTCGGAATCCTCGTCTCCATCTAGAAGTGAATACGCTTCAGAGCCACCCCTGTACAAACTAGTAAAGACGTTAATGAAATTCTTACAAAAATATCGTTCAGATGGTATGTCACGCACTCGTAGGCAAATCGCGAAGAGGGACTTGAACCGTGTTCACTACCGACGGCAACGTAGGCTTACAAGTTTTAAGCGTAGGTAGTGAGTGTCCTAAGCAGGATTACGGTGGTAATTGGAACGCAAATCGAAGCTTACATTGAATGTCGTCGCCAAGTTCGTTCATCTGGACGACTGATCTATCCTCATGAAAAGACGCACTCCAAAAACCAAGTCAATTCCGTGAAAGGACGCAGAGCGAAATTGGATACAAGTGAGCACCATGCCATTGACTCAGTACTATCATGTGCGCGATCCGATGGAGAATTTGCTCATCAGTGTGACGCTGCGCAAGGTCGGTAAGCACTACTTGTTGCAACACGAAGTGAGGGTGACAATATGCGTCACTCATGCCGAATTTGAGTAGATTTCCGGGTTTGGAGGCGATGCAAGTGGAGATTCTGTGTCTGTGGGAAGAACATGGAGATATTGCTTCCGGTGGCAAGAAAAGAAGCTGAGCATGAGGTGCGTCAGAGAACGTGAATGTACTTTGAATTTGTTGCAAAACCTCACACGCTTATTATGTTTTCTCATGATTTCCAGCGAAAAAAAGCGCGAGCAAGAGCGTCTGGAAGCGCGAGGCATTCAACTATCGAATCGAAAGGTTTGTATAACTTCCAGCGTATACAAGAGATGCAAAAACATCTAACGTATCGTTTTTGTTCTTCAGCGTGGGGATGGAAAATCGCCCGACGTCGACAACGCCGACATTTTGTCATCGTATGTTGATGTTGATGACTTTATTCCAAAAGAGGTAGAGATCGTTTGTTCATTGCTACCATTTCGTTCCTACACAAGAGCTAACTGCAATTCTAGCACGTCAAGGACCTTCCGAGCACTTCAAAAGACTCCACGCACCTGATCCCACCAGACCTCGCCCGACGGCCGCGTGATAAACGAAATGAATCCGTATGGACGCCAAACCAGCATCGAGCGTGGCTGCGAGCCAACCGCGAGGATAAATTTCGAGCGATGCACATCGTTGCTCTCATCGAAGGCAAGGAACGCGTTCTCTGCTCGTTGCGATTTTACAAGGAAAGCGGGTTATTCTGTGCCACACCAGGGTTTTCAGCGCCGATAATTGAGCCTGAAAACGACCCAGACCTGCTCATCAAGGGGCCTAAACTCACCACGTACCATGTATCTACTCCGTCGGGCTCACTTTACGAGTATGTTCTTGACAACGCACACGACCTGCTGCCTTTTGCGTCTACTGAAGACCAATGGCTTTCTCGAGAAATTCGATTGCAAGAAGAAAAACGCGACACAGCGGAGGTGACGCGGTGGCAGCAACTTGACAAGCCCAGATTCACTACCAGCAATACCATGCAGCGAAAACTGATGCTATCGCTCGAAGTGGTAGCTGCGGATAATCCTCAGACGGCGGACCCGGTAACGGTGGAGTATGAGCTCGAGTTGCCTGACCGCGCAGGGTGCTCAAAGTGGAAACTGCTGTCAGGAAATCAGAGTCAAACGCGAGGGAAGACGTCATTGTCGCTACCCCAGCGATCACAATATCCCGACTGCGTTTCTTCCGCAGCGTTTGGAAGTCACCAGCACTTCAGCCTAAAACTAGTCAAAGCGGAACATTCGCTTGAGGCCGGCAACGATCACGACTTTGGTGGTATTGTAGCCGCCCCAGTCCTTCACCTAAGCGTATTTTCGAGGGATTCGTGGAGGAGGAAGCGCACGGAAGGCCATGGAGAGATTAAGCTGCCAGCGTCATCCGGCCTTCACGATTTTGATGTGCCTATCCGAAAGCCAATCGTCTCAATTCAAGAGCGGATGGAGGAGCTCTTTCTGGGAATCGATGAAAGTGATATTGACCAAGGCTGGCCCGGGGAGCGAACTCGCGACCGAGAAGTCGGCGCTGATGATTCACCAATCTCCACGATGATCACCAGCCGACTGGGGCAGAAATCTGAAGCCACTGGCACGACGGTGAGGATTCGCTGCAACATTGTTGACATACGACCAGCAACTCGTGCCGGAGGGAACAACTCCGCAAGTTTAACGCCAGCGGTCATCGCTACGCCTTTGGCCAACACTCGTGTTGTAAAGCGAAGCGTGCAGGAAATTCTGCAATCCGTAAAACTCGAGAAGCGCATAGCCAGCATAACAGACCCTCGTATTCAAGTAGCACTGCGCTCATTGCAATCGAGTGGAGTGGCAGCAACAACAGAATCACTAATATAATAGGTCAAAGCGCGTTGGTATAGTAGCGCTAAAGTAGCACGTGTATTACGAGATTTGGATCAAGAAACCCAACGTGCTCAATCATCGTCGCTGTCTAGATCATCGAGTGGGTTGCCACTGCGCTTCTTCATGACGCGGAAGAATTCCTCCTCGTTGATGAGTCCGTCTCCGTCGCGGTCGGCCTCGTCGATCATTTCTTGCATTTCTTCGTCCGTCAGCGTTTCCCCCAGCTCGGTACACACACGCTTCAAGTTGCGGAAGGAGATCTTGCCCGTGTTGTCGTCGTCGAAGAGCTGGAAGATCTTCATGATCTCCTCGCGCGAGTCACGCGAATTCTACAGAGAATCAAAAACCACCATGAGAAATGAATCAACCCATTTGCATCAACACACAGGCAGACAACGTACCATTTTGCCCGTCATCATCTCGATGAACTCGTCCAGGTTAATGGCGCCGGACTCGTCCTTGTCGATGTCGGCGATCATCTGCCGGATCTCCGCCTTCTTGACCTGGAAGCCCAGCGCCCGCATGGCAGCCTTCAGCTCTCGCACGTCAATGGTGCCGCTGCCGTCCGTGTCAAAGAGGTGGAACGCCTCCTTGATCTCCTCCAGATCCTCCTCGTCCAGCGCCTTCTTGACCGGCTTGGGCTTGCGTCGCAGCGCGGCGCGGGACCGCGCGAAGGCCGAAGCGGACATGGCACTCGACTACAACAAACGATTAGTCCATGTATCAACACGCAGCATCTTCCAGCTCCCCACAAACTCCCTACAACGCACCATATCTCTCCTGCAGTGTTGCTCTCGAGCTCGAAGCTGAATGGCAACGTGTCCGTTGCCCTGCTCCGCGACCTTTCGTATCGTCCACTTCAAGATGTACCAAAACAACGGTACACATCTTAGCTCTAATTCTGATGGTGCTTATTTCGGGGTTCGACTCGTCTCATCCTGTTGTGGCTGGAGTCTCTCACTCTTCAATTGACCAGCAACAGCGCGCACTTCCCCACCCGCTAACTTTCCGCCCCCACTCTATTATAGAACGATGCTGGCGGCCGCGGCGAAGCGCATGCAGCAGAGCACGCTGCACACGCTCAAGGCCTACGACAAGAGCGAGCACCGGCTGCTGGTCGTGGGCGGCAACGGCTTCGTGGGCAGCAACATCCTGCAGCGCGCCGTGCAGAAGGGCATCGAGGTGCGCAGCCTCAACCCGTCGGGCAAGCCGCAGTGGCAGGACGTGCCCTGGATCGACCAGGTGGACTGGCACGAGGGCGACGTCTTCGACGACAAGCAGCTGGCCAAGGCCGTCGAGGGCGTCACGGGCGTCAGTGCGTGCTGTCGACCTTCCTGCCTGTAGGCCTGCGTCGATGTATTGACTAACTCTGCTGTTATTATTTGGTATTCCCGCTGCTGCAGTCTCGACGGTGGGCGCGTTCGGCAGCAACGAGTTCATGGAGAAGCTGTGCGGCGACGCGACGATTGTGGCGGCGCGCGCGGCGCAGAAGGCGGGCGTGGAGCGCTTCGTGTTCGTGTCCAACTCCCGCGTGGGCTCGTACTACCCGTCGTGGCTGCCCATGTACGGCTACTACCATGGGAAGGAGAGGGCGGAAGCCGCTGTGCAGGCCAGGTGAGTGCCGGGGGAGGTTGGAGACGTTGGTGTCGTGTCTTGATGCTGAACAGTGGAGTCGCTGTGAGCAGGTTCCCCGAGACGGGTGTGGCGCTGCGCCCGGGCTTCATTTATGGCTGGCGCCGCACGAAGAAGGGTCAAGGCATCCCGCTGCAGCTTGTCGGCGCGCCGATCTCGATGCTGGCGCGCGACCTTGGCGCGGCCTCCACTGCGCTAGGCTATGTGCCGTTCTTTGGTGAAGAGATGAAAGCTGCTATTCCTGTCGGCGCAGTCGCCAAGGCTGCAGTGCTCAGCGCAATTGGACCGGTTCATGGACAGACGCTGGACACGACGAGCATGCTCGAGATCGCCGCCTCGTTCCACGTCCATGAATGAACAAGAGCAGCAGTGGCCAGCTGAAAAAATGACCGGCGAAGATGAAAACTAACAACTTTTGTTGGGGGGCAAACACTTTGACTATTTTTTCATTTCAAGGTTGAGGTTAGATTGAGTTCATTTATCCTAACTAAGATAACGACCGACGCATCCACCGTCAACACCGAGCTCATATCTCCCGATGCCCCGCCGAATTGTTGAAACGGTCTACTCGACTTCCGTCGATTTGGTACCGCGGACAGCGAACGCGGTCCCGCTGCTCCTTCAGCAGCGCCTGCCCTCCGAAGCTTGAGTTCTCCACTGCATTTTCCTGGGCCGACTTGCGTTCCTTCTTCCCAATGTGCTGCAGGCCACCAGCGAGCGCCCCAGCAGCGCTTTATGCGGCGACGTGTCGTCACCTTCCCCGAGTCAGCCGTATCTGGGTCTCTGCCACTGCGATTTTCTTCGCCCCGCCGCGCCATGAGTGCACCATGAGAGGACCACCCCGTCGCAGCCAGCTCCATGTAGCGCAGGCCACGTTGACTGACAGCATGCTCCCGCGCGTCACTACGAGTGCTGTGGAGGGTGTGCGCACGTTGGAGTGCCGCACACCCGACGATCTGGTGACCTGCCAGTATCGCACGCAACCTTTGTAGGCTATGACTACCAGGAGGGCCCACGGCGTCACCCGTGGCCTGGTTTGTAATGGGACACGGCGCGGTGGGCTACATGTAGACCACCGTGGACCCCCCACAGGCCCCGCCTTCCGGCTGACGGTCAAAAGACCGCCGCAATACGCCGCCGCACGCAGCGACGCAGAAATCCAGCTTGGTCCGCGGCTTCACCCCCGAGCTGCCCAGCCGTGGCGTGCAAGCATGCCGGCCAGGTGCATGCCTTTCGCTGGAGCTCCGGTCGACTGGCTCCACAAGGGAGTCGCCGTCGTCCAGTCGTGGCGCTCTCGATGCTCACCGGCGCGCTCTGATTGGCCGGACCGCTGGGTCAGCTGGCTCTATCGCCGCACTGCCCGCTGATTGGTCCTCCCGGCGACTTGAGCTCCACGGCGCAGATTGACGAGTGAAACACTTTGACTAACGTAAAAAAAATAATTATGGTTGAAAGTGGAATCACCTTGATTGGTGGTATCTATTAGCTTTTATCTATCTTCTCGCCATCGCTTGCGCCGTGTATTTCATGCCAACGACGCCGATCTTCCTCTTGCGTTCTTCAGCGTCGAGACGTCGCTGCTCGAGCTCCTCCGTTCGGTCTTTCCAGTATTGCTGCGAAGCCAAGCCAACACGTTAGTCATTCACAAGTAGATAGCCGCGATAGCACTACGTCGCACCTCCTTTTGCTTCTCTTTCTGCTTTTCAAGCTTCTCATTCAAGCTCTTGGCGTCAGCCTCACTCTGCTCTGCTTGGCCAGGAAGACAAAGCTCTTCCAGTGTTTGCACCCAGAGATCCCGGACGCTAGTCGCTCCAGCCGTCAACTCGAGCAGCTTCTGGCCATTTTGTCCGAGAAGTATCAAGTCAAGGCGACCTGCGGACGTTGAACAAGTGAGTCCCCAAGGCATCATCGAAGCGCTGCTTAGCTGTGCATGTGTCGTACCCATCGGGCACACTTTGCCAATCCGGTGAATCGGTAGCTCTTCAGAGGCGCTTGGCCCCGGTGTCTGTCGCCACATGAGTCTGTCACCATGCAATACGAAATCCGACTTAGTTTTCGCCCCTGTCATGCCCAAATTCTACGATAGCAGGGAACCACACTTTGTAGCTGCAGGGTTTAGCTGCAAGTAGACGCTCTCAGTGCGGCTCAGCACTCCCAGGAACGCGCTCTTTTTCTTGAAGTCGTTGCCTTCCTTGAGCAGCTCCTGGCGGGCCAGCATCTCCGAGTTGCCACCCCCGCAGCACACATTGCCCATGGTCGCGACTACGTCCTTTCCGGTGTTGATTCGGAACCAAAAACTCAAAATACCAGTGAACTAGAATACTCTACGCTTTGACTATGAAATACATTGATCAGCCTTGGCAAGGGAATGGAGTGAACGACCAACGTGTATATTTCTCATAGCTTCTTGAGGCTTCTTAGAGAAACTGAGCGAGTACTTGAACGACACGAAGCAGCTTCCATCGCTACCTGGCTTGGAGTTTGCTAGCGTGGCTGTGGAACATATATAAGGAGGCTGCTCCACTTAGCGGCGAAGCGCCCTGGCCCGGGACGTCTTGGCAGCACAACCACCGCCCGAAGTCGGGGTAGAAGGTGTCGATCCCCAGGGAGAACCCTTCGATGCACCAGCAGCCGATGCTCCAGTGGCCGATGCACCGGTGGTCGAGGCCCCAGTTGCAGAGGCGCCAGTGGCCGATGCTCCAGTTTCAGAGGCTCCAGTCTCAGAAGCTCCGGTTGTCGAGTCTCCAGTGTCAGAGCTTTCCGTGGTGGCACCGCCCTTCGTGGCATCGGCAGCGCCAGTCGACGAGTCACCCGTGTCCGAGCTTTCCGTAGTGGCACCGCCCTTGGTGGCGTCCGCAGCGCCAGTGGATGAATCGCCGGTGTCAGAGCTCTCGGTGGTGACACCGCCCTTGGTGGCATCGGACGCGCCCTTGGTCGCGTCATCGGCGCCAGAAGAGGTGCCAGCAGCGGACGAAGTCGAGCTAGCTCCACCCTTCGCAGCGCACGTGGTGGCCTTGCCCGGCGTGGTCGTGAAGGCCGTCACCGTGAAGTCGGGCTTGCCGCCCTTCTTCCACGTGCAGCACGGGTCGCCAAAGGCGGCACCGTTGGTCATGCTCGAGCCGGGGAACTTCGCCTCACACAGACTCTTGGACCAGGTGTGACCGGCGGCAGCAAACGCTTGGGCGAAGTCCGTCGTCTTGGAGCTGTCGCTGCCAGGGTGTCCAAGCGGCTGCTGGAACGAGCTGCCGTTCGGAAGCTCGTTGAGGTACTTGGCAAGGCCGTGGGCCGAGTCCATCGTGGACGCGATCGTCAGGGCAGCGGCGGCGACGGCAAGTTGGATCTGCATCTTGGCTGTGTGGGGAGGTCGGTCTTTCTGGCGATGCGGATGTCGAGGCAAATTGTAAAGTGAGAAGTGGAGTGAGGACGCTCGGTCGAATGGAGTGCTGGGGCAAATATTTTACGGATAAAAGTGATTCACAGGCAAAGTTTCTAATGGCGAGGAAAATGTACAAGCGTTCTGGAGGTGCAGGCGTCCGCTTCGGCGGATGGTGAAGCGTATCCATGTATGCTTGACGCAGACAGCAAAACGGTGAGTCGGGCGCTTCTGCACATCACGGTGGCGATCTTGAACATTTCATCCGTCGGCGTGTTCACGACAATACGCCGCACGTATGGGGTGCAACTTGCACTGCAAGCCCCCTGCAATGGCTGGAAACTCGACAAATATAGTGTTGTTCGGGTCTATACTGTACTGTAGCAGGCTGTTAACATCAGCGCGAGGTTGTAGTGTTGCAGTGTGTTTGGTACAGGTACCCGATCTCGAAGTAACCTACTTAGTACACGATAACACAACCTGACAATGAATGAAAGCTCTTTCACGTTATTTTCTGGCGTTTACTGCGAGCATTGTTGGACGGCAACGTCAAAGTTACGGTACTCAAGCGTAGCGGTTAGTCTCTACGCGCAGCCTTGCCATTGCAGCGCATTGAAGGAGAGGTGTCGACCCCCAAGTGTTGCCCGAAGCTGGCTACGGAGTCGAACCCTTCGTGGCATCGGGGGCGCCGTTAGACGACCCCTTAGTGGCCTCCTCAGCAGCACCGTTGTCGCCCTTCGTAGCGTCAGAGGCTCCGCCATTGGAGGACCCCTTGGTGGACTCAGAAACACCACCGGTCTCGCCCTTCGTAGCATCCAAAGCCCCATTCGAAGAGCCTTGGTGGCGTCTGACGCACCACCGGACGCGCATGTGGTGGCCTTGGTTGGACTGGTCGTAAATGGGGTAACCGTGAAGTCCGGTTTGCCGCCCTTCTTCCACGTGCAGCACGGGTCACCGAAGGCCTCGCCGTTGGCCCGCGAACTTCTGCTGACACAAACTCTTGGTCCACGACTGCCCAGCGCTATCGAAGTCCTCGGCAAAGTCTGTCAGCTGGGAGCTGTCGTCACCAGGGTGACCGAGATCCTGCTTGAACAAGCTGCCGTTGGGAAGTTCCTGCAGGAACTGGGGCATAGCCATAGCCGACTCCAGCGCGATGGCGATAGTTAGAGCAGCGGCACCGACAACAGTCTCGAGTTTCATGTCGAATAATCTGGAGTAAAAGACGAAGGCGATCGTGGCTCTACGAGGAAAACTGTAGAATGAAATCGTGGATAAACAAACTACATGCATAAAGCCCGGCGGAGTTCGACTCGGCACTCGCGGAGAAAAATGAATGGGGGAACGGCCACACTTCTTTCGTGGTGTACCGCTATCCAAATCTGCGGATGGGGAGTTAAAAGGTTGCGCGGCGCACGATCTCACCATTTCATGCCATCGACCGCACCGAATACGTCCGTGAATAGCATCCAGGGTTCGACCTACACATGCTGCTTTGAAGGAGAGCCAACATCGGTAGAGCAAAGTTGCGTCGAGTTCCGGGTGACGGGAGTTCGTCAGTTGAAGGCAATATTATAGCAAGGAGGGACAAGATGAGTCCCCAAACGGTTGAACAAGGCAAGTTGACGAATGACTGTATCGACAGGTTTCTATTAATCCTTGAACAAACCACGACAGGTATGGGTAAGCAGCATGCAGCTACCAAGAGAATCGCCATGAGTGGTGATGATGAAATCTTCTTTAGGATTTTAATGGCTACCATAGTAGACCAAATACAATCTCTTCTACTACTACTACCTACACATGCTGCCGTTGCAACCAACCAGATAACATCCACCCCCAGTACATCGTCCTCGATCCAGTCGTCCTAGTGATGATGGTAAGCGCTCATTACCAACTTCAAAGTTGCCGTTGTTGAAGTTGCCTTTGCACTTAGAATTAACCCCCTTCAAACCGATTACGTATTTTAATTGGTCGAAACTCGACATACCAATTTCAAGTGTAGATTATCGGAGGGGCATATCAAAAGTACAAGCAACACGAGAGAAGAAGAATGAGGAGCTCCGAGAGCAGCCGCACCGACCTGCTCTTCCTGAATTTCAACCAGGAGGCGTCGTACGTTTGCGTGTCTCCCGCTTCGTGGCTGTGCTCTGCTATGGACAGTTTAATATGCACCAGATAAGGACGGTACTAACGCTGGGGTGGCTGTATCATCCATTGTTCTCAGATGCATCAGCGTCGGCACGCGCCAAGGTTTCGCCATCTACAACTGCGAGCCGTTCGGCAAGTGCTTCCAGGAAGACATTGGCGGTATTGGCATTGCCGAGATGCTGTACTGCACCAGTCTGGTGGCTCTGGTGGGCGCTGGGGACCAGGTGGGGTGGAATGCTTCGTTTCTTGCGTTGTGTCACTTGGTCAGCGATTGACTCAGGATGCATTGCTGCACTATGTAGCCGGCATTTTCGCCGAGGAGACTGCGTGTGTGGAACACCAAGACGGGGGCTGCAATTTGTGATTTGAATTTCGTCACAGCCGTGCTGGCGGTGCGCATGAACCGACAGAGGTATCGGTTGCCACTGAGGCTGTGTGAAGGCGTATAGGAGTATGACACTGACGGGGGTGCTTGATGTCGTATTTATTTGCAATGATGACTTGCAGACTTGTGGCGGTTCTGGAGCGCAAGATTTACATTTTCGATATCAGCACCATGAAGATCCTGGAGACGCTGGACACGTCGCCCAACCCGAAGGCTTTGTGCGTGCTGTCGCCGCATGACAATGGCCACCTAGCATTCCCTTCCGGCGCATCACCGGGCGAGATCGTTTTGTATGACGCCAACAATCTTAGCGTGTTGAACGCGTTTCAGGCACATCGCACGGCCCCCGTGGCGATGGCGTTTAACCCTCAAGGCACACTGCTCGCAACAGCATCCGAATCGGTAAGCAAAGTTCGATAGAAGTGCTGGTGCCTGAAGTTCTGTGCTAACCGTGGTTTGAACTTTATAGGGCACACTGATTCGGGTATTTGCTGTTCCTAGTGGGAAAAAGGTTGCTGCCTTTCGACGTGGGTCCTACGGCGCTCAAGTCTACTGCCTTGCTTTCAACGAAAGCTCGACGATCCTGTGCGCATCTAGCGACACGGGCACCATCCACTTTTTCTCACTGACTGGGGCTGAGAGCTCAGCTACTGGCAGCTTCGGCCACTTCACCCCGATCACTTCAACTCTGGCAGTTGCCGGGAGCACATTCGGCTCCACAGTATTCGGAAGCGCTGCTGCTCCACCGAGCCCGATAACTTCATCAGTGGTAGACCCATCACCCGGCAAGCCTTCCGCCCACCACGTGTCGTCGTCTGCTACAGCACGTGGAACGCGCACCAGCTCAGGTTTAGCTACGAGCAATTTTGATGACGTCGCTGGCGTTATGAGTGCCTACCTCCCCAGCTCCTTTTCCGGCATCGCTGAAGGCACTCGGGACTTTGCTTACGTACGTACCTACACATTTGTACACTCAAATGCCATGCCCTTGTCTAATTATTGTGGTTGCTTATCAAATTACTTAGGCTCGACTTCGCTCAACCGGGGTACCGAACCAATGCGCTATCCATGGCCCGAGAGACCCCAAGAACCCAATTGTGCAGCTGTATGTGGCTACAGCCGACGGCTACTTTTATGAGTACTCGCTGAACCTTGCTGTGGGTGGCAAGTGCAAGCTCGAGCGGGTAAGATGCTTCTCTTATCTAAGTATCGACTACGAGTTGAGCTGACATTGCTATGCGTGTACAGGAGAACGTTCTTCGTGACAGCACCTCCGAAGAAATTGAGGCCATCTACATCTCGTAGCATCTGCTAGCGCGATTTTTCATTGCTGAAAGCCTTTCACACTTCATACAGCGGGAATCCCGAGACGGCAGCTAGGAAAGGGGTATCAAACCTGTTGATAAAATAAAGTAAACGATACTCCCAATGCCAGATTAGAGCCAAACATCAGCTCCATTGAGTAGTTGTTAATCCATACGCCGCGACGGCGCTGTTTACGACGCTTGGCTCCTAAACTTTCGTGGTGTTACCCACGGATCACTTCACCGCCGCCGCCTACGAATCAGAACTATTTGGTTCGGTCTGAACCTGCGTGAGTTTAGATCAGCCGCTCAAACTCGATGCCTTGGACGCTGTACCCACGCAAAGACCGATGCACCACCGCGGCAAACTGCTTGGGGTCGTTGCGGAACAGCTCTGCAGCTTCTGCTCCACGCGAACAAGCAAATATAACGGCACAGTCGTCAGCTACAACACTGCGGTGAAATCCCATTTCGCCAACAAACCTTTATTCAGCGGGTCGTCCGGGTTGGGCTCGTAGAACAGGTAGATCAGACCGTATATGACCGAGTTGATGTCCAGCACGGGTTTCCAATCCTCGCGCAGGATGTTCAGACACACGTTGCCGTCCAGGTCAATGTTGGGGTGGTAAATCTACAGTACATACAGTAGCACAAACATAGCATCGTTAGCATCAACCAATTTGCATGTATCTTTTGACGGGTGATCCGGAGCACGTACTTTCGTCTGGCAGCGAACCTTGGGCGGGTCATGCGGATACATCTGCAATACAAAACAACCACCAACCACATCAGCTTTCCTCACCCACACTCTCCCAATCGTATAATTCTAAGATATCACCGTACAGGCGGGATCTTAAAGCTGAAGTCGTATGCCGCGCCCTTCCACAGACCCGTGTCCACAGTGACCTACAGCCCACACAAACCGCACATCAGTCTCCATCCTTCTCCTCCTCCTCATAGAGCTCAGAGCAGTGCCCACTGACTTTGACGTTGAACACCGTGAGGTCGTTCGGCTCCGGGAAGTCGATGGACGCCGCCTTGCCGCCGTCCAGCTCCGCGATATCTTTATTCCAATACAGCAACATGGGTCAGCCCCCATCTCCTCTATTTTGTATTGATCTTTGTATGCACCCACCTTTCTGGATGCGGATCTCGCCGGGCGTGCGCTTCTTCTTGCTGGCGCCGGCGCGCTTGCCACGGCCCACGCCCAGGATCTTCGTCTTGGGCTTGGGAGCCTCGCCCGTCTCGGCCGCAGCGGCCGCCGCCTCCTTCTCCTCGGCCTTCTTCTCCGCCTGCTTGGCTTTAAGGCGGATCATCCTGGCTCGCAACTACAGTACTCCTCCGTGAACAGCCTACACCCGCCGCCTTCTCTTTGTCGTTTTGCCAAGTGAGTCGCATGCCTTGGAACGTTCCCGCCTTGCGGTGCGCGCAGCGGTACGTTGCGCAACGTAGTCTATAGAGAGGAGGTCGCGCAACTTTCTTTCACATTGTAAGCCACATAAGAACGTTTCATTCATTTCGTTACGGCGACCATGCGAAAGCTACTTTCCTCTTTCTGCATGCTCCAAGAGGGAGCTGCTTACTTCAATCTGAGTCAACCAACCATGATGCTGTGCGTCAACGCGGAGGACAGCTTACAGCTTGGCGGACAGGATCTGCTTGATCTGCGGCGAGGTCTCGTCGTCATCTGGGTCAGTGGCGTTGGTGAAGTCCGTGATCTGGGCGAACTTGGCCTGCACGGCCTCGGGCGTGATCTCCTTCTCCAGGTCCAGGAACACGCCGGGGCTGCGCACGTACTTGACCTGCGCGACGAAGCCGCCGCCACTCTCGAAGATCTTGCCCGAGCAGGGCACGGACTCGTGGCACAGGAAGGCGATCGTGGGCGCCACGTACTCGGGCTTCCACGCCGCCACGAGGTCCGCGGGCATGATCGTCTCCGTCATCTTGGAGCCGGCGCCGGGGGCCACGATGTTCACCTTGATGTTCGAGCGAGCGCCCTCCTTGGCCAGCGACTTGCCGAAGCCGGTCATAGCGGCCTTCACGGAGCTGTAATTGGTCTGGCCGAACTGGCCGTACAGACCGTTCACCGACGTGATGAGGATCACGCGGCCGTACTTCTGCTTGCGCATGTGGGGCCACGCGGCGTGGGTCACCGCGAACGCTGAGCACGATTACACAATAGAGAGGAGAGACATAGTAAGCAAAAGAACCACACTACCAATGCAAACAACCCCACAGACACAGCTTGCGACGTACTTCCTTGGAGGTGCACGTCGAGCACCTGGTTCCACTGGGCCTTGGTCATCTTGGCGAAGGTCACGTCGCGCAGGATGCCGGCGTTGTTGACCAGGATGTCCACGCGGCCGAAGTTCTCGATGGCAGTGGCCACCACTTTCTCGCCGTCCGTCACCGAGTTGTAGTTGGCGACCGCGACGCCACCTACGAGTCAGCACACCAACAACAAGCAGTTGAGCGTCAGCGCCAGGTTCATAGCCACACACCCGAGAAAGCAGCCTACGCCCACGCACCCTTGGCCTTGATCTCGTTGACCACCGAGTCCGCCGCCTCCTTGCTGAAGTCGTTCACCACACTGCAGCAGCAACGAGCGTTAGATACCGAAGCGACCTGTGGGCAACGAAAGACGAGTCACAGCCGAACGCACACTTTGGCGCCGCGCTCGGCGAACAGCAGCGCGTAGCAGCGGCCGATTCCAGCGCCGGAGCCGGTGACGATAGCGACCTTGCCGTCGAAGCGAAGCATGGTGGAGCGAGCGGAGGTTGAAGTGAAGAGGAGAGCGCGTGTGCAGTCGGTGCAAATTGCGATGTGAACGCTTCGACGTCCGACACGATGGTGAGGCCCAGTAAATGGTGGCTCGGTTTTGAGATCCGATTATGCGGGATATAAGTTACAAAGGGCTCTATTTAATACCAAGCACTTATTATGTACTGCTGGATTCAAAAGGATATCCACTTTCAGAACTCTATAGTGAAGATCATAGATTAGGTGTTGAACTTCCCGTTTTACGTCATCGGTTTACGCATGCGATTTTAGGTAGTTCTGGGCGGAATTACAAGGGACAACGAACCCTCATTTAAGGGTATATGTTGTGGACTGTATTAAGTTATGGCCTAAAGTTGAGGACCAACTGCATAATTAGAGAACTGTAGTTTCTGGAGCTATTTCAACTTTCGGAGCTAAAATGGCGTTGCTCCAAAAATAGACCTTGGAGTCACAGGGGTACCCGATAGCTCCACTGGAGTTAACCCCTTGGACGCGGAGCCTGTGCGATTTACTTTATGCTGTTCTGAACAGCATAAAAAAGACTTGATTTCACTATGCCTCTAAATCCGCAAAATCCGACCGTCGCACCTTCCCAAAAATACCTAGGATTTCATTGGTCCACGTGTAGTGGTCGCCAAATATGATTGGTTAGGAAAAACACATGCATTGAAGTACCGCCAACAAGGACAGGCAGGCTTTTTTGAAAAAAACTCAAATGTTGGTTCCCCTTTGCCTCCTCCCGGCGAAGCCAGTCATTCTTGGATTTCGCCTAGCTGAAGACAAGTCATGGCGTATGCCATGGATTTCAACGCTGTGTGGCCGCTACTGAGGAAGGAGAAGTGGACATGGAAGGCAGCGACCGGTATTCAGATACAGTACGGCTTTCTTGTTACGCGTAGGAATATGCGTGGCTCCGTAAGCTGTTCTTACCTGACTTCTTTGAATGAAACTAGCCACAACTACGTGAAATCCGGTCGCAAAGTGAAAGGAGGAAGGCAAGGGATCGACTACTTCAATGGGGAGGACGATACGTCCGGTCGGACAAAGAGCTCTGCGCAAGGCTCAACATACCCGACGTTTTCGTGCGGCCGGAAGGACAAGCGGGTACATATGCAGAAGTATTGGGCGCGTACATACTGTGATTTGACTGATTGGATCGAAACGATTATGCTTTGTAGTATGCGAACTTCCGGAGGAAGACCTTGCGGCTGGCCCAATCCGCCTTGCACATGCTCTCACTCCCAGCCGTTCCGAGGTGCAGGCAAATCCATCGACAATCGCATCCTCTGCGAAAGCTGGTACTCCTGTTACACCTACCAAGAGGACCCCTGAAACATCACCCCAGCCGCGGAAAGATCAACAGCAAACCAGAAAGAAGGCAAAGAAGCAGCAACGGACGGACGAGGCAGACCTACAGCGACCACAGCGGACTGGCGATCGCGGGAACGATTCCGGTACTCCGACATCCAGACCCATCTTCGAAGGTATGCTACGTTGCTTTTATGCTGGCATGATCACCGTGCTGACACGGCGTGTGTATGGGACGCAGGTAATGCTGACGCTGTCACCGCTATCGAAACCAACGCTGACATGGAGGGTATTGGATCCCGCAGTAATGCTGACCCGATCGGCCCTACGGATAATAATGCTGACGCGAACGGTATTTCCGATAATCCTCATGCTGACATGGAAGTGTCGGATTCTCTCGAATGCGCTGCCAGCGATGTAGGCACTCAAAGTGGGGTCGACCGCTGCGCAACGACAGCCAATTCTATCGCTGGACCAAACGCGCCACCGGGACGAAGTCGATGGTGGTGTGAATGGTGATGGTTGCTGAGGCCGTCAGTCTGTAACACCGGCTGGACTGACAAGCGTCTCATACCCAGATGGGTTTCGGAGCTTGGAGACCATTTCATTCTCCACACCGGGTGTCTTTGAGGTCATTAGCACGGAGGACGCACGGACGAAGAAGGCGAGGGTGATGATGTTTAAGCTTACTGGCGCGGTGAACGCGCGTTGGGTCCTGAGAACAAGATTTCGACAGGGTCGGTCAACGGTGAAGTAACACGCATTGCAGAATCACTAAATGACGACGAATGCAACGCTCTTCGCATCCATGATTCAGGTTGGTTACTTCTGTTTACATCATAATAATTTCTTTTCTCTGTCTCACCATGTTTCCTACTGCCAGGGCTATTCCGCGAGGTACAACTTAACCCTTTAGTGATCAATATTATACTTGGTTTTTGTATAGTGAAGTCCCTATAGTAAAGTGTAAAACATGCATAAATGCTTGGTTTTCACCGCACCTCGCAGCATAATATATCAGTTTGCAGGGGTTTACCAATGATTATTGCAATTATTGTTGTAGAACCTCGCAATATGCTTGGTTTTACGCAAGTGATATATATAATAGGTCAAAATCAATAGAGGGGTGATTTGATTGGATTAAATTGTAAAACCACGCATAATGCAAGGTTTTAGGACCACCAACCACAATAGGGTTAAGGACATGGCAGTGAACGGATGGGAAATTCTGTCTAGCGAGGAGGTTCCAGCGTTCGATCCAAATGCAGGGCATCTCTACGGGGGCTATTGCGGTCCGTCAAAAAGTCTGGCAAGGTTTGGCAAGTCTCCACTTCATCTTTTTTTTCAACTTTATGCCCAAGTCGTTTTGGCGTCATATCACCAGTGAAACCAACCGGTACTGGGAGCAAACGCTTGAATCAAGGCCTGGTGACTCTGTGCAACCGCGCTCGCGGACATCCCAGCAACGAAAGCCTGACATGCACGCAAATATGGCACCGGGTTTGGCAGAACGGCGAGTTTGTGCCGAAGGAATGCCAGATTCGCGATCGAGCTGTTGGGACAACTAGTCAGTAGGAACGATCTGAGGCCTAGCTGCTAAATACATTGCACTGTCATGTTTCCCGATTTTAGTGATGCTATCCCCTTCACCGACGTGTCCTCATTCATGGACACCGCCGTAAATGCCGTCAAGTGTAATATGTTCCCTCGATATAGTGCCTGTTACTCAAATGAGTCGATTTCTCTATATTTAGCAGACCACATGCGGGAGTGTGATGCGCTGATCAGCTGATATGTGTTTTCTCTAACACATTTCCCATCCTGTGCGGAATTATTACCGGAGAGGTTAGCTACAACCTGTGTGCAAAACGCCCAGTTTTAATCTTGTGTTTTCTATTGCATACTGAAAACACATACGTTTCCTAACCCCCTTCTGAAGGGGTTAAGGTGTTTTGGTAGACTGCCCCTGTCACCCCTCCGCATCCAAGGGGTTACGTATTGGAGAATCCGCCGGTATTTTATCCGCAATATATTTCCAGATTATCTGAAACTAGGGCTACGCGAATGCTGGGATAGGAGGATTTGGTATAACCTCCTTTTTATTTTTATTGATTACTTTTCGTATGAGCTATGGTCATCTGCTGCGCCTGCTTTGTAGCCGCAGCATCTGCCCGGAAATTGGCCTTACGACTGTAGATGCCAGATATCAACTAGCAACGCTTTACAAAATTAAAAAAAATGCTAACCTTGGCTGAGATATGTGTGCAGCTTGTAGAAGTGCTCTACTTGAAAATGCAAATACTTATCTCTAGTGCTATTACAGTTCGCCTCAATCGTTCTCTTTACTTCAATTCGTCTATCCGTTCCCTGCTTAATATAATATTCTCTCCGCGAAAAGCTGAGAGCCTGCAGCTTTCCGCGGAAGACCATCAGTATAAAACTGGTTAGTAAGTATCCACTCAAAAATGGCTTGCATAAAATATGGGTTTAAAGCATCTTTAAGTAGGTAGCACCCAATATAAAACCTCGCATTTAAGTAAACACTCAGAGCAACTTGAATAAAGTATTGGGCAGAAGAAGTTTCATTCACTTAAACCTAGTTTCATTCAGCTCCTCTATAGTTCCGAACCCATAATTTGCTAATATTTCCACTAAAAGCTACTACTACCCATTAAAAGCTACTGCTTACGCTGAAATATCTAAAATATGTTTTAGCAGAGCGCCGCGCGATCACATTTACCGCGGGGGGGGGGGGTCCAAACCAGGACAAGCTCCAGCCCATCGTGCCGGATACGGACTTGGACCAGCGAGGTGCTGGGCACGCTCGGCACGCTCGATCTGGGCTTGCAAACGGTGTATTTTCTCCTCCACCTGGTAAATCAGGCCCCCGACACCGTCATTGTGTACGGAGACGACGACCGCAGCTATTCCACGCGGCTGTGAGAGCGCGCTCTGCACTATACTCACAAGTGTAGCTATAACTTGACGCTCAGGTATTGCGAGTATGCGCGAGCTTTTACTTAACTGTAAAAGATCTCGCTTCGCCTCATTACATGCACCTAAACTTACTGTTGCTCCACTTTATTGCAAACATATACAAAGAGGCTACTGTTGTAAGTAGGTATATTAGCAGATTCAGTGCACAGCGTACAAGTTCACCACACTGTTGCACTCGATATCATACGAGCGTGCTTCTTCGTTACATCGAATATACCATCGTTACAAGTTCGTCGATCTGAAAACAGCACAAGTTGCGCCTGTGCGCAGACCAAATGTGCTGTTTCACGAGGAGTTCACGGCCGATGGAACTTACATGAAGCACCTGCTGCAGAAAGCATTCATGCCTGGCGCGTATGAACTGCCTGACAACATCCCTATTGTATGTATCAAGACTATTTTCCTGGTTGGGACACGACCAGGAGAAGCGATCGGATATTGTGTCGATCACTTGTGATCAACGGTAAAACATGCTGGGATCCAGTGGAAGACCAGACTCGCTAGATGAGAGTGGATTGGACTGATCCAGTAAGAAAAGGACTCAAGGACCGAATCAAAGCTTGCAGTAAGCCACGTCAGAGCTATGACGCGACGAAGACAGACCACGAGGGGTCTTTTTGCGCCGAGTGACGACAATGTGGACTCCCGTGCTAAGCGATGGGAACGTCGAGAACCACGTGGACGCAAAAGCGTGGGCGTGGACGAAGCCGGTCACCACCTTGGCGGCGGACACGCAGATTGCCACCACGGAACCGGCGTGCTGGGTCGCTACCTCGGTGGTACTTTGAGTCTCCATTGCAAGAACCGAGTCGAGATGGACTGTCACCTGCAGGATGACGTGGTGATTCGCCGCAGATTGGACCACCAGGAAACTTTGGGCCCGCTGTATGCGCGCAGAGCTTGCAGCAACTGTCAATATGTCTAGCCCAAGTATAGAGCTTTTTATCGCATCAAGGCAGCTCTTATCGGGTTGTTCGAGCCCGCTTTGGCTACGAGGCTGTGCTGCCCAACTTCCATCTTCTAGCTATTCCTCTACGCGGATGCCATATGGGAGAGTACACGTTGATGTGTTCGGTCGCTTTCTTTTTTTTGGAGCGGAAAAACAGAGCAGTCAATATGACAAAATTAAATCAATGGTGTGGTCACGCGACTGCAGGAAGTATGCGTACCAGGTCTTCATCGTATCTAGTGTGGTCTTTATCAGCTCATCCTGGTGATGGAGAGGGTTTATTCTACCACGATGGACGACAGCTTCTGCGCGACACTAACCGGGTTGGTTGACCATCTACTGCTGAAGCAAATCTTTACGGGGAAATTGAAAGGGAGCAAGTGCCGATACGTCAGTGGAATTCAATGGGTTTTGTCACAAACGGACTAACTCCGCACCTTGTTCACTGGTTCGCGGGCTTTAAAAGCCAGCTTGATATCGCAGCTCGGTGATTTTTGGTGTTGCTGTTGCAGTACAAAATGTCGCTAAATATACAAATACATTGAAACCCCCTATTGGTTGCCATCAATGCTAAGGCTGGATAAAAAAGCTTTTGATACAATATGTTGTTTTACCAAAGGACATCACCTATCTGCCTTCTGTATTCCCTCAACAGTGCTGATGTAGAATGCAGAGTTGACAGCATAATGAAGAAGATGAACCGTGCTTGAGATGTTTTTGCAGCTTGTAATTTAACTTTGAGTTATTGTAGTCCATAAACTTCAAACACTCCCTCACAGCACTAACGTTGTATCCTATTTAGGTATATTATACAAATGCATGGTCTTGCTTGCTTGCCTCGCTTTGCTTTGATTTGTTTGGCTTTACTTTGCTCTGTACTGCTGCTTAGCCTGGCTGAATAGTATCGTTACACAATGGCAAAACCTGGCTAGGTTTTGCAACCTGATATACACAAGTTGCACACCCCAGCAAAGCAGGCGCGCTGCTTTAGCTTCCTAGCCTTGCCTTGTTTTGCTTTGCTTGCTGCAGTGGGTGGTGCAAATACAAATTTGTATTGTATTTGTATTACATGTACTAATCGATGTTGCCTAATGTAGCTTGAAGTTGCTTAATGTCGCTTGAAAACAAACTCACCTAGGGTGGCAAGCACAGTTCTTTCGAACTGCGAACATACGTCGTAATTTGGCTGCAAAATAGCCGAACTATGCACTGGATGAATTCTGGTGGTGCACATTTTCCATTATCCACGCGGTAGTACCGGAACAACACTCAGTTTTCTGGAAAATACACGGTGTCCCATAACAGCTATGATTTAATCCATTCTTTTTGATCAATGTCTGTCACGATAGGGCATCTAAAAACCTCAGAAGTTCGAGCGATTGATTTTAAGACTTGTGGTAAGACCTGACGCAGATAACAAGCGTATCACATCCAAGCACCGCAGCCGTTTGTCAAGATGGAAATGCCAGCTTTAACCCACCGGCGACCGCTCTTATCCCGATTTTGCAGGGATAAGATTAATATAGAATTTTGTATACTTGTGGGGTAGGGTAAGCGAGGTCCCCAGCGGCCGGCGCCGACCCTTTGGGTTCCATTAGGTCTCAATCTCATTGGTCAGAGTTATCCAATCAAATGCCGGCTATGTGCGTAATAATGAGCTGGTTCAAGACTCAACTGAAAAAAACCTTGGCCTATTTTTTCCCCTAAAATTCGAGATATCCCCATCTGTAGAGAATCTAAACCAGAATGTTGTGATACGTGAGCAGAGTACTTGATAGAGTCACATTTGGTATCGTCGTATTTTAATCTGCTCGGAATGAACCTGTGTGGCAGCGGCGGGGACAGTCCCTCGCGAGCATACGGACGCTGAGGCAGCAAGCCTGCCGTGATAGTCTGTCAGCGTGAGAGATATAATACCCTGAATCCTGGTCTATAAGCAATCCGTTCAGTATCGAGAGTGTTATTGTATCCTGCGGGTGAAGCCGTGGCCGTACAAAACCGTTCGAATATGAGGAAGACGCACTGCACGTGAGGAAAAAAAAGTCACTGAGTCCGTGATGCGGCTTGAAATATGGCGTACATCGATCCACCTCTGTCATTCCTGCACAGCGCGTTGATTCATGCTTCCGCTGCTCGATACCAGGCTACTGTAACTCTTGATGTTTGCCAGCACGATATCTTGCCCGCTTGGGTAGCTCCACGCCAAATGCAAGTTCGACGCCTTCCAAATCCGTAGCTCCAAAGTAAGTAGATGGATGCGTTAGAGGCGGGTAGACGAGCTAGAGAGCGCCGCTTTCATGCTGAAGTGGATTTCAAAACATGCTGAACCAAAGGTAACACGCTATCAAAAGCTTGGACTAGTTTACTACTCGGTATCTCTGTTCCCTGCAAGACCTACGTGACGACAAGAACATCAATGGTGCTCCGATGATATGGCTACTCTGCCGAATCAGCGTGCATCTGTGGATTTCAGTGTGATATCACGAAGCAATGGTGATTGTGGCCACGTGGCTATGCGTATTGGATTTTGTATGGCCAACCACGACAACGTGGCTTCGCGCGCTCGTCAACAGTGACATGTTTCTATAGTTCTTAGTATAGAGGTGTCATGGTTGATTCAGAGATGTCGGCATTGGCATGTTTATTTAGATTTTAGTATATCATGTCGTTATTGACTTTGATAAGTCAATATTGAGATTTTTTAACTAGGTTTCAATATATCAAGCAAACGGTTTGATATATTGCTCCGTTAATCGAATCTAAGATTAACTAGCATGGGCTCCGGTCGTCCGCTGATCTACGAGCTTCACTGGCAGCTACGACAGGCTTTCCATGTGGGGCTGGTCGAGGCCCGAAAGCACGTTGTACATGTCCAGCTTCTGAGCGACCGCGGCCATGCCGTCCACGCAAGGCCTCTAGAGAGGCGCGGGCATGCCGTCAGTGCCGAAGTTGTCGATCGCCACGAACGTGCGCTCCGTATCGGGCTTGGCGGGGACTGCAAGCGTATTGTCCAAGTCGATGTAGTAGAGGATCGGTATGCAGCCCGAGTCGGGCTGATCGGTGGCCGCGTGCATGAGATCCGCTCCGGGCCGGACTGGTCCGCGAGCATGCAGTCCATTCCGGGCTTGATCAAAGCCGTGGACGTGCCGTCCGTATTGGGGGTGCTTTGGGTCCGCGGGCATGGGGTCCGTGTCGAGCAGATCGGGGGCCGCGGGTCTGCCATCCGTGCCGTGATGGTCTGGGTCCGCGAGCGTGCTGCTCGCGCAGGGCTGGTCGGGGACCACGGGCGTGCTGAACTAGACGAGGTCGTCTGGTGCCGGGTATGTTGGGGGCTTCGATCGTGGATTGCTTGCCGGGACCATCCGGGACTGCACACAGGCTCACTGAGCCGAGCTTGGGGAGGACACCGAGCATGCTGTCCGTGCCGGGTACTTCGGGGACCTTGGCCATGCCGTCCGTGTCGTCCATGTCGTCCATGTCGGGGGCCTTGGCCATGCCGTCCGTGTCGGGGGCCTTGGGCATATTGTCCGTGGCGTCGGTGCCGGGCATGGCGGGGGCTGTCGGCATGGCGTCGGTGACGGGCATGTCCGGGCCCGCGAGCATGCCGCCCCAGTAGACAGCAGCAATTTGGGTTCGGTAGAGGTCGGATGAGAGGACGCAGGGAGCCGGGCGCGATCACGACATTGTAGGCGCTTGAGTGCTTGTCAGCATTTTTAGAAATGAGCTTTCGATGCGGGGCGGCGGCGAGCTTTGGTTCCGTTCATATGCCCACGAAGACGCCTCTAGATTCCGAACTACTCAGGGGGGAAATTGTAAGCAAATCTATTGGTTATTTCAGGAGTAATTGGCGATCATTGGTGGAATCGTTTGAATACGTGCGATGATTGGTGGAATTGCTTGATGGCAGCAGGAACCGCTCAAGCAGGATGGCGCGAAAGGTGATGAAGATGTGCACGTTGAAAATTTGCGCGTTGGAGTGATAGCGTGACGTGCATAGCGTAGCTTAAGTGTGGAAGTCGTAAATGGCAGTAGTGCCACAAACTAAATTCTCCCGCATTTTGCTACCCTACAAGATGAGTCCATTTTGGCCGCAGTCGGTCACCGGCGGCAAGAAATCACAGCCGCCTGGCGTCTTAGCTTTAGGACCGCGCTCAAACCCATCTAGAAGATGTCGTAAGTGTATTCTAGGCCGCGGCGCCGGCTCCCCTCATGTCAGTGGCGCTGCCGGCGCCGCGATTCCTTCCTTTTTGCTACCTTACATAAGTACTCATTTTGGCCGAGGTGCCGGACACCGGCGGCATGAAAGCCCAGCCGCCGGCTTAAGTAGCGTAG